ACAAAAAATATAAAAATCAACTTATAGTACACGTCAGTCTTACTTAATTTCCCTTCCAACACCTACTGTAGCCCTTACACAAAATTCTATTAGGTTCAATAGCAAGAAATTATTTAATCACCTTTCCATTATTTTAAGGCGAATATATAATGAAAAGAAATTCAGAAAGAAAGTAAAATAATTCCTTGTTGGGAGGCCCTATCATAGTGTGAACGAATTCTACCAAGGCTCTATCGAGTAATTGGCATGTAGCTTTGTGTAAACAGATAATTGAAATCAACACGAAATGGCTATCAATGTTCATTACGTAGCATTATACACGGTGTAACTAAATAAGTGTAAAACATTTAAGGAGGTGATTCCTCAGCGAAAAAAAGATAGGATCTTTCATATAAAGAAATTTCATTGGAGCATCCCTTGTTAAGATACAGCCCCTTAAAGGGGGTACATAAATTTTGTATAACAATTTTTTTCACAAGCACTAAAATAGGTACAATATTGAAATTAACCTGACGTTTTGTACTACCAAAAAGACACTTAGACAGTAATTTATTTGGTTTACCCCATGATTGTAAGAGGTGGAAAACGCAACCCCTAAAATTTATTTCCAATGTAACTTTTTGTCTTATTATTTATTTACCATTTAAAAATTTATTTCAAAAGCCTGTGTCATTCTAAACAAAAAATGTCTCTTGGGTTTTTTGCCCAAAATAAACCAGTTCGCACAAAAAATTATTTTACGAACAACTACAGAGATACATCGTCATAAATGCGAAAATACGAAACTAATCTATCTAGTAGGTCGCTATTAGGGATAGTGACAATTAAATTGGTATGACGCTGTCAGTTTGTGAATTCTCGAAATTGAATTAATACTAATTGTTTGTTGTTGTTCTGTTCTTAATTTGTTACTTTAATAATTCACTTGTTATCAAAATGGCATACACAAATGAGGAAATGGCTGATATGCATTACGTTTACGGTCAGTCGCAGGGGAATGGGTTAGAAGCTTCTAGAAGATATGCTGAAATGTATCCTCAACGGCAGCATCCTTCACATAGAATATTTACTCAACTTCATCAACGATTACGAGAATATGGTTCATTTGACAAAAGAACGCAGGATTGTGGTCGCCATCGAGAAGTACGAACACCACAGCTTGAAGAAGCACTACTTAATTTGATTGAAGAACAACCTACTACCAGTATTAGAAATATTGCTTTCCAGCTAAATGTTGATCATATGACGGTATTTAGAATTTTAAAGGAACAACTCTTATACCCTTACCATCTGCAACGAGTACAGGCATTGTTACCGCGAGACTTTCCTAACCGTCTTGAATTTTGCAATTGGATGCTGGAAATGATTAGAAGAAATTGTTACTTTCTGAAGACGATAGAATTCACAGACAAATGTAGTTTTTTTCGGGACAAGATTATTAATTTTCATAATTACCACATATGGGCTGATGAAAACCATCACGCTATTGTCGAAACTAACCATCAAGTACAGTTTTCTCTTAAAGTGTGGCACGGAGTTATTGGGCATGATTTAATTGGGCCTCATTTTCAAACTTATATATTGTATAAGTTTGAAAATGTCCTTATAGAACGAAACTGCAGTAACGTTAGTTACAACTAAAAGTAGTAAAAAACATAGAAAGTTTAATTTCTCTTTTCTTCATTATGATTTCCTACCACATAGTATAACGGCTACATCCATCAATTTATTTGATATTTATTTTGAGAAATTAGTCACTAGTTTTAAATTCTATATTGAGAATTTTTGTAAGTTTAATTTCTCTTTTCTTCATTATGATTTCCTACCACATAGTAACGGCTACATCCATCAATTAATTGATTAATTAATCATCATCTTTATCTTCATCACAAACGAGTCTCTGTGATCAGCTGTGATGGCGTCATGGCAACAGAATTCAGAGTGGGAACGGAGTGAGAAAGTAATAGATAGAGAAATGTGAATAGAGAATAGAGGAATAGAAACTCGGAGAGGGAAATATAGGTATCAGACAGCTGCACGCATTAAACTTTATCGACGAATTTTTGTTATTTCGGCTTGCGGATATCGTTAGATTATATATTTTTCGTTATCCTTCAATTATTTCCTTCAAAATAAAAAACAATTAGCTACGCTCGAGAATGTCGAAATGACGTTATTTTTTTACAACTTTGCTACCCTCCCTTTCTTTACTCCCCACTCTCAAATTGTCAGATTACTGGAATATACACTTTTTAGCAGGTAATTATCTCGCCCTACCTTAATCTGACGCGCTCGAGAATTTCTGGTGATCAATTTTTTTTTACTAATCTGGTCCCTTATCCCTCACAGGCGGCCTTATATATGGGGCTCATATTTGGTGGAGGTACTTAACCGGGTACAAGGTACCCACCCGTATATTAATCTGCCGCGCTTTAGTAAATCCCGAAATCCCCACTTGGCCTCCCCTATTATTAGTTTGTTGGTGAGAAGCATAAAAGTCAGAAGTGTTTTGCTATAAAAAAAATGGATTAAAGAATTTGTTTCAAATTTTGTGTAAAACTTATTAAGTGCTCAAAACACTCAAAATGTTGACAGTGGCATACGGTGATTGTACACTGAGTCAGAAAAATGTTTGCAAGTGATACAAGCTTTTCACAAGCGGTCGAGAAGACGTGAATGACGATGCTCGGCCTGAACGCCCCAGCACGTAAACAACCGATGGAAATCAAAGAAATCGTTATGTAGAATCGTTGAATCATCATTAGAGAAGTTGCTGAGAAAGTCGGCATATTGGTTGACTTATGCCATTCAATTATTTGAAAATTTTGGGCATGAAGCGTGTGGCAGCAAAGTACAATCCAAAATTGCTGATGTATGTCAAAAAAACCGTCACATGAGAATCGCTCAGGAATTGTTGAATTGCATCAACGGCGATTCATATTTGCTCAAACTGGTGACGAATCATGGGTAACCATGGCCAAGCCAAGACCAAAAAAAGCACGGCAGGTTTGATCAGATGTCAAGGTACTGCTCACTGTTTTCTTCGATTACCGTGTCGTACTGCATAAGAAGTTCTTGCCACATGGTCGTACGGTCAATAAGGAGTATTATTATACGAAGAAAACGTCGGGTATTGTGGGAACACAAATCGTGGCTTTTGCATCACGATAATGCACCTGCTCACTCGTCATTGCTGGTTCGTATTTTTTGGCCAAAAACAACACCGTAATCATACCTCAGCCACCGTATTCACCAGATTTGGTCCCTGCGACTTTTTCCTGTTCCCAAGACAGAAGAGACCCATAAAAGGACGGCGTTTTGCGACGCTGGGAGGGCTCAAGGACATACCCAAACGTGCATATCAGAACTGCTTCGAGGATTGGAAAAAACGCTGGCACAAGTGTATTATATTTGAGGGAGACTAGTTTGAAGAGAACAAAATGGAAATTGATAAATAAATAAATATTTTTTAAACAAAATAAAAGAAGCAAACAGCGTAAAAATTGAAAGTGATTCTGCCAGCTTAACAGTTGTAATAACATTCCATATTGTATAAAATATGGGTAATTAGGACACTGTGACCTTCAAAAATATAAATATGACCCCCTTATATTTTAATTTCGAAACCTCCTATGAATTTTTGTTTCTTAATAAAAATTTATTGTTATACAGTGTCATCCCCAAAGAATGCACTATATGGGAAACTTATTTATTAAGGGTTTTTCGACAAAAAGTTTTTCCTGATAAAAGTTTGTGCATCCCCTAAAACTAAACATGCACCAACTGAATACAGTAATACACACGTAATATACGAGGAGCCTTCAAATATTTGATTTTGAGATTTTGAAAAATCTCGTGAAATGTTATTTAGAAAATTTGTTAAGCATTAAAAAATACATCTAGTTCGGTAATCATGGTCATCTGAATGGAGTTTTTTTTCCCATTTTTCAAGACTGCAAAATTTGGGAATATTTGGGAATTACAGATACGATCCAGAATCCCTATCCAAGGGTACAAATTTCGAAACAATTTCAATTACTCAAATTAGGAAACTGTAATGAGGAAGAAACACTAACTTAGAGTAATTGAATTATTAATTTGGTGCTCATATAAACATTATTTTAAAGTATTAAAGTAATAAGTATTTGTTCTTTCATTTGGAAATAGAATTTTACAGGTGCAGTACTACAGGTGAAATAAACATTTTTATATTATTGATGGCCAGTAGACAAGAAAGTAAAAAGTTTCTTTCTGAAATGTTCAGTTTGAGAGAATCAATTTCAATTTGGAGGAACTACTTACTTATAAAGTCAGTAGGTAGTTAATTTGTTAAATCAAATTTCAAGACATTTTCGATCAATGAAACTAAGAAACAACAGTGAGTAAAAACACCTAAACTCAGAAGGAAACTTTGGATTTGATCCTCATAATAAAAATATTATTTTTAAGTATAAGGAAAAGTTACATTTGCGCATATAAGTATATTCGTTTTTTCATTCAGAGATAAAACTTCAGGATCAGGTTCAATACTGGTAAGATTCACAAGGAAGTCTAAAGTTACTAAGTGAAGTGTTAAATAAGAAAGATCAGATGACAATTTCAATCTGAAGGAACTGTTTAGTCAGTTGACTATATAACTTTGTTAAATCAGTCCTTTTAGTGAATTTCAGAATCGAACAATAAATAATACAGATTTTTTAATTGCTGTCAGAGATATAGGGACTTCTCTCAATTGAAATATAAACGTATGTAAGGAGAAAATTCTTACCGTTTACTAATAAGGGAATGAGAGTCATACAAGGACAGCATCGAAAATTCCTTTTAGTTTCAATTCAGCTGCTATGCAATTTTTTTCAGAAGGGGTCAATTGTCTAATATAATTTGGGATGCTGCATTATAATGATTCTTTGTTCTTGAACAATAAAAAATAATATATTTGGCAAAGTATGAACGAATATCCCTTATTTTGAGTAATGTGGATAGTAGAAATAAGGACTTACCGTCTGGAACCACAAAATTAGGTGTGATAGAGAGCAGTCAAACATTCAATTACTAGTTCATCACAATAATAAAATAATTCTCTACTTCAACATACACACACAAACACTAAGAAGAATTTTAAATTATACTATAGAACTGTAGTTATATTTTTCATTCAACTGAGTTTGCAATAGATTGATGTTTCAGTGATCTATTTATTTTGAGAGGACCGAGTTACACTACCACCAACCAACACTCAGACTCCCGCACAACTGAAAATACATCAAGTAAAGAGTGCAGAGCAAGAGAATGAAAAGGGAAATTAATAAACAAAGATAGCATAGAATTAGCACGTGCGTGATCATTTCATATTAACGAGATGATGTCCCATCACTCCGATCATAGAATGAGGGCCTCCATCGGCAAGGCCGTCAGGTGGCGCTGAAGGGCGAGAAATCGAAACGACAGTTTACCATTTGGACAACTATTCAAGTGTCTTAGAGATAGACGATTGATTTTGGCTAGTTTTTGTAAATTTTCAGTTCGTTTTACGAATTTCTGCATGAATTATGTGTCAACAATATGCCTCGTAATTGCTCAGTACATCTTTGGTACGTGAGTGTCACCGATCATAAATTTCCAAATGATAAACATATCCTAGCCAAATGGCTTATCGGGTGCAAGAAAGATTTTACTCCGAAAGATCATGAGTTGCCAATGGAATCTATCTGAGAATAGAACAATCGAATGAAAAATTTTGTTATTGAAATATAAAAAAATATAAGGAGTTGAAGAATAAAATGATATTTTGTATTACTAATAGTGATGCTTTATTCTCAACAAACATTACGTGTTTATGATAGATAGATACATGGGGACTCCAACTAGAATTTCAGGATTTTCCTGTAGTGCTTGTGTTTTGTTTAAAAAAAAAACTAACAATTAAAACGTTGTTTAATAGTTTAATTCAAAATATTTTTTGAACATTTTTTCATCATTTATCTTCATTATTTCATCTTCATTTTTAATTTTCACTTTGTTTTCACATTGTTATCTTCAGATCTCATGGATTTCAAAAACACTTATAACATTCACAACCATTATTTCTGTTAGGACACATAAAAAATCAGCCATGATTAGACTGCAGTTCTTGTCACATTACCGTTTAATACCTTCCACCCTTATATCGCGCGCAGGTTTCAAAACTCCATTCTTCAAGAGATTCCTCAACTCCTCGTTGAGCATTCATGTATTGGTGCATTCCTATTGTTTGCTATTTTCTATTTTGATGTTATTTTTACAATTCGTATGATCTGAAGATTATTGTAAAATTTTTCAATTTACTATTCTATACATTCGAGGATAATGATTTCAGTATCTATATAGGGATTTCAAAATAATGCCAGGAAAAGTAAAAATTTCAGATTGGCGTTGCTGGAAACAAGAATGGAGTCATTACGAACTTTTCTCTCGAAATCATAGCAAAGTCGAACTATCCATTCCTTTTGACGACTATATACGTAGAAAAGTTAGCTGAACATCTATAGGGATCATCCATCTATCATCTATTTTATTGATTCTTTCAAATAATTAATATTTTCCACAAAGAAATACCTTTCTTTGAACTCATTTTCTACAAAAAATTCAAATTCTAATATAAACTTCAATTGAATATTGCAAGTAATGTAACGATATATTTGTCCACCAGATATCGCCAAGTGTACGGTTTTGGAAAGTTTAAAAATTCGGCATTTTGAATTTTGTATAATGGAAAAATTTTAATTTTTTTGTACTTCCAAACAGTTTTTATTAGTCTGACTATGATTTGAATTAATTGCAGAATGCAGAAAACTTTTATTCGGTTTTTGTATTTGGCAAAAATAAATACAATCTATATAACAGCTACCAACTATTTGTCGTATACAATGTAATTAGTCCAGACCCATCCCTTTCGAAGAGAAAATATGCTTTTGCTTCAGAACAGCTTTGGTCAAATCATCACCTAATAACTTGGTTTATAACGAAGAATAATGTTCCCATTCTTTAATCAATGGGCTCATTTAACTTCTTTTTTTTCATTATTTGAAAGTTTATGTTTTAAATAGTACATCTGCAAAAAATCTGAAATTTCACTCTATATCTTCCCCCTCAAATTAATAGTTGAATGTGGTCAAGCTTGACTTCACATCAGTCGACTCGTCGACAAGGGAGTGCTGGCGGTGATGGTAGCGATTCATAATCTCCAACCAACTACAGGCCCGGTTGCCACCGCTCGAAGCTCGTTACCTGTTGTGACGTCAAAATGTATCGCGGGCGATCTCACATTTTCAGAGCCTCAGTTGTTTAGATATAAAAACCGGAAAATTTTGTGGGATACTTGGGAGATGATTTACTTTTATAATATATAATTTTCAATAAAAATCTGAATTAGCCTGAATGAGCCCATTCCATGATGTAATGGTGAAGAACTTGTACATGCTTAGAACGCTCAAGTATGAGAAGCAACCTTATGGGAACGTTCGCTGTTTATTTATAGTCCGCTAAATAGAAATAAAACACTTTATTTACTAGGCACTGTTGTATCGATCTCACAAACATCTCGTATCTACTGAATTATCAGTCATTGATGATCATTTTTGTTTATGAAATCGATTTTTTATTACTAATGTGGAATGGTAGCCGGTTGGATTGACGTGGGTGGTTTGCTAAACCGCTAAGTGATCCGGTGGTTCAAAGTTCAAACTGCAAGGCCGGACAATCGATTTTCACTTCCTAGTTATGAATCACACGTTAAAAGGTAAGACCTCGTTAGTCCTTAGCTCGCACAAGTTTCTCAACTTCTGAGAGTTGTCGTTCGTATGGGGGCGACAGCTGGTTAACGGAAAAACAGATTTTAAACAGAATGTCGTATATGGGGTCATTTTCTGGTACAGAAAATTACAGAAACATTACATACGATATGAATCCAAGTATCAATAGATAAGGAATACAAAATATGAATTAAAGAATAATGACAATAATAATTTCCCCACCCTCAGGCTCACCCTAATAAGCCTGATGCAGTTCTTCTCGACCATCAGAGCAAGACAATATTTGTCGTGGAGTTTTCAGCTCCTGGTGAGACGAATATCGCCCGAAAAGAGAGGTAAAAATGGATGAAATATAGAGATTTTCTCTTCGAACTCCACAGACTCTATCCAGACCACTCCATCAAGATGGTTGTTTTTTAATTATTGGAGTGTTTGGTGGAATGATGGCCTCTACTCTCAAAATCACTAAGGCAGAAATCTTAGACGGACAAATGCAAAAAGCTCACTGTGCTTGCTTAGGGCACATAATTCCCATAAAAAAAAACAGCCCAAAGAAGTTATTTTTTTACCGAGATGTGTGGCTGTTCAATTCAACAATTTCTCTTAATACTTACTTACTAACACTGTTTACTGTGGAATTTTCACTACAAAAGGTTTTACAAAAATCAGGAAACTTGTTTTGCCATACCCAGCTTCCTCAACTAAAAGTGATGTGTCGCGGTTTTTGTAATACCTTCCATTGTGAAAATATTTATTAATAAAATTGAAAGGAGTATATTTTCAAGAGAGAATAATTTTTGAGATAAAAAGGTTTTGGCTTTCTACTTCTCAGTTTGTATACAAGAAAATCTGGGAGTCTCCCAAAGAAAGAAAGCAATCAATTTCAAAATGTGTGGTTCATGCAAAGAAGTAACTTTCAGAGAAAAACTGGAAAAAAGCCCTTCCGAAACAAATAGTTTTATATAAAGAAAAAATACTTTCGAAACCTTTTCTTTTATATAAACATTGAATTATTCAAAAAATACGGTTTCTTATTAGGTTTGTACTCTTAAACATTCGCTATGGAGTTGAATCAGATATCATTCACAGGATTGCTACACAATATAGTATATACTATACTGTGTAATCCAATGTTCATTCAAAAGTAGTTGTTTCGAAAGTAGTTTTTTTTTCGTGTAATTCAATGTTTATATGAAAGCAGTTTCAAGAGGACTTTTTCTTCCACTTTGTGTCTGAAAGTCATTTCTTTGCATGAACCACACATCTTTATATGAAGTTCATTTTGAAATCAAATGAAATCAAAGAGACTCCTTTTATCATATTAAGAAAAGAAATGTACGAAACTATTAAGTGATAAAGCCTATTAAGACCAACAAGAATATTTTGACGATGCCCTGTAATTTAGAATGTGTGGAAATTGCGATTGTACTGTATGTGAAAAACATGTTTTTATTAGTTGTCCTAGTTCTTGTCATGTAACCTTTGCATATGTATGTATATACAGTTTATATTTCATTTTTAATCATTTACATTTTATACATTCATACTTTACATCTTATACTCATGTTTATATTAATATTTATTTATGATATTGTGTTTGTAACAATAAACATATTATCAATCAATCAATTTTTTTTCTTTCTTTAGAAGGTTCCCACATTTGTTGTATGTAGATGGAGATGTCGAAAGCCAAAACCTTTGTTTCCTAAAAATGTATTGGTAAGTTTTGAAATGGATTTTCATGAATTACCGGCCAAGTCTATTAAATTAATTCCATCAAATTTATTTACTCATAGCTTGAAAAATTAAACTCACAGTGAATAATGATTCAATATTATTTTTATTGACAACTGAACAATCTCAAGTCATTTGATGGAATTGGCCGATACTTGATGAAAATCCATAACGTATTTGAAAAATACTTTGCGAGATTTTGCAAAAACGCAACACGTATTTCGCCATACACTGGCTTCTTCGGGCGTGTGAAAACGCGCCTGAATACGTTAATTTCAAGTATTTATTTGGCGCATTTTAACAATGTGTTTATTGGAAAAATTTTGTTTATGTGTTCGGATAATCAACTTCATAATTTCCATCACGACTTTTTTGTCAATATTGTAATTGACTAGAAATATTTTGGTTCTCAGGATCAAATCTGCTTATTTGTAGGAAAAAAAGGATTCCAAAATTACCTTTGCATATTCTTCAGCACTTCGTTAAGTATATGTATGTTTCACTGTTTTATAATGATGTGAGTTTGTTTCCATTTTACTACAGCTAAGAAATTTTATAATAGAAAACGATAATCAATGTTTTTCTCTGACTTTGACACTCGAATTATAAAACTTATATTACTTACTCATTGATCTTCTACCAACAGATATTTTCATTTAGAAGTGGAATTAGGAACAAGAAATAAATTAATCTTGATTTTATTTAGAAAATACTCAACATATGAACAATTTTTGTTATAAAAGTATAACATGCATAAAATTTTATTTACAATTTTTACAAAAATCCAAAATTCTATATTTCCCTTGATTGTATGTTAGACTGAAAGGTTACATAAGAAAACTATAAATGAAGTCTCAATAACATTGCAATTATGTTTTATGTAAGCAAATGAAAATAAATAATCTATTAACAAAAACACCACTTAACTAGCAATTGTTTTCGAATGTACCTCAGCCAATACAATAATGCATTGAATTGAAATTGCTGAATCCTAATAGAAAAAAGAATCGAAATACCAATAGACCTTCGACATCACATTCAGCGAAATTTCTAATACTCAAGAGGAATATATTTGAATATCACTAATATGAACAGCAACAGCAATTTAACTTACCATCTTATATTTCATAAATAAATATATCAAATGCAATCAACTATTTTCGAAAATGTACTTGTAATATTGGTTGGTAAGGACTATTTCAAATGAAATTTGATTCAAAAATACACCAAAAGCAGAAACCTCAGTGTTTTAATTTTTTAAATGATATATACCCACTAATATATGATAACTGAAAAGCAGAAACCTCAGTATTTTAATTTTTTAAATGATATATACCCACTAATATATGATAACTGAAGTGACTTAATTTACTTAGAATTTTTTCTTTTATTACCAACAATCAATAAAACAATTTACTTTCAATGTTGTTATTCATTTAAATTTTGAATTGAGAGAAGTTCAATTCAAAGCTGGCAAAGCTGAATTAGTTAACGTTGAGAATTTTATACAAATTTTTGTTTATCTTTTCAAATGTATAAACTACTTTAGTTTGGCATCAATTACAATAAAATTGATAAATGAAAAAGTACCGAGTGGTATTTTGTAAGGAATCAATGTATAAAAAAAAGCTGGGATCTGTTCAAAATATACTGCGCATAAATGACAAAGAATAGTGGTGAAATTACCATTATCTTTGAAAATAGACATAAATTGACCCTCAGTTTAAAATTATAATAATTATAAAAAAATGATTCTGCCTAAACCTACAGTTTTTCAACTCTCAAAGTAATCTTACTTTTTCCAAGCATTATTCATTTGTTCAATTTTCCCGAGACTTGGGAATTGGTTATCTAAAATATGAAAGTTGTAGTGATCTGCAAGTTCTCTTTTGTAAATAATTTGCTTGCAAGTTTCACAAACAATCAAGTTTTTTTTATTCTTGCCATCATATACCTTATACAATTCCTGCTGTTTTGCTATGTCAGGTAGAAGAACTAAAAGTTCCGGAAAAATTTCATCAAAATAACTACCGAGGACGTCTTTGCAGTGATCATAATATTTAATAGTAGGATAACACCCATTCCTAAACAAATCCGAATAAGTCTTGAATTCTTTTATTGCATCGTTGTTCAAAACAGCCATGAACCTTTTTATTAGATTTTGATTTCTGAGTTGAAAGTTATTTGGTTGACTGTAGTCATTGCACGGCTTTATGGAATAGCTTTGCCCACTACTGGAAGTGAATGTTAAATCGTTTGAAGCACCTAAACTGGGGAATGAACATGCTGTCAAACCTGGTGGTGGTTTCATGCTGAATCCAGGAGGAGGTTTTGTATCTCCCAGAGAAGGAAAGTCATTTGAAATTATAGATGCATCACCAGTGTTTGTTAAAGTACCAATTTTCAATTCAGAACGCTTCTTAACTAGTCCATTTTTTGAATCAGACTCACCGTTATTGGTAGTATCACCATTTCCTGTTGAGCAGAATTTACTATCAGACTGATGATCAACTTTATTACTCGAAGATACTTTAGAAGATTCCCCATAATTACTTTTGGCTTTCTTCTTCTTGTTTTTATTTTTTGAATCACCGTTTTCAGTAATCCTTAGGTCTACCAGTTTTTTCTCAACAGTTTGTAGCTTTGCTTTTGGAATTGATTGCTTACTTTCAGTGTTTTTATCATTACCTAAACCATTACCTTTCAATTCAGAACAACCTACACTGTTTTTAGAGTAAGAACTGATTTTTTTTTTGGAAATTGAATTATTAACACTATTCAAATTTACCCAGTTGCTGGATGAAGGCATCGAACCTGAACTGTTCTTTTTCGATAGTGTTGGAAACTGATCCAAAGAATTAGGTGGTAACTGAGGATTCGGAGCAACTTTTAAATTTTTCTGTTCTTGTTTTTTAGATTTCACTTGAACCCACTGTGGTTGAGCTACTTTTCCACTTTTTCCCAAGGCAGGGAAAGCTTCTGGAGGCCTCTGCTGGGTTGACGAAGAGGCACTTGTGGTGATATGAGTGGTGACGCCGCCATTAGGCCGGTGGTTCACCTGGATCGATACTTTTGGCGAATTTGAATCTTGGGAACTACTAGAAAATAAATCATAAATAATGGCAAGAGAATATCAAAATGAGATTCATAGACATTGCACTAGAAATAAATGTTGTTGCAACCAAACGAAAGTTGATACTTTTGATGAATTTGAATCTTGGGTGCTACTAGAAAATTAATCATAAATAATGGTAAGAGAATATCAAAATAAGATTCACAGACATCGCACTAGAAATGCATGTTGTTGCAACCAAGGACGAAAATAAACTTCAAGGAATAGAATATCAGGCTTCCATTCATAAACTTACCCACAGAAAGACGAACTTTCTTTGAATCGTTTATAAAAGTGGTCTAGTATTGTAAAGGTCATACTCAGCAATATTGAAACAGAGTAAGTCACAATCTCACAATATAATGAATTTTATAGTACAGATAAATAAAAATAGAGAGATTATAATGTTTAAAACAAAAAAGTAAATCCATAAAAGATTACACATGTGTCATTAATTTGTGCATCCAATGTAAATTAACAAACAATGAAAATTAAACAAAGTGGTCATAGCTCCGAACAACTTCTCCTTTTGAAGAAAATTTGCTATAATTTATGAAATTCATTAAAAAGTAACCCCATGTAATAACTTTATCAGCATTCTAACTATTTTGTAAATACAACTCCCATATCTGGCAATTAAAATGTTCCAGTATATGGAACATTAAACAGAGCTCAATTCAAAATTAAAATTCATAGTTAGGATACAAAAGTTACTTTCTGTAAAATATGAAATGCGCAGTTTATTAGTTACGAAAATAAATGTACTACTTATTGACTGTACTACCATGTGACGAACTCCTGATGCACTATGCCATGGTAATCGAAGAGAACAGTTTGCCAATTGCTATTTGGTCAAACTTGACGTGCTTTCTTTGGTCTTGGCTCTCCTGGGCTCTTCCATTGAGACGATTGGACATTGGTTTTGATGTCATAACCATATACCCATGATTTATCACCAGCTATGAACCTTCGAGGCAAATCTGGATCGCCGTTGACGTTATTCAACAAATCCTGAGCAATGCTCATACGACCGTGTTTTTGCTCAAATTTCAGCAATTTTGAAACAAACTTCATCCAAAATTTATGAAAAAATTGCATGACAGGAGCCAACCAATATGCCGACATCCTCAGCAACTTCTCTAATAGTTATTTGATGATTCACCATAACAATTTTCTTCACTCTCTCAACATTTTCATCGGTAGTTGATATGCAAGGGCGTCATGGGCGAGCGTCAATCACACCTTCTTGACCTTCTGCGAAAAGCTTGTACCACTTATATACATTTTTCTGACTCAGAGTACAATCACCGTATGCCACTGTCAACATTTCAAGTGTTTCTGAGCACTTAATTTCGATAGCAGTAAATTGTTGAACATGCAAAACACTTCTAACATGTATGCCTCTCACCAATAAACTGTGTGTGTGTGTGTAATTTGCACCCCTTCCAGATTTATTGTATTGGTCTCTTGTTTTTCTGCACTCAGACGTTTTATGACTGGAGGCTTCACATCCATGGCATTTGCATTCCACTGTTTGACCTCTTCAAAATTTGCCTTTTATCTTGAAACTTTGCTAGTAAATACAGTTTCATTATTATCATTCAACTTGTTTGATTTTGATCGTCATTTTTTCCATAAATCTTCCTTTATCAAATCAAATTAATATACTTTATTGCCAGAAGAAAAATACATCTTATAGACATATTCTAGAGTTGAATTTTCAATGTTTTTTAGGCAATAATCATCCTTTCATAGGTTTTTGGAAGAGTTGATAAAAGAATGACAGACCGCTCGCCTTGAGCCTCTATTATTCCGTCAAAAACAAGAAAATGGTTAATTTGAATCTCCCAACTTCAACTGAAGTAGTTGTTTCCTCAAAAGAAGTTGATTGGTGATTTATTTACGTTGAATTGAATACAACAGGGCGTTCCACATGTCTTCCACAGAACTTTTGTCTTTGATGAATTCTAAATGGCTATATGTTATCAACTGAGTGATAATGGGTGTGCATCTTTGGTGTTTCTTCCGGAACTCTTCAATTTTCTTCTCCTTGTATAATTTGTCGCTGTCTTTGTTGGATGGAACTAGTTTATAAAAATCTGGCATACCTTAGAGATATTCTTAGCATTATTGTTCTTCTAGTAATAACTGTAATCAAAATTTCCAATTATCAAAATTATTTTCATCAAATAACAGAACTCGGTACTTCTCTAGTTCGCTCACCTTCACTGTTTTCTCACATTTTCAGTCTTTTCCAGAAGAAGTGTTTTATACAAGTTTTATACAATATATCCTTTATTCCACTTATCTGGGCCTACAACCAGTTGCAATTTGCTATTTCAGGTTTGCTCTACTCTTGTATAATAAATAATAATATTTAATACAAAAAACTGACTTTTTGTTCTTCAAATATTTAACAACAGCAACTTCAACAACAAAATCATAACAAGTTTAAAGCAAGGCATATGTGAATAATACGACATGCATATTTCAACACATACCACCGACAAATCTTTGTTTTTGACGAAGCAGAGCAGAGCAAGCTAATGCTGAGTTTGCACGGTATTTTTCCATTAAATAGCAATGTTTAATCAACGCACGAAATTGTTTTTTTTTCATTTTTAATACAAATACAAAAGTAGTGTCACTAATACCAAAGTAGCTTTGCCGTTTCTGGTACAATTCACGTGAAAATTACACATGTGTTGTCATTTGAAATTTAATTCCTTCAGAGATGAATAGAAACCCTGGAGTTTTTACTGATTCCCTTTTATTTTGTGAGAATCTATCAACACAAGAGATGAGATTGACCCAACTTTGTACATACGTTGATAGATGGAACGAGAATCATCACCAATGTAAACATTGGTGAGTTCTTAGCGTCTGTGGGAATAGAAGGCCGAAGTTCGTTATATCTCTTTTATTTTATGAGCAATCAAGAGTGCCGTAGATCAAGTGTTTTCATCAAAATATTTCACATAAGGAAAAGTCCAAGTGTTGACAGCATCTGTGGGTTAATCCCAAGATGTTTTTGATGTACTAAGTACAACCTATCATCCAAACAAAAACACTCACTAGTTTCTTGGCCCCATTTGTAATTGCTAACCTTAGTTTTGTCAAGTATTAGATGGCAATGTGTTTTAAAAATGTGACAATACTCTACAGTATTGTCAAAAGTAAGTTTATGAACAAAACCCAGAAGGAGAGGGGATGAATGGTAGTACATCTGCAACTGCTAATTCTAAGGTGAGAGCTCTGTTTATTAATTTGTCATGAATGGAAGTCTTGTTGACCCATTCTCTTCAACAATTTAAATGGCATGACTTGTTAAGATGGAAAACATATATTAATACTTACTTGACACTTAGCCTCACTGTGCTGCTTCCGCTGGAACTACTAGGTCCACTCAATGCTGGGAAATTATCTTTAGATTTGATCAAACTTTGCTGACCCCTCACAGTCCTAGTTATCGTTACTTCCGGAGCTCTGCTTGATTTTGCCGATGAGGAGTTGGTAGTTATAGTTACTGCAGGTGAATTCTTTACCGTGCCTTGATATAAATTCGAGAAATGAATGACATACCAGTGACATTTCACAAAAATATAATTTCAAATCACATACTTGTTGATATCAATATCAATTATTTTCTCTAAAATTTCAATGGCAATAAAGTTACAAAATAAAATAGAAAAATATCATTTTCACTGCAGATTTTTTCATTTGAATTTTTTCTTTATTTTTCTAATTTTTTTAATAGAACACGCTCACCTAATGAAGGAAAATCTTCGCTGCTGAAATTTGAGTTCATTTTCGATGTGAAATTGACTGAAGTGGTTGGTCTGGTATGGACTATATTACTGCTTGCTCCACCCAATGCAGGAAAATCCTGAGAAGTCAAAGGGTTGACGAAAATACGCCCCCTTTCATCACCACCCCCACCAGATCCTCCCGGTTCAACGTTGTAATCCTCTAAGGGCAAGTCGTCATCTCTAAATTAAAACAGTATTTATGTTAGCAAAGATCCATATCTCTTTGAATATGGTAATATGTCGTTGGTAAGATGTGTATTTCTATTTTAATAATAATAAGAACAAAAGTCACTACCAAAATGGCAGTGAGGCCCTGTCCATCTACGAAGGGATTTGTTTTTTCTCAAGGATAAAACACAAGCACTACAAGAAAACCTTTTAGGTGCTCTAAAAGCGGTGCCTGTGCAAAAGTTGCGATTCACATTGGATTTGAATCGCTGGATATTAAATCCACTCGGAAAACCGTTCTCAGGAAGTTTATTCCACATAAACGCAGTTCTCCAAATGAAAGAATTCTCAAACAGTGAAATTCGAGGTGTACTGAGTTGAACCTCAAAACGATGAGCAGCCACAGCCTGTCGTTATTTCTGATATGTACCGCTCTTGGTGGAATCAAATTTGCCAAATCACTTGAACACTTCCCTTGAACGTATCTATAGAAGAGAGACAAATCTCCAACCTTTCTTCGATGTTCCAAGCTATCAAGGTTGCACGTGTTGTTCCCGTCTCCAATCAGGCTAATGACTCTTTTTTAGATGGAATCCAGCAGCTTCAGGGTATGCTTAAGGGCGGCACTCCATACATGAGAACAATACTCTAAAAAAAGTCCGATATGAGCTTTACAAAGCATCAAAAGTTGCTGAGGTTTCTGGTTCGGAACAGTGTTCCAAGCGTTTGAGAAGCAGCCTTCGCAATTCCAGCGATATGATTGTGCCAAGACATATTGGTGTCCATTTTAACCCCTCCAACAAACTTATCGATACAGAAAGCGGAATTGTCTGATCTGACATTATTATATCTGACATGGTGACCAAGACTTGAGGAAATAGTGAAGTTATGCAAAAATAATTTCCCATTTTTATTCTTGTTTACTCATTGTTAATAACATTTTTTTAACCCACATTATCAATTTATTTTCATTCCAGTGATTATATATTTTTTTGTTTTCGTTTTTTAATCCATTCATACAAATATTTCGATGCTAGTATCTACCCTAGTTTTCAAATCTGATAACATATTTTTTGGGCTCTAATATTCAACTAAAGTGTTTTATTCAAGTAAAAGTTCAAGTACAAATCTTAAAAGTTGTATAATAAATATTCAATAGGTAGATAGATAAATAGATAATAATTCTCAGTCAAAACACAAAAGTGTAAAACTTAGTTACAGCCATATGAGTATCAATATGCTTTTATGAAATGAAATGATATTAACTTTGTTGAGAACTGTGAGTTTATTAATGTTTTCGCTGATGACATACATCAATACCAAACATAAATATATCAACATATAATGAAAAAATTAAAATACTTGAAGAATTCAAAATCTTGAGTTCATGGATGACAAAACATTATGATTGCAAAGGCACTTCAAATATATACAGATTAAAGTTATCAAAACATTATTTTTCATCTCAAGAATTCGTTATTAGTAATCTTATTCAGCTGCAGTTACAGGCCTCTAAAAGAATTATTCAGATACACTTCGTTTACCGGGCAAGTCTATTTTTATTACTAGGACTCAACAACATTAATAGTTTCCAAAAATTGTAAAATCCAGCAATGTAAAAAATAGCACCTATCAAAGTAATGCTTTCTGTACTTGACTGATTACCTTTATATTCAAGATTTTCAATGATTTTCATTTATAAAATATTGAAGAGAGAACTTCCATCTAACTTCAATAAATTTATCACAATTAATAATCAACTACATGAATACCAATACTTGTAGAAGTACTAATCAACTAAAATATAATCTATGAATTCCTTGACTCATAAAGGTCTAGTCCAATATGAACTACCTTTCAATATTGAACTAAGTGCAACTTTGCATTCATTTAAATCTAACCTCATGAAGTCTATAAAAAGCTGATTTTATTTACATTTTTTTTTATTTGTATATACTAGTCACCCATTACTTTTTCTATAAATGAACTTTTTATGGCTGGAACCAAAGTAACAAGATTCACTTTCAAATTTTTATGACAGATTTTCATCATGCAAATGATAAATATTTTCAAATTATTGTTGTTGTGGTGAAACAGATGTGTTCCTGACAGTGTCAAAAAATATCTTTCAAAGAGTGTTTTGTCAGGTACTGTATCGAAATGAAGCATTTATCTGTTTATTGTTTGTTTATCGGATCGTGACAGTTATATATAATCTCTAAAATAACCTCTTCAATGTAAAAATAAACACAATTTAAAATGAGATTGGTTTTACTCACCTATCCCTCCTATCGTTATATTTCCTGGTCCTCATATTATCAGACCTTGGTCTTGGTGCCAGAGTAAACTCCAGTTCTAAAGTTCTTGCTTGCTTATTAGCTGATCTGCTCATGAATTTGCTATGTTCCATAGCTTTGTGAGCTGTAATTAGATTCAATTAAAGGTGAACTTAATTAGTGAACATTAGTTAGTGATCAGTTAAAATTTTATTGTAAGGAACGTTTAATAAATAATCAACATGGATTCTCACAATATAAATCTACTATTACCAACTTGATGATTTTTGAACACAAAATATTGGATGTTTCGGAAAGTAAAGGGCAAATGGATACAGTGTATACGGATTTTTCAAAAGCTTTTGATCGAGTAGACCACAATATCTTATTGAAAAAATTAAAGATATTTGGATTTTCTGACTCAGCTGTAACATGGCTCAGAAGTTTCTTATGTAATCGAATCCAACAAGTTAAAGTTGGAGGCGTTACATCGGTTATAATTCAGGTGCCAACAGGGGTACCTCAGGATTCTCACTGCGCTCCTATGTTATTCAATATCTTTATTAACGACATTGTTGAATGTTTCCATCATACTGATTTTTTTGATGTTCACAGATGATCTCAAAGTTTTCATGCCAATAAGATCACTATATGATTCAACACTAATGCAAGATGACCTAGATAGATTGGTTACATGGTGCTCCGAGAATAATTTACAGTTGAATATCGCAAAATGCTGTTTTTTACAGGAGAAATAAAAAATTTGATATGTAATTAATGGCCATGGATTATCTTATGTTTCGTCTGTGAAGGATCTGGGTGTTTTTTTTTGATGAACATCTTCAATTTTTAGACCACTTGAACTATATTGTGGTAAAGGCGGCAAAATGTCTTGGATTTATTCTACGACATGGTAAACATCTGTCCCTTCAAGTCTTAAGGATAGTTTACTTGTCTCTGGTAGTATCAATATTAGATTATGGCTCAATGATATGGTCTCCATTTTATGACAATCACAATCTTACTCTTGAAAGAGTTCAAAACAAATTCCTAAGATTTTGTGCTCATAGAATGAGTATACCATGATTATAGCAACATTTTAGAAATCCTTAATCTCAATCTGTTGAGAAAAAGGAGGGAAAACTTTGATCTAGTTTTCATATACAAGTTACCGAATGGCTTAATTGTTGCTCCTGAAATTCTAGAAAATATTAATTTTAATGTCCCAAACAGAATTCTAAGGTCCAGTGATTTGTTTCACTTACGGTTTCATTCTACAAATTATGGCTTACATAACCCTGTTGATCGTACACTTCGACTTATTAATGAAAGAAAATTGGAAGTAACTGGTATATCTCTTAGCAAATTCAAAAACAATCTCTTAACTGCATGGTAGTATTATGATATGTATTTTATAATAACTTAAGTTAATGTAATGTAGTATATTACTTTATTATATAATTGTTAATTTTATTCTCAAATGGGGGTGATCCCGTAAAATAAATAAATAAAGAACAAAATTTTTAAAATCAATTTTTAATATGGATAGTGGCGAAATAGCAACAGACTTTTATCAGAGAATACCTTGTAGTATATTGTATCTTTCAGGAGTCAATCAACATCAATGATATATTCCACATTTCAAAACTCCTTTGATATCTGTCGCGGAAGTGGAGAAATAAAAAAATTTAACAAAAAAAACTGCATATTAACTAGAACTTTGTTCAATTCTGAAGACGGAGGCAGATTTAAGCTTCCGAAACGTTAAGATAGGTATTCTATAATTTCTTAGCTCATTTTTTTGATAGGCACAATTATTGAATACAACAAGTTACTGATAAATAGAACACTTTCCTTTTTGAAAAATACTTTGAATTTATGCAGTATCTTATCGGGTTAAACTACACATGTATAAAGTTCTCCATTACATTTTTCATATTTTTCAGATTGTGGAAGGTAAAGAAGGTTGATAAAAATGGATTTGCTTCCATAAAAAATTACTTTTGTTCTTATATATCCTGTATATCTATAATTGCTATTTTTTACCTTTGTTAATTTACCGCAGATTTAGTCGTATTCAAGTAACACTCTATTATGGGATTTTCCCGAACAGTTTACAAAACGGCAATACATGTTTCATATCATACTCACAGTATGAACACGCCTGAGAAAGCTGTTTCAGTTTCAGCAGTTTCAAAACCGCAACACATGTTGCGGTTTTGAAACTGTTCTCAGAATCTCACAATAAAATGTTACTTGCTACATTTAGGGTCATTGCTTTTCAACCTATTTGTAATAGTGACTTGAAAGATGTTATTCTTTATAGTGAATTTCTTTTGTTTGCTGATGACCTGAAGATGTTTAAAGTTATTCATGACTCAACTGATACAGAATTATTACAGTACGATTTATCTAACTTTATTCGCTGGTGTGATATAAATCTACTGCAATTAACTATAGACAAATTTCAAAAATTTACTTTTTTCCAAAACAAAAATCGCATTAGCCGGCCATATAAAATCAATCAACCAGAACTGAAAACAACAAACACAATCAGAGATTTAGGAATCACTCTCGACCCAAAAATGTCATTTAAACCCCATATTACAAATATTACTCCTAAAGCACTAAAAATGTTAGGTTTCATTATTAGATTTGCAAATGAATTATCTTTCACTTCAATAAAAATCATATATTGTTCAATTGTTAGATCAATAATCAAATACAATTCCACAATTTGGTGCCATTCATATCATGTGGATATTGATATGCTTGGAAGTGTTCAGAATAAGTTTTTAAGGTACTCTGCATATAAACTGGGATATCATATTGGTGAATATGACTATAAAATTATACTGGACATTCTTAACTTGAATACTCTGGCTCATAGAAGATTAGAATCAGATCTTACACTAATTCATAAAACAATCAATGGTAGCATCAATTCTCGGAACTTGTCGAACTTATAACTTCAAATGTGAATCCAAGGAGAATTGCATAAAAGAATGATAGATGGAGAAGTGAGTGACGAGATTTACAGAGGTGAAAAAAGAGAATATACAAATAGATTTAAGAAGTTAAAAACAGGATATTACGCAAATCAAATAGGAATAGCTGAAAACAAACAGAAAGCTACATGGGATATTGTAAATAGTTTCAGAGGGAAAACTAAAATTGACAATAAAAGGGAGATTCATCTTGAAGCAAATGGTATCCGGATCAATGATGGAAGAAAAGTTGCCAATAATTTTGCCTGCCACTTTGGAATTTAAGGTAGCCACTGCTAGAGACATCTGCCATTTTTGAAATTTCCAAACAAAGTTCTACTGCATTAGGAATAATTTGAAAAGCTTTACCTTTACAGTCAATGTCAGTTCTAAACACAGCAGTAAGAGGCATAGTCTTACACTCCCCTTCTTCACATAAGAAATGTTCATGGCGAAAATGTCTAACCAAATCTTCCATAATATTGTAAAATTGATGTTTTCCCTCAGCATCACAGAAATGGCAATAGAGATGGTTTCTTCGTAAATGTCGAAATAGTTCTTCACTGTCCATGAAACGAGTATCACAGAATTCACATAGAGGATGGCCACTAGAAAAATCGACTTTATTTCATGATATCTACATTTGCATGAATTCTAGACCATATCAACCGTTTTTACCACTTACCGGTGTGAGGTATTATCAGGGTCTCCTTTCCTTCTATGGTGCCCCAATTCCTGTCTTGTATAACAGCGTTTTTCAAAACTGAAAATCTTGAGGTTCGTAGCACAAATATCGCAGTAAAATAACTCATGTTCTCTCCTCATATGATCTTTCAGCTGCTGGAAGGTTTTGAATGGCCACTTTCTTTCTTTATCTTCACAAATATGGCATCGATGTTCCAAAATTTTTTGGTATTCTTTTTGAATATCAGATGTACAAAAGTAAATGCCAATTTTACGGTCCTGTAAGTTTGACCTTTCGAATCTCGGAAAGAGGCTAGCAAAAGGTTCTACAACTTTTGTGAAGATAACCTGGAAATGATAACTTGGGAATAACTATGCCACTCATCACTTTCTTTTGTATGGTGAAAATGCAAGAGAATAGAATATATTTTTATAAACCCAGGTTCTTACATTGTTCTCTCAGTTAATGATTTGGACTTCATTTACATTATCGCTCTGATTCAATCCAAAAGAGGATTGAAAACATATATGTTGTTTTACAGTGTACATATGAAATGATAGAAATACTTTTCAATCCACTTTTCAAGAAGATCGAACCTGTTGACATGAATAAACATTCATTCAATATTATTTTACTATCTCAATTCAATGGTGCCTACCAGTTCTGAAAATAGACCCCTAAAATCTCGCCTAACATCCTTTAATTAGTAGGAACTCATTCAAGAATATCTTGGTAGATTATATAAAGCAGTATTACTCATAATTTTTTCTTGACGTGGTCCATGAATTTTGTAATTTCTTTCTACAATGGATTATTAACATATGTTTAAATTTCTCAGTGATAATATTAAAAAAGGCAAATATAACATAATTAGAAAATTTCAGTTGAAATTATACAAACTTTTATTGCAACACTGAAAGTTGCATTGTACAATTTATATTATCACATTATTATGATAGGGTATGGAAATGGTAATAAAAAACCAAATATTTATGCTGAATTTCTTCTTCCACAAAAAGGGGAATCTCATACATCAACATCCACAAATTCCAAGTGAAAACCTGACATTGTTCAATTACCAATTTTAAAATGTTCATTTGAGTCACTCCTCTGAAACTGCTCCCCGGATTTATGTGAATTTTTTTGTGTATACTTTGTAGGTATAAGAATAGGTCTTAAAGTATACCTCATACCGGTAGGTGATTAGAATGTCTCTATGGAGAAAAAAGTTTTTTTATATTTCCTTCATTTGACATCAAATTTGATACCCTATAGAAATAATGTATATGGCAGACCACCATTTACTGGCTCAGCTATCATGTATATATAAAGTTATATCTACACTGGTGCATGAATGTTGCCACTAAAAATGAATGATGAATAGTTTATAACTTCTCACAAATTGCAACTTACAACATAGACAGGGTGCATAAATCCAGCCTTGTTCTGTTATTTTGGATTATATACATAAGAGTGTTTCAAATAAAATTTTATGATTTTTGTTCCTGGATACCGTTTTTCTAGATAGATATATTATTGTTTAACATGGTGACAGTTGGCAATCAATGTTATTCTGTATGAAATATTTGGTTAGCTCATAGACAGGTGTTTTTATAAATATTATATAAGAGATATGAATGACCAAGACACGTTTGTCCTGACCAAAATAGATCAAATTTTGTCTATTTTCTAAGGTAGTATATATCAAAAGAAATATAATTCAAGGTTTATATTAACACTGGTTTGTACCGGTTCCTGTTTTTTTATTACCTTGGGCAGCTCTTGTCTGCATATGGGACATTCATTTTGCTCGCAGAGCACCCTCATTCTTGTTGAACACTCAAAACAGACGGCATGATCACAAACTCCCACAGAATAAATTTCAACATTTTTGAAGCACACCACACATAAATTTTCATTGTCACTGGAATTCACTGCTTCTGCTGCAGACATGTTTACAATTTATGGGAAAAACGGCGTTAAACTTAAAAAAAACACAACATGTAATCTGTAATGAATAATATGGCAAAGTCAAATATGACAAAACAGAAAACACATGTACATTTTATTCCTCCAACTGTCAATAGTGACAATTGTCAATTTTTGACCACAGAATATCGGATCTACAGTAGTTCCGAAGTTATAGTTCTGTGGTTCCGATATTCTGTGCTTTGAGGCTGTGACAGGACAGGAAAAAATATGTGTTCGGTTGGCTTACAGATCAACGTTAGAATCAAACTGGAGGGAAGATATATTTCTGCCATAGTTCAAACATTTTTTTTTGTCATTTGTCATGTTTAAAAAAAATAATTCTCCCTCAATGTTCTTAGCTTTTGCTTCCATTCAGGCGCATTAAGCCATAAAATTTCAGTTGTTTCAGATTCGAGGGTACCATTGTCGTAAAAAAAAACAAAGAAATAGTAAAGATATTTGCTAATTTATGAATGGAAATATTGTAATTTGCATTGTAGTATTGTATTAAAATAATCTCATAAACCCAGTTGGAGTGGTTATACAAAATGCGTGATTTTTGGGTCTTCTGATCTGGGCATTTTCCAAAATATATGTTCATTCTGGAAAAATTGGTTATTAAATCTATTGAAAAACATTTTTTTTTTCACAACGGAATAAAAACACTATCTCTCGACGCGCGTTTCACTGTTCAAATGTAATGATCATCAAATGACCGTCTTGTCGATAATTGAACATTTAAACAAATTCAGCAAATGTAAAAATGCTCATTTCATATTGACATTCATAGAATTATTCGACAACGTTCATCAACTGAATAGTGCCTATTTCTATAGGCAAACGGAATTATTAGCTATCAACTGGCTGAGTTAAAAAACATTAAGTTGGATAAAGTATTGCAGTCACAGGAAAGAAAAATGATAACTATTTTCAAGCTTTCTAAACTTCAACTGGCTCTTCTTAAAGAACTCTCTATATGGAACCATAAGATGTATAAATACATAATAATAATCGCAACCTATGGGGTTATTAATGTAAAGCCCGAAAATAAATTATGTTTTCTTTGAGACATTTTTGAATAAAATAGATAAAAATACACTTTGAAATTCAAACACATGAAATATTTTATATATTGCTAAGAGAACCATATAGATGAATAGTAATTGCGTGATATGTAGTCCTCTATATCAGGCAGATATATCTAGGATGGAGAAAGTACATAACAAATTTCGAAGATCATGGGCACTTAAGCTCGGAAATCAGAGGTTCCGTTATAATTACTCCGACATTCTGTTACTTTTGAATTTATCGAGCTGAAATTGATTCGAAACTTCTTCATAGAGTTATATATGGTAATATGTATTGTCCATACGTAACACAGCTGATTGACTTCAATGCAAATTAAAGAAGAAACCATAGTGTCGAAGTTGTTGAAAATTCCTTACCATTATACTAGCTATGGCTCGAATGAATCCATTATTAGAATGTTCAGGCTAACAGATGAGAATAGCATCTATATTTATGTATTTCATTCATCCTTACATTCTTCGAAAAATCAAGTTAAACGTATTGACCTACTATGAAAAAATCGATATTTTGTATACTTGGTCTTGGTATTCTATATCATTGTTCAATTGTTTATCTCTCTCTCTCTCTCATTCATATGCTTATTATGAAATGACAAGTCCGTAAATTAAAAAAAAAAACATAAATATAAAACTAGATGAATTGTCAAATATATTTGTTTCATATTATTCATTCAGTGCTCTCCACAATGTATAAGTCATAAGATCTTCAAATGTGTTCAATTTCAAAGTGTATTCAATATTGTTCCAAAATAAACATAATTTATTTGAGAGTTTCACATTTATAAACTCACCTTCCTACTGTGGGAACGTTAGAAGAGGTGAATTTTCCGAAATATTCATTTTCTTGATACTTATATATCTCTTCTCAATACAGTCAGACTTATTTTGATTTCTTCACGAGTGTCGCTACATGGGATGTATCTCATCTGAGACTTTGTTCACGGACATTTCCTGCACTGATGAGAGGTAATATCCCGCTCATTTTCGACTTTAGGAAGAAAGGTGATATGAGCTTTGATGTTGAGGATATTATTACGAATCGGAATGCAAGATAAAATATGCAGTGTTCCATTTAAAAAAATATCATTTCATGAATTATTTTGATTTTAATTCTCTCATCCATTTTTTTGTATCAGATGGAGTAGTAGAAAGCCAAAAACTTTCTTTCCCAAAAGTTCATTTACTATTACAAGATCAGTGACATAGAACACTTATTTTGAGAGTTAGGCGTCCTGTGTCATTGATGTGACATGCGACATCCAGAACAGAAATTAAATTTAGGGAGAGAATATGGGTTAGTGATTTATTTCCTTCACTTTTCAAAAATAATCAAATTAAGTCTTGTGAAAAATTGAATAATAATGGAAAAATGGAAATAAAAAATGATGAAGGACTGAAAACGGGGGAAGCCCTCAACATACTTTATGTTGAAATATCTACTTTACTACATCAATATGAAACATCACAACATTGGAGGTATTATTTTTCATAATAAAATTCTTTTCATCTTTGAACTGAACAGAAAATTATTAATTTAGGGTTTTTATGAAAGTAGATGCATACCAAACCTTGTCTTATTCAAAGCATTCAATCCTATTAAAAAAATTGTTTATATGAGTGGATTTTCCTTTAGATGTTGAAGATCAACTGTTATAAATGCTGGAGTAACAAGATTTGTTTGTAACAACATTGTATAAAAGAAACACAACTGATCTTAACACATTCATATACTAACACAACAACAAAGGACTTATACTTTATACCTTTTATTATTTTGCTGATATTATCTTAGTTTCAAATGGAAGTGTGATTAAGATCACATTATGCAATAAATTTCTTGACATTTCTGAAATAAAAAAAAATTCTATTACTATACAAGTCTTGTCTAGTTACTATATAATCAAAATATCATTTAAAAACTGTGATAATATGCAACTAAAACTTTTTGTCATTCATTGGTAGTCTCAAGAGGAATCATTTGTATGTGTTAGAACATGACTAGAGTCTTGATTTTATTTTCCAGATGACCTTATTAAGATTCATGTAATTCTTTCTATTTTAGTTACAGTTTCTATAATTAAAAAAACGTGTAAAAGAACTTTTCTCAATCACCTTTGTCACAAACTTCCCTATTGAAATGAGTTCTAATCTATCAATTATCACTTCGAAGAATCAATTCTTATCACTATATAATCTTGGAACTTTGAACTCATGTATATTCATTTATAAATTTGTAAACAACCACTGCCGTCAACTTTCGCACACCTCATCTAACTAGTAGAAATGAACAATATTTTTTGAATATTTTAAATCTCCTATATACTTTGTAAGTATGCAGAAAATGTAATGTAGTCTACTATAAAGTAGATGTGTATGCTTCAACAATCTCAACTTCAAAAAAAATTAAATCCATCCTACTCCAAACCAAACTACACATTTACAATGAAACCCCTCCACATATAAAGCAAACTAAACTCTCAATACTTTTTTCTTTTTTGGTGTTCCTTTGAACTCTGTTCACATACTCATAACCCTTACTTTTGTATCACCACCATTTTTTTCAGATATCAGTAGGTTTTCTGTTAATATAAAATATGTAAAACCTGCTCATGTAACACATATTCCTAGCTGACTATGTAATTGGGTTTTGTACCTGTTTGGACAATAAACTGATTAATATTAACCTGAAGTTACCCATTGCAATGTTGCAGCCTGGTCTGTGTCACCGGATCAACGGAATGTCTACAAAGACCGACAACATACGATTTGGTGCAAGAGTCACCATGGAAACATCTACTGAACGCGGCCGAAACGTGGGAATAATAAATCATCCTAGTGAAGAAAAGAATAGACCGAAAAAAGTTCTTGAGTGTTCGAACATTGTATACTATTGTAAAATAATTGTTTTAAAGGATACTGAAGTAATGTGTTTTGACTGAGAGATAGAGAGAGAGAAATATATTTACACCATTTAAAGTTACACAAATTTCTGCAAAAAACATCCAAAAAGTTTTCGCGCATACATAGCGCTATTTAAATAAAAATGGTACATAAAACATAACAAACAAAACCAACAAATTAGGAAAAAAATTGTTATTGGAAAATTCACCACCACCATTCCGGGTGCGTTGAGGCAAGTCTTGCCTCTGGATATTTTTGAGAGAGCCGAGCACTTCAACCCTGCTCTCTGACTGGAGCAGGTCCTTTTTCGGCGCAGGCTGGAGAGCGAATTTAACAGGTTGTTGAGTGGAGGTCACTGGCATTAGCCTCTGCTGGCTCAGAGCCAAACCCCCAGTTAATGAGCTCTTTTTATACCCTCAATCATTTTTGCACTAGTTGGTATAATTGCTGGGCAGCAGCATCTTTGGTTGAGGGCATACGAATGAGGCAGACTTCAGCATGGACTACCAACCTAACAAATACCCTATGGCGCAGGTAGTCATTTTCTCCTCCACCAAACAGCGCTATGAGACATTTGTTACCAGTAGAGTGTATCTTTCCGTGAGTCGATTATGATGTGCTTGTTATGTTTGTTCCTCTGCAGTACCTTCCTCACAATGAGAGTGTCGGCGTCCTTAGGGACTTGCCCCATCTCAATCCCTTGGCTCTCAATCCCTCCTTACGATTAGAGAGAAACCTCTCTTGGGCCACTTCAATGAGTATAGTCTCCTCAAAAATAATTTCACTGCACGCTGAGGCAGCATAATTGAAGGTGTAGCTGATGTAAGTGGCTATTAGGAGTAACTCTTTCACTGAGTTATTCTGATGTCATACGACCTTGTGAGTGAGGTAATCTCCATCCACTACAACAAACGTGTCACCCCCCAACAGGGATGGTATCTGGGAGGGCGTGCAGGCAGAGAGGAATGCTGACTTTGTTCCCTTTTGCATTCCCTCTTCAAAAAATGAACCAAAGTATATATAACAATATTTACCCTAGATCGCATATTTTGGAAAACTACGCGAAAAACTCAAAAAAGTTTGCACAGGTCTTTTGAGGCTACAAACTTGATTTTACATAGTTGGTACCTACGCTAACATCCCAAAAATTCTGAACTCTTCATCACTTTGCGAATCTAAAGCGTTCTTTATGTATCAGATGACTTGGCTGTTAATTATGAACAACTGCTCAAACTTTGTGAAATATTTTCAGGAGAAATTAATTTTTGGGAAAAAAAGGTTTTGGATTTCTACTTCTCAATCTTATTTATTTATTTATGGGTTCAAGACCCATTTCACTCAATACAATTTTAAAATTAAAAATACAATCGTAAGAAAATATGTCTGTTAAACCAGTTATCAGTTAAACCATTCTACGAAAGACAACTCTCAAAAATCTAAACTTGTGCGAATTAAGGTCTAACGAGGTCTTACCTTTTGACGTGTGATTCCTAACACGGGTTGGACGATAGGAAGTGAAAATCGACGGACCGGCCTCGCGGCTTGAACCACCGGTTCACACAGCGGTCGATTGAGTGAAGCAAACCACCCACGTCAACCCACCAGGTCACCGTCATCTAGTTTTGATGGTTCCTCTCTTAGTCGATTGATGGTGGTTGGATTTCTGGTTCAGATACTGTCCTGTGTGAGTGGGTTTTCGATATACAGATGTTTCCCATTTAGTGTCGGTCCTCTTCACCAATACGTCTAAGAAAGGCAATTCGTTGCGGATTTCCTTCTCCATTGTGAAAGTGATAAAAGGAAAGTGTCTAGTTCTTTACTCTAGACTTTACTCTAGACTCTACTCTAGACTCTACTCTACTCTACTGGACCGTGCTTTTGGGCTCTGTAATACAAAGGAAGGTCTCGAAAAGGAACTAGGCATCATCAAAAATGACCTTCAACGGAATGGTTACTCCAAAGTGATGGTAGAACAGGCCTTAGCTAGAAGACAGCAAGAACTCCACAAGGAAGAGAAGCCGCCGCAACCAGTACTTGTACTTCCCTACATCAGAGGATTATCGGAAAGGATAAGACGGATTGGGTCCAAGTATAACATCAGGACCTGCTTCAGATCTGGGAACACTATCCGTAGCAGCCTCACGAAAACCAGGTCACCAAACGCGGACTGCGATTCTAAGAATTGCATTTACCGGATACCATGCGAGTGCGGAGAATCATACATCGGTGAAACTAAGAGGCCATTGAAAGTTCGCATTGCTGAGCACAAGAAACACACACAGCGAGGAGAAACCAGCATATCCGGAATAGCAGAGCATGTTTGGATTCATCAACGCAACATCAAGTGGGCTCAAGCTGAAATCATCCATAAAGAGGAACACTGGTTTAGGCGAATATTCAAAGAAGCCGCGTATATGTTGTCCAACAACGCATTTAGTCAAGCTAGCGTAGAGATACGTAACATATGGAAACGAAAAACGACCAACTCCCGCCAAACGGTCATCTCCCGCCAAAACCAATGAAGCGGAAAGAGGAAAGAGGGGATAGGTGAAAGCACTCGAATAACCTATAAATAGTCAGATCATGGAGGAATAAGTCCAGTTATCACCCGAAGACGACTGGATACTTGGTTTGAAATCTTTTAATTTTTATTATTTTTTCATTTTTTGATAATCATATTTTTAATTTTTCAATTTTTTCAGCTTTTATTAATATTTCAATTTTTACTTGTTTGGTTGTTGTTGTATGTTATTTCTTTGTAATTTCAGTTTTTTGTTTAATAAAATTGTTATTTTCGGTTAATCATTTTGATTTTTTCAGGGTTATCAAATCTATTTATATTATATTAGACAATGGAAGTCCGAACTGATGAAATACACCACGAAACATTGTCAACTACCTTCAAACAAAAGTACCATACCATCGTTAAAACACCAACTGGATAGTTGATCCAAATCTTCCAAAGAAAGAAATGAAGCAATCAGTTTCATAAAAGTTACTCTACAATTTTTGTATCAAGATGGAGAAGTAGAAAGCCAAAACCTTTTTTTTCTTTGAATATGTGTTTCACACACAAGTCATTTGCTTAGCAAAATTATGAAAATTATGGTTGAAAACATTTCAACCAATTGAACTAGGTGCACTTGCACTCGTGATATAACCCTTGAATAACTCCATTACGTTTTTCTTATTATTTCTAGGAAATCCAAATCTTGGGTTAGAGATGCTCTTCACTTCAAAAGTCAACGTACCACAGTTAACATAATATCAATAATTTTTGGAGTATGGACAGCTATATCACTGCTGATTGGATATTTGTTAGAAGGTGATAATGTGGCAGGATATGAAGCTATACCAATTTTATTTTTAATTTTGATGAATGTCACTCTTGAACTCTATGACAATAAACTCCGACACAATGAAATTCCCAATAGAATAAGGTCTTTTTTGGAGAAGTTGAAAAAAGAACGGAATAATATCAAGTGGACTTCTGAAAATTACCCTGACTTATATTCACCTATCTCACCATGTATTACCTTACATTGGACATATCGGGATGGACAACTAGTCAACTTACCTTGGGCATTGTTAGTGAAAGATGACATAGTTTTAATGAGACCAGGTAAAGACATTTTACTTATTTCCTTCCATTAGTAATACTTTTTGTACTCTGTTGTACGACAAAGTAGTTGCCATTTTCTACATAATAATAACAAAAAAAAAACAGTCAATGGAAAGAAAACATAATAACATGGATAGAGAGGAATGAATTTTCACATTTTTCATAAACAAACCAAGGTGGAAAGAATGTTTTATTTCTCTTCTGAACACTCCGATGAGTGTTGAAAATAGATCAGTTTTTTCGCATATCTGAATTGGAGATTTCAATAGTATATTCATTCTTGGAACAAGTAAATAAAAACAGTGAGCTTCTGCTGTTCAAACGGGGTATGTTGAAATTCAGTTGAGATAATAACTCGTGACAATCAGCCAGGTAGTTTGTGAGTATATATATAAAAATGCAAAAGTGGTTGGTTCTAAGGTCCTCCAGAGATAACAACGAAAATCTGTGTAGTAATAAGTTATTATCTAAACCTTGTTCGGGATATAAATTCCATCAATTCTGTATACAATATACTTTAAGTATTTTCATTGAATTGATTTGTCCAGATGAATGTGATTGAGGTAAATAGGAGACCAAATCAGAGAGCCATATTCTAAGCACGTTCTAACATATGAGGTAAAGAGAGCAATGAGGCTATCTTCATTTTTGAAGTCTTTACAGTTTCTGAAAATCAAGCAAAGCTTTTTTTCGCTGCCGATGCGGTTTTGATTATGTGCGATAAGAAGCTCAATTTGGAGTCAAAATTAATGCCAAGATCTTTTGTAACATCACACCGACCCAAAATAATTTGATTTATTGAGTAAGTGTATTCCACTGGTTTGATTTTTAAAGTATAAGTAGTGTAAAGACATTTCTGTATATTTAGGGGTAATTTATTTGTTTTACACCAAGCAGCTAAACAGTTAATATCCTTTTGGAGTAATTTAAAATGTCGAAGATACTATGCAGTTCATTTTTTTTTATGACATTTTCACTTTTTCAATGACGCAGAAAAATTAACAACATAGTATCTCAGACATATTTTCAGTAGATGCCTCTTGGGGGCATCCTTTAATGGAAAAGTTGAAAAAATACAACTTACTATTTAGATTTTCGAAAAGTAAAAAATGGCATTAAAAAAATAAGAAAAAGTACATGAATTAATGGAAAATATCAATTATTTAATTTTTCCTCAAAATCTGAGCAAAGTTCGTCATTTATTTCCTCCTATATCGAGTTGTTTGACAATATTTTTATAGATGACGTCTTAGTGCCGCCATATTGAATTTGTAGAAAATGACTCTTACGCCACCAGTTTGAATAGAAATGGCCATATGAGTTAAATCGTTGAATAGATATCCTTAAGACTTTATGCAGGCTACGATGACATTTCGATCAAAATAATACAAAACCTTCCTCATAGTGCCCTAAATGTACTGGTTTCACTGATAAGTGTATCCTTTCAAACAGGCATATTCCTCTTTTTTCTAAAAACCTCAGTGGTCATTCCTCTGCATAAGGGCATAGATTCTGATGATCCCTCTAATCAACGCCCTATATCTCTCATACCAACCATCGCAAAAAATCATTGAAAAACTAGTTAAAAAACGACTACTTTTTTCATAAATGAGCATAACATCATCAGTGAAAATCAATTTGGCTTCCAGAATAATAAAAATATGCACGATGCTATTTTCTCATTTCTGAATGAAGTTTATTCTGAGATAAATGTCGGTGAAAAGACTGCCGCAGTATTTTGTGACCTGTCAAAGGCATTTGACTGTGTTGATCACACAACACTGCTGAAAAAGCTCCAGCGTTATGGATGCAGAGGAGTAACTCACAAATGGTTCGATTCCTACTTAATGGGATGGACGCAAATGATCAAAACAACTCAACTTTAAAAAAAAAGAGGGTAATTGATTCTGGAGTTCCACAAGGTTCTGTGTTAGGTCCCATTCTTTTCTTATTATATATTAATGACCTCACCAAGCTTCATATTTCTGGGAAGTTCACCTTATTTGCAGATGACACTACCATATTTTGGAATAATAAAAATACTTCTGAGTTGCACAAAATAATCTTTGCTGACTTGAAAAAAGTCAAAGATTGGTGTGATTCAAACATTTTATCTTTTAACTTAACTAAAACAAATTTAATATCATTTATATGCTCAATCAAAGAACTTTTTTTTGAAGACAGATCACTGGAATTTAAAAATAATACTAAATTTCTAGGAGTGTTCATTGACCAGAATTTAAAATTTGTAGATCATGTTGAACAACTCACTAGAAAAGTCTCCTCTGGCTGTTATGCGGTTAGAGTGATTTATAAAGAATTGAAGTTCAGCACTGCAAAGACGGCGTACTATGCACTCATAGACTCTCATTTACGCTATGAAATACCGTTTTTGGGGAGCATGCAGTCCAACTTTATTCAAAAGTCTACTAATTTTACAGAAAAGGGCAATAAGGTATATAGGAAACCTTGAACCAAGAGACTCCTGTAGAACCTTCTTCTAAAAACATAATATTCTAATGGTAACTGCATTATTTATAATGGAATCTGTGTGTTTAATACATAAGTATATATTAAATTTTGCTGATCCTCTTCCCAGTATTACACCCGAAACAGTAGACACACTCTGAAACTCACTGCCAATTAAAAACATCACCAGAGACTCCATTTTTTACAACGGTCAAAAAATGTACAATCATTTGCCTATGGACATAAGATCTGCCAATATAAATGACTTCCAATTCAAGAAGTTAGTCAAACAATTTCTATCTGATAGACCCTATTATACTTTGGATGAATATTTTAACTATAGCTTTTAAGTGACTTACTCATATTTTTTATCTTTATTTATTAAGGAGCTACTAAGTTGTTACTTTTTATGTCTACTCTTTTATAAACTTGACTTTTACTCTTTTATATATACATATCTTTTATATCCTTCATTTTGAAATAGTTTGTACCCATGCACAATTTTTATTTCATTTGGTATGTATTGCATTTTTTTTAAGTATTTACTACCCAAGCTTTGTATACAAGATTATGTCTTATGATAATAAAGCATATTATTATTATTATATTTGATCAAATGGCCGATCTACTTAGAATTCTTGACTTGGGTTCATTTCCAGCTTTCCGGCTTCGATGAACTATACCTTTATTTTGAATTTCAAATTTCTCACCTCATAAACAATTAAACGGCGCCAGTATAGTTTGTAGATGCACTCACCAAAAGATTTTCATGATAGAGGTAAGTTTGCCAAAATTTTGGTGATTAAAATTTTCAATTGGTCTAAAATATATGTATAAAGTGCAGATTCGATACAAGAACTGTGTTTGGCAGATTTTTTCATTGTACACTGACTAAAAGTGATCCTTGAGATATGTTTGTTCTAGGACTGTGAAACCAGCAACTCAAATAAGAGGATGATAACCTATTTTTTTTTCAGGTCAAGCAAGTCCTGGGTATTGTGAATGTCTTGACAAACACTCCGAAATTCCTATTTTGCATGCCAAGGAAATATACGCTCCATTACTTCAAAATGCAAATGAAATCTTCAGTGCTCCAAAATCTCGTAAACCATTAGAGCCGAAGAAGTACCGACTTCTAGAAACTCCATACCTGAACAATTTGAAAATCTTTCTGGAACAAGCTTTGGACAGACCTGTCACACTATTGAATCATCAAAGGCATTTAGTAACTATAAAAATTGTGGAGCAAGTGATGTTACCATTTACTTTCATTTCAGTGTTATTCGTAAATTTGTTTCGATATTTTTATTTCCACAAATACTTCGGCCGATATTTGGTTTCAAATACTCTTTTCATCGTCCCATGTAATGTAGTTTTGCCGTTGTTACCAATGATTTTTCCTCTATTCTGGAATTTGGTGAACTACTTCGGAATAGCAAGGTTAGTTGATTCATTACCTTATAGTCCAAGATCCTAGAGCCCCCAAAAATCGTATGTGATTCCTTGACTCCCTGCATTGAAAACTTGTCCTCAATTTTTTTAAAATCTAACGTTAGATCACTATCATTAATAAATGACATTGTGCTTAGAATGTGACAACATCTGTCAGATCATATGGTTGATTAATAAGTCCTACTCATCAAAGTCAGTTTGACACCAACTCAGGGATGATTGGTGTTCACTGTATATCGTCTGGTCCTTGATAGAAATCGCATCTTAAAAGATGAGATACTTAGCCCGCACAAGTTTCGACTTCAGAGGGTTATCGTGATTTGAAGTTAGAGAGTTATTCTGCTAGTTCTGAAGAACTACTGAAGCCTTTGTAAATATGGCAACATACAATTTATTCAGATATCATTATACTGTTATAGTCGACCGATAGATGTTATGGTAGTTGTTCAGCTACCATAATACTGCTGATATCTGTAAAAGGACCACTACTTATTATCCATTGCTGGGAAAATATTCAGCTGAAATAATAGGTTTGGGGCTCTGGTATTTCGATATATTATGCTTTTGAGATTTTTAAAATGAAAACTTGAAATGTTTTTTTTGATAAGTTTATATTATTTGAAAAATAGAAAAAATCTGAATTCTTGAAAGTAACATTCAGATGGATTAGATATGAGTAGTTATGCAGCAGACAATGTGGCTCCTTGTCGTTATAATCTATATGCACTTTCAAATCACAGTGGGACTACTTACAACGGGCATTACACAGCATATTGCAGACACCCATATAGTGGCATGTGGCACGAATCCAACGATTCACACGTGTTCTCAATTTCGCCAAAATCACTTGTGAGCAATGAGGCATATGTCCTCTTTTATGAACAGGAGGGAACGAAGCAGCACCTTTGATGTGATTTTTTTTTCCTTCCTTTTTTTTATAATCTTAGTTCTTTGAATTGATTTGTATTTCATGATTGTTCCAAATTTCATTATTTATTGTTCAAAATTGAAAATAAAAATATAATTATTCGAAAAAAAAAATATTAGAGTATGTTTACAGTTATATGTTGGGTTGTTTCAAAAGTTTTTCCGTTTTTATGAGTGTACTTCAAACTGTAATATCTCAGTGAATACTTATTCAATTTAATCGAAATAAGCGCCATTTGAATCAGTGCACTTTTGCCAACGTAATACAAGTGAATTGATTTTGTCAGCATAAAAGTTGTTTGCCTGGGATTTGATAAAGTCCACGAAGGCCGTTTTTTCTGGTCCTGATTGGCGAAGGTTTTACCGGTGAGAAAGTTATCGGGGTGCTTGAGAAGATGATAGCCGGTTGGCAAGAGGCCTGAGAAGTATGGTGGATCAGAACTTCAACCGTCAATTCGTTTAATTTTGGGACGGTGATTTGTGAAACATCCGGTCGGGCGTTGTTATAGAGCAGGATCGGTCTTTTTCTGTTGACTAGTGCACAATAAGACTGATGTAATGGCTTGGCTCAGTTGCAGAAAGTTATAATGAATCACACCAGCTGCTGATAACCATACAGTAAACATAGTTGGGTAACAGGATCAATTTTTTCTTAAAAAACCAATTGTATTCTTGTCCTGAACATCTTCTGTTGTCATAGAGTATCCATTTTTCATCACAAGTGATGATCCGATCCAAAAAAGTATCTTTTTATTTCCACAAAAACAAAGAATAACTGATCTCGAAATGTGACAACTCTGTCCATCGTTCAAATCCTGGGGCACCTACTTTTCGAACTCTTTGACATTTCCAATACGTTTTAAACTATCAAAAATCGCAAGGAAGCTGACGCTCAGTTCTTCCGCCATCACACAAACCGTTTGTGATGGGTCAGTGTCCACCAGGATCCTCAGCCTGTTTTGGCAGCGCTTAGTTTCAATTTGAATTCGTAGAGAAAAATTGACTGAAAATCCCTCAACGACATCATAAAGTAGTAATAAGCTGAAAAGAGGCAGAAAATTTAAATTTGGAAAAATTAATAGCATCGATATAAACTACAAAATCATCTACGGATCAGTATATACCACACACAGTAGAATGAATATTTATTGGAGCTACAAAAACACATGACATTGAAATGGACAAAACTTTTAAAACAACCTAATATCATAATAATTAGTCTGATTTATCACCCATTGGAGAGGATTATAAGTATTTATTGGTGAAGGTCAACAGTTCATGGTACATATGGTAATAAACTTTTGCCCAAATAGCAAGTAAATATCTGAAGAATATAATAATGAAGATAATCAATTACTCCAGGAAAAGAAAATATAAAATGGCGGAGTTCAGACTACGTTCAGTTGACCAAGTTAGCATTATCCATGATTATAATTATATTGGATTGAATCAGTACGACTGATGATGTCGCTCTGTAGTGAAACGTGTCTTGAATAAATTTCATGTGAAAATTATATAATCATTATAGTGTTAGTAATTTTCATCAAGTAATGGGTCAGTGTATTCATAATTATACCTTTATAAGCTTTGGTAACTAATTGAAAAATCTACACCCATTTTAATTTGAATGTTTTGGTGCTTCTAATAAAGGATATTTTCTAGTTTCGTGAATATGGTCAACTTTCTCTGATTCAAAGAAGATACTACATTTGTAAACCATATAAAACACAAATAAAGTGATGTCATTGTTAAAAGTGTGATATTTACAAATACTCCTACATGAATCAATTGACATCAGTGTAACTATAATAAAAAAAGCTCTTTTTTGTAACATGTAAACCCTAGAAGCTTTAGAAGATAATCCCCAGTGCATTATGCTGTGTTTCAGAGTTGGTATATTGATTTACATTTCGTATCATATAAAAAGACATAGTGGTTACTTGGAATGTTTTTCAAATATATTTTGAATATGTAAAATAATATTATGATGTAATATTTCAATGAAAATGTGCTACTTAAATGCTATTTTTCGAACGGAAAATTAGAGCTTGACTAATTATCTTCTCACAGAAGGTGACAAGTCATGACAAATTATCTTTGGAGGTATTATAACTGTAAGTGAAAAATATCTTCATTTTGTTCAAATTCTTCCAGGTTTAAAGCTATTTTTGATGGCACCATTGCACTTGGAATGCAACGTAGTCAACTGGAAGAAGATGCAGATAATATCACTGAATATCAAAATGAGATAAAAATCAACAGAAATGAAGTTTATTCAAATTTTATGAAAATTATTAAAGGAAAACCTGAAATTTTGACCAGATCTACTAATATCTTGCACGTTCTTGGATCGGTTAGCGTAAGTATGAAAATAATCTCATTTTGTGTATGAATCTATAGTAAGTGCTAAAGTAATTGAATAATTATTTTTTGAAAATTTTTAGGCATTAGGATGTATTGATAAAAAAGGAATATTATCATGGCCTAATCCAACTGCTGAGAAAGTATTTTTTCTGCATAATCAAAGTAATGAGTCACTCTCTTCAAGGTTAGTACCGTTAATTCAATGAATGGTCTTTCATAGATAGACATTGCAAAAAAATTGAGATATTTTTGAAATCATTTTAATGTTATATATATATGACTTACTAAAAAAAAGTAAGTTGTCTTTATCATTTTGGTCTTTATACATTTGTTTAAAAAAATTTTCCTAAGTTCTTGAACTATTTTCTAAAGTTTCTAATCAACTATCTGTAGTTTCTTGACATCTTCTCAAGTTTTCATACATTAGAAGAAATTTTGTGTCAACGATCTCTTTCCTCGCTTCAGCAAACACACTTTAAACGTATGTAAACTGTCACTTCCAGAGAAAACTGTGTTGAAACTGTTATCCATGTTTCTTATTCTTTGTTTTGGTCAACAGATTTTTATGTTTGCAGTTTGTTGCATCTGCAACAGCGGTGGACATTAACGAAGATATTGAGGCGCAGATGAATAGTTTTGTTCTCATACATGTCTTCTCTTTGTTCGAAATTATAAGTGAATAATAAGTTTTATAAGTTGTGTCGAATTTTCATCATACCTAATAATGTTACATTACTTTGAAGTAATTAAGTAATTTGTTTGAATAATTCCTTATGTCTTTAATTTTTGTTTCAGTTTGGATAATGTAAATGATTTGTCAACTGATATCGACCCCGTCTGTCCTAATATTCTCCCAGAGAGTGCCAGAAGTGCAGTCACAGAAGTGCTTGATCTTACTCATAAACACAACGAACCATTCAAGTTATATTTTGATGATCAGGACTGGAGTAAATATTTATCATCATTGAAACCTCTAGGGCTTGCTATTTTATTGAACACCTGTAATGTAGATACGCAGGTAAAATAAAATAAAAACTTTGAAAAATATCAGAATAATTGAAACTTATCACAAATTTGTGTGATTTTTAGAGATTACTGACATTTTATAAAAGTTTTATGTTCTGTTGGACTTCATCCAGAACCCAATCCTGTCCTCATGAGATGCTGATGTGTTTTACTGACATTACCTTTTCACTAAGAGCATTGTATTGTTTTTCAATAACATTTTTCAAAAAATAGTTTTTCCCACCTATCTATTTTTCATTTTTTATTGAACTGTATGATGACTTAGTTTTATATTAATTGAATATCTGTAATATGCATTTGAACTTCTTTGAGATTTACATGTTTTAGTATCATCGGAAAGATTCTATTTGGGAAATTTTGATATTACATTTTTGAGTTCTGATGAAAGTCTAGTAATTCCATATACTATGAACAATTTTAGAGCTATTAATATCCCATTGTATATATCTACACGCTATTAATTCCACTTCCACTTGACTCATTTCCGATTGCCAACTTAATTTCAATCGGGTTGGAGTAAAACTCCCTGACTCTTTCAACTCGCTGCCATTTAGGACTTTGACTTCGGAGTTATTGTTTCACGGTCCAGAATGGTGAATATCTCCGCCGGGTTCATCTCACATCTGATGGGATGATTATTGACGAACTCAGTTCATCAATTATGCCATTGAGGTTACTCAGTAACCTCACCTCGCCGATATCATAGTCTACCGCGTCCCTAACTAAGAGGTTTTTGTGAGTTTCGGCAATTTCATACTCTACAATTTCGGGTCTGCATAGCCTGTCATATGGTCTGCAGGTTCCCTAACATATATTAACGTTCCGCATGAACCACGAACTTTTGGTGACCATCCTTAGGATTTTGTTATGGACCCCTTCCAGAACTTCAATGGCGGTGGCTTAAAAATCGTTATATAGAGTAAAACTTTGTTCTTTAGATTGAGTTTGCTATGCCTGCTAATGAGGGGATATAGTTCGGATATCCTCGCATTCGCTTTAGTCTTCAGGTTTTGTATATGTTGGGCCCGAGTGAGTCTGCGGTCTTTAGTAAAACCTAGGTACACCAAATGGATCTACAGGCAATGTCTTGCCCTGCCATGTTAAGTCTTAGCTGACTCCAAGTGGAATTTGGCTGTCAGTGAAGCATCATGGTAGTAAGAATCAGAATTATTCAGAACAAGGTTTTCCAAGGATCAAGTTTTACACTGTACACAAAGTCAGTCATAACTTGTATGTATTTCTTGGGTTTCCTTTCTTTGAATTTTTCAAATTAAATGTTGATTTCGACAAGGATTAAGAGATTTTGTGTTTTTTTTTGTTCCCAGTAGAATGCATTTTGGGATAACTTTTAGATGAATTGATTATTGAAGTCCAGTTTTCTAATCGATCCGTAGGAAGTTGTGAGTTCACATTTTCTGTTAGATTTCAAGTATGCTCATTAGTACCAATAATGTAATACCGTTAGGAACTTCATTTCATTGTGAAACTCATTTGAAAATTTCTGAGATTGTTTAATACAGATGAATATTTTTTGTAGAAACATTATACATCATTTTGTTCCCATATAACGTGTGAAGCCATGTACAATGAAAACTTGGTGCCTGTAACCAACAGGAGATGCCTCTGTGAGTTAGCTAAGGAAATAGGATTTGTAGACCAAGCTCAGAAAATATTTTCTTTGGAAGAACAACTATCAGCTTTTCGACATTTGGTAATCTCTTGTAAGCCTGAAAACAATATGTGTTCCAAATAAATTCGTTTCAGCAAACCGAAATGGTTAGGAAAGACAATAAGTTCGTTCGTTCTCTACAATTATCAACAAAACTGAAATTTCCTTTTCCTCACATGTTTGCTGTTGTTGTCAAAGAACTTGCTTCTGGTAATATGCAACTACTATCCGAAGGGACTGCTGATATCATTCTAGATTCTTGTGTTGAGTATTGGGATGGAAAGGATTTGATACCTTTGACAAATTCTGATCGGAAGAGAATAAAAGATTTTTACCAAAGAAGTAGTCTAACGGCATATTGCACTGCATTTGCCTACAGGTAGGTCAACTTGATAATGATAGGTGTTGATTCGGATTTTTCTTTGAGAAAATATTTTTCATTTGTAAATGTTTCTTTTTATTTGATTCAATTTGTATATATTGAAACCAAAAATCTATGAATGAGTTTTCTTTCATGTTATTATGTCTTAATAATTTTTCAGGCCTCTGACGAAGTCAATCGATAGTAAAATGAGCGAAGTTTATTTAGAACTGCCAAGTGATTCTAGAAGCTTGTATCACAACCATAGAAGTCCAACGCCAGCCCATTGGGACTGCAAAAGTGTATTGGAACCTAAAATAAAATCGTGTTCTCAGTTTTATAGTACAGGTAAATAATAAGATTGAACTATATTACTATATGTTAGGCGGCAAAGAAGTGAGAAATAAGCATATAATAGGAATTTCATTACTTAGCCATCTTCATTCCTACTGTATCTGGATAAACTGAGCTTGACTGAGATCGTTCAGTGTTAAACCAACGTAGAAACATTTGTCTATGCTCCCATTTGATATAATTAAAAAAGGTGAAATACAGTGAGCAAAACTTCCAAATTTGCCAGTACTTCTCATTATAACAATAAATGATTCATCAACAAACCTGCAAGATGGTTCTTGAATGTCTACAAAAGTGTCTTGAAGATTGAAACATTCATTAAAATAATCTGTGAAAAAGTGTTAGCTGCTGTGAATAAAACAATCGAGCAAAAACTTCTTTCTCAACATTGAAGTAAAGTGGCAAACTTGCAATCCGATGGGACGAATTTAGAACTCAAGAAATCAATTCAGGGACCCAATCTACTGCTTGGAATAAGGCTGGACATAGCAAATCACCTCCAATAACAAGGGCACTTCCTGCGGCAGGCGCCAAGAGCTCCGCCTTGAATAAAGGCTGCCCCTGCAGGAAAGCTCCCTCACTTGTGCACCTCCACGGAGTGAACCCCAAGACGATTGAAGAAGCCGGGCAACAACAGTAATATCGTTGCACCTTCCAAAACCTTCGCGGAGGCCACCGTGAGACACCTCAAGGTTGCCAAAGAGAGTGTGTTCGGCGAGTCTTGGCCTACACGTGCCAATATAAAGGAGATGTATCCTAGTGACCTGTTCACCTTCCTGGAAAGGACAGGGTGGATGTACCACTTGCTAAAATTTTTCTGATTCAGAGTACAATCACCGTATGCCACTGTCAACATTTCAAGTGTTTTTGAGCACTTTTTTCCATTTTTTGCATAAAGTTTGATGCAAATTCTTTAATTCATTTTTTTTAATAGCAGAAAATCGCCGAACACTCGAAACACTTCTAACTTTTATGCCACTCACCAACAAATTAAACATCCTAAATAGCTGAAACTATGAACATATGTTCGAAACGAGTGTTCAACATAAAAAAAATCGTTAATCAAAATTGGAAGTAAACCTACCTAACTCCCATGAGATATCTTTTATACATAAATTAGACTTCTATCTTGTATCCAGACTGGTAGGTAGGGCCAAAGTGACCCTCACTGCTCACACCTATTCAAACTTGACCAAATAAATCCAGCTTCTGAACAAAGCCAATTACTTCGTTTTTGCCTGGACCCGAATGGCGAAGGTTCTACCGATGAGAAAGTTATCGAAGTTTTTGAAAAGATTGTGGTCCGCTGGCGAGAAGTATGGGGAGTTTGGTGGATGAGGCAGAACTTTGACGCTCAATTCGTTCACTTTTCGGACGGTGCTTTGTGAACCGTGCGGACGGGCGTTGTCGTGAAGCAGGATCGACCCTTTTCTGTTGATCAGTGCCGGCTGCTACTGACGCAGTTTTCTGTATATTTCGTTTTCGTCATGCCAGCTGCTGACAACCATACAGTTACCATGTTTTTTTTTGTGGGTTTTTGCCTTTGGAAAGTGCCCGGGTGGCTCATCGATGTCCAACCACTTTCCCGAACGTCTCCTGTAGTAGTAAAGGATCCACTTTTCATCACACGTGACGATCCAATCCAAAAAGGATATAGTACAAAATTCTCTATCTATCAGTATATAAGACACAGTAGAATAAATATTTATTGAGATGTGAAGCTACAAAAACACATGAAAATAGAACTGACAAAACTTTTGAAACAACTTGATACCTAGTTTCTCATTGCCTATTTTTAGAGTCGATCTTTTGTCAATGTGTGTCACAACACCTACATTCGCTAATATATCATTATTAATGTGAACAAGTAAGCCATCATTTTGATTTTCAGTAGAACCATTGTAATGTTTTTGATATTTTTCTCCAAGTAGATCAGAAGTTGATCATAATTTTTCCTGATACTCCTTATATTAAATTGTAGTAAATTTGTATGTTGGTCATTTCGTTCTCTCAGTTTAACATCTAAAAATAAACATGTAAGTTACCAAATACCACAGTTTCTACTTCTTTATATTCATCTGAACATTTTAAAAACTTTAACACTAGCAGATACAAAGCTGAATGCAATACGTGTATTTATTTATTTATATAATTATAACAGTTTACAGTAACTAATTTATAAATCTAAACAGTGATAACCTCATATTTTGCTAGAAATTAACCAATCATATTTGAAAATCTTATTTACATTTTTTATACAAAGTTTGTTATTGATATTTACAATGATATCTAATTCAGTTCAAACATTTCTCGGGATGTCTTTTTAAAAACTTCATTCATTGATTTGACCTTTAATTTGTTTGAATCCTCTTTGATAAAGATGTCTGTCCCTTTCATTGTTTTTTTTCCTGTAGATTTCTTGTCTCAATTCCTGATTTTAAGAGATACTTACTCCCTCCTGAAGATTAATCTTTCTTTGACGTTTTCCTTTTCATTTTCTGACCAATTCTGAAAATTCTGAGATTAAAGCTTTGAACAAAAAGTTGTTATGGAGAATCGTCGAATCACTATTAGTTGAGTTGCTGAAGATGTCGGCATATCGTTCGTTCCAAAATTTCTGAGTTTTTACAAAAAAACCACCACATGAGCGTCGCTCAGGAACTGTTGAATGACGTCAACTACGATCCAGATTTGTTCAAAAGAGTCAACTGGTGACAAATCATAGTTATGATATAGAAACCAAAGTCCAATCATCCTAATAGAAGAGCCCACGAGAGCCAAAAAAAGCACGCCAAGTTCTATCTGATTGCAAGGTTTTGCTCACTGTTTTCTTCAATTACCATGGCATAGTGAATTAGAAGTTCTTGCCACATGGTCGTACAGTCAATAAGGATATTATCTTGAAGTTACGCACTGCTTGCGAGAAGCAATACGAATAAAACGTTCTGTATTGAGGAAAAACAGTTCATGGCTTTTGCAGCATGATAAAGCACCTGCTCACACAACATCATAATCATGCCTCAGCCACCGTATTCATCAGATTTGGCCCCCTGTGACTTTTTTTGTTCCCAAGATTGAAAATACCCTTAAAAGGACGGCGTTTTGCGACGATTGAGATAAAAACCAAATCACTGAGAAAGCTCAAGGACATACCAAAAAGTGCATACTAGAATTGCTTTGAGGATTGGAAAAAAAAACGCTGGCACAAGTGGGGGGAACTACTTTGAAGGGGACACAATAGAAATTGACGAATAAATAAACATTTTTTTCATTTTTTTGAATAGACAGCGTATGTGTAAAGCTAAATTTAATGAGTTCTGTGAGCCACTATTTAAATCACATGAAATATTAACTGTTGAAGCATCATATATCTTTGAAGCAGTATTGATTTAGACATATAGACTCTCATCCAATTTACTACAATATTTGCCAAAATAATTATATTAAACTCTTCCTTCTATATTTCTGATTGAATATTCATTTATTTACAGTGGCAAAACATACAGCTGCCAGACTGAGTCATGGCTGGTGAGAATCTCTTCCCTCAAGATATGAAGTAGATGTGTAAAAACCTGTTATCAGATATCCATTTATTGTTCACCCCTTAATCCGTACTACGTATAATTGCAAACAAAAGTTTCTATTCCTTTTTTCCTAATACACCAACCCAAACTTTACGCAGATACGATTTCTCCCGCTGGCCATGACTCAGTCCGGTAGCTGTATATTAATCACTTACCTGGTCAGTGAATTATTTGTGATTATCCTGTTTTTTACTTGACATGGTCTACTGTTCTGTATCCCTGCAGCTTCGTAACCATGATTTATTTCATGCACAATGCAGAATATCATCATCATCATTATATCATTTGCTGATATCTTGGGCACCCTTGGGAATATCTTACGGAAGAAGTTTATTCGAACGGCCATTATATTTTTCACCCATCATAAAGTTTTGATTCGTATTTACAATCAATTCAGAATTTTCTGTAAAAGATGGAAATATTGAAATATAAATTGATCTTACTTTACTATGGAAAAAATCGTCACATAAATTTCAATGTTGAAATGAATACGGCAGTTTCCAAGGAAGTGTTTCTTTTTCTGAAATATCTTTATCAATTTTCTTAGCGTCAAATAATGAGTTTAGTTTAATGTACCAGTTTGACTAAGAAAGCTACTTACTGTACAGTGAAACATGTCTTCAGAAAATCGTTTAATATTCATGGATAATATTTACTTACAAAACCGAATTTGAAAAACTAAATATTTGAACTACTATAAAATATCGAAATGATAAAAATAATTTGGTCATGTTGACGAATATAAATAACACTCAAGATGTGCATAATTTTGTTTAAATAATTGATTTTGATAAGTTGGAGATAGCCTATTCCTGCCTATTCCTTCTTAGATTAGTAATTTATCTTGTTTTTGAAAAGATGGGACGAAAGACCAAGAATACATAGTTCAATGCCAGCCCGTATAACTCCGGCAAAATGTGCTTTTGTTTCGCCCGGAATTCTAGAGGATTTTTTTATTCAATTCATAATAATAATTATAATATTTAATTTATTAATCCCAATAAACATAACATGTTTATATTAGGGACAATGTAACATACAAATTGAAAAAAACATTCTAAGAATAATACAACAAATAAAAACACAAAAAAATAAATAAAAATATGAGAAACTATATTTTTAGGTATTACATAAATTACTACCATCATGAAAAATACATTTTTAACCAAATTTACTTTTGTGTGGTTGTGAAACTATATTTTTTATTTGCCGTGTATTATGATCATGAATTGAAATTCAAGATTTTGTCGAAACATAGTAAATGAATATGCATATTTTGAAATGGTATATTTCCCTGATATCAAATAATTGACTAGGTTTATACAGATTGCTGGTCCTCTCTCTCTGATTCAGCTTATATATACATTTTATGATTTCATTTTGTAATCGTTGTAAAGGTTTCAAATGAGAGGAATTAGCTATTGCCCAAACTGATATTAGGTATTTGTTGAAGACACTATATATAAGTTTAATATTTATAGGGAAATGAAAATTTCTATGTTTTTTATCACTTTTATTTGTAACTAACGTTACTGCAGTTTCGTCCTATACGGACATTTTCAAACTTATACAATAAGTTTATTGTATAAGTATATACATATACAATAAGTTATTGTATAAGTATATGTATACAATACGTTTATTGTATAAGTTAGTTACAAATAAAAGTGGTAAAAAACATAGAAATTTTCATTTCTCTTTTCATTATGATTTCCTACCACGTAGTAACGGCTACATCCATCAATTTATTTAATATTTATTTTGAGAGCTTAGTCACTAGTTTTAAATTCAATATTGAGAATTTTTGTAAGTCAAGTTGAATGAAAGTTGTATTTAAAATGGTATTAAATAGGTTCATTAAACCAAAAAGTTCAACAGTATTGAAGATTCGAATAAATTAAAGAAAAATAAATTGTTTTCAAATATTTGAAAGGAATAATATTTCTATAAAAAATATTCTTACAAGAGGTGCAATTTTTTTTTCTTAGTCGACTCCCTTACTAGAAGGAATAGAATATGTTTTTTTTTGGAGATAATAGGAATAGAAACTAAACAGATTACACTTTCTCCTATATATCTAGTAGAAAACTACCTGAATCCGCGTCGGACTATTGGAGTCATATGGATTGTCTATTCGAACAAATATTCACTTGAATTACTGCCTTATTATTGAAATACACCATTGCCAATTAATTGATTACGTAAAAAATCCAACTATGTCATCACTGTAACAGGTGTCTTTTACTGAGGATACACTACAAAAACACACTTTTGTCTATTTTCCACTATATTTCTTTATTGTTGACCGGTTTCGGCTATTACACCATTTTCAAAACTAACTGATTATATTTAAATTTGAGTAATTTATACCTATGTTGCTTATTCTATCATAAATGATTTGATATACCTGATACCCGGTACCTGCGTTTCATATACCTGTAAAATCCATGAACATAACAAAGCTTTCAATATAATGTAGGTTTTGGGATCTGGATTATAGGTTCAGGAGAGGACTATTATTTAAATCAAGTTGTTTGTTGAGGACAATAGAATTGGGATTTTTCTTTGACCTGTTTATTTCCATAGATTCCAACAGATTCATCATTTTCCCTTTTTCGCATGTGTGTAGGGTCTTTAAATTATCTTTATCTATTTTATGTTTCGAATTTTGAAGATGTTCGTACATTAATGATTTTTTATCCGAAATGACATGTTCGTGGTACCTTGTATCAAAATTTCTCCCGCCATATATACAGGCCAAACTGAATGTGCATATCACTTGAATTGTTTTTTTTTTCAGATTCACTTTTGTATAATAACTATCCCTCTGGTAATGTGTCAGATGCTGAAAGCTGTTTTCAGATGCAATGTAGTCAGATTTTCATCGGAATGGTAACAATGCAATATCAGGCTTTGACTGACATGGTGAGTAGAACCACACCAGTAGAAATAGAGTTGTCTCTTTACGTTTGATATCATTATATGTATAATTTTTATTTTTTCTATATATTTTCACATGATATATAAGTGACACTAAATGCCAATTCATAAAATTTCAGGTTCAAATGATAGAACAGCTGGAAAGAGCTTGCATCAGATTCGTTCATTTCAGTAAAGAAAATGAGCTGAGATCCAGGGTATTCAGTGAAAAAATGGGCTTGGAAAGTGGGTGGAATTGCCATATTTCATTATTGAGTGAAAAGAACAGGTACGGACTGACTAAACTAAGATACAATTAGATTGCGTTTGCCAAATACTTCACACTATATTTTTGAATTTCCTCTAATTGAACTTTTTATACGTAAATGTTTTGGATCTTGAATATTTGTAATTCTGTGATTATCTCTACTGCACATACTGGATATAGTTGTCTATTTTTTGAAGAAGATACTTCAATATAAAAATACTTCAAAACATGAGTCTATCATAATCATTTTGTACAAAAAACATTAAAACCTTTGAATTATTTTTGATGAAAATACAGTTTACAATTGTACAGTTTACAAATTTCAAATATGTTGTCTCAGTGATTGTAACTGTTCATATTACTTTTCGTTTAAAAGAAAACATTTGAAAATGTTTCACTAGATGGGGAAGATTTCTCTTATAAAAATTATTTTGAAAATATGAAAACTGAAAAACACATAATTTAGCAACCCTTTTATAAAGAGTACCTTTTACCTTTTGTACGTCAGTTTCATTCAGTTTGAAATGTTTGCATGTGCATGCTATTTGAAATCCTCATCGGAGAAAACTATGAACATTATGTTCATCTTGTATTTTCACAATTTATAAAACACATTATACTACTAAGAGAAACTTGAAAAAATGTATTGTTTTATTGGCCTAGACATGATAATCTGAATAATAGAAATGTTGAATATTATTTTTTGTATTTTTGGTATGTCAAAATATTACACGTTAAATCACTTATTTCTTGTAATAATGAACTTATTGAAAACAAGGTTAGTTACGCACCGTTAAAAAATAATTTTTCTGTTTTATGTTCAAAAACATTTCAACCTGGGTTTCTAAGTGTTCACTTGTTTTTCAGCATTTAATTTGCATATATTTATTCTACTTTCTCTTTCTCTTCCTCTCGCTCTCTGCTCTACTAACTATTCAAATGTTTGTATCTTTCTGGTTGTGATTTTACAATGGATAATCGTCAGACGAGAAAGTGGTGGACAAACGGAAAATAGTAGTCCTACGAGAGATAAACAGAAATGTTTATCGCAGGGGATTAGGAAGATATCGAACTCCCCTACTTTTGATGACAATTTTTTTCTTCTGGATAGGTATTGAACATCTATCTTTAGGTCAAGATTTATCTGCTTTGCATAAAGAATAAGATTACCTCGATGAAAATTTATTTTTTATACCTGAGAATACAAACTTTAATAACTGTTTGCTCTTGTTGGGATATTCATATTTGAGAGTTCTTTATAATTAGAGCACCGATTATGAACTGGACATCCCGAACATTTTTTATGTACTTCTTACCTTTTTGATAACATTAGGTAATCTTATTTATTACGTTGCTTTCAGCTATTCTATATGTATATGTCTGTAGCTAAACAAATGGGTCGCATGGTATTATCAAAAATGTTCTGTTGAATGATTGATACTATTGCCATCATAGGCTTTTATTCAACTTGCAACGTTCGTATGTTTGTGTGGGTCAAATCTTTACACTGAACTGAATTGAGTTGAAATTTTGCATACACATTTAGTTTGGATGACAATGGATGGTAAGCTAAGTGACATCATTTTACATCCAATATGGCAGACCGCCCAAGGTGGCCGACAAGATATTTTTTATGCACTTCCATTATATGGTATTCAAATGAAAGGGTTTTCTGAAAAGAATACAAAAATAAAATGATGTCTCAAAATTCAATATGGCGGATTCCTAAAGCAAGTGGACCGTTTTCTCTCCCATGATATGAATATCAAATGAAAGGGTTCAGGAGGAAAATTTAAAGCTTTGGGTCGAAGGTTAGAGATAGTTTTGATGCTGCTCGAACAATGACGTAGGGGCCGACAAGATGGCAATCTGATGTCTATTTAAGCTCAAAGCTCTTCGCTGCTATTCAAATGTACTCAGCCTTAAGTAGACAAATTACTGGAAGGTTTCTTCATTGAAGAACTAAACTATACCTTTTTTAGCAAAAAGTTTTTTGGCTTTCTACTTCTCCATCATTAAATGAAAAATTTGGGATTTTACCATATTTTTTTGTTGGAGTATAAACCAAAAAACCAATCTCTTTTGAAAATATTTCCTTTTCAATTCATAGTGACACATTAAATAGAATGAACAATCTGAGGAACATGTCCAGAGATAATTAAAAAGAATAAATGAATTAATACCAAAAATACATCTTGAAAATAAAGTTTCAATTTACATGTTCTGACGTGAAGAACTTTAAATTAAAACCCATCAATTTATTACATTACACAAATAATATGTTATACGAGCTTGTCGCGAAAATTAACTTTGCACATAAACAATAATGCAATGTATTACTTGATATTGACATAATTGTAAGGAAAAAGTTTTGATTTTATAGAATAGGTAAACCTCGCAATAAGCTTTTGCATCATATAAATTATGTAATATAATAAATAGATGGGTTTGATTTGATACAATTTGAAGTTTATTTTTCTCGGTTCAGAAGAATATGTATAAAATCTTGTTTTTGAAAATGCTTTTTTACAATTTTTTTATTATTTATGTAGCACTAATTAATATAAAATATAATTTTGATATATCTTGTATACGTTTTAATTTTGCATGTTTCTGTAGTAGGAAAAAGACAAAAATATAAAATTCTTAAAGTGATAAGCACCAGCATGTTCCTAATTTGCCGGCTATTCAAAACTTGAATGATTTTAGAATTGAAAGTAACTTGCCAAACTACATATTGGACTGATCATATAAAAAGTGTTGTTTTATTTTCATCCAAAATTTCAAAAACAGAAACAGGCAAACTCAACAGTGTAATAGGTTTAAAAACATTGAATGTTGTAATCTGATCTAAATAGTACTTGAACATAATATTACTATATGTAGGTATCTGTAGATTCTTATACTCAAAATACTACTTATAACTTTTTATTCACTTTAAAATCATTTCGCTAATTTACTTGTTACTATCGCTTCTAATATAGTTATTTATTTGCCTCTTGTAACTAGTCTGCGAACTAATCTGCTTGAGTGGAGAAGCCTATGAGCTGAATTTTTATAAAATGAATTTGAATATTTTCAAATTTCATTTATGTAAGTGTTGTTTCATGGACGGGCGTTTTTAGTAAATTAACATCAGAGAAAGTGTGATATTTACGACATCCTTAAAAAACTTTGACCTTACCAAATGAAAATTACTGAGAAAATTCATTATTGGACAATACAGAATAAGTGTTGAATTTTTTATGTAGATATCCAAGCATTATTGTATATGACATAATTTTTTATGTATGGTTCCTTATTCCACACCATTATTGACTGTCTGAAAATAAAATAAAAAATAGATATATATTGCATCACTACTGATATACTCAAACAATGTATATCACTTAATTCTTTCAAGTTTTTCACGAATAATTGGTTCTCTGATTGAATTTTTCAATAATTGATCAAGCCAGCCAAGTTAGGGAGATGAAAACATAATTCAGAATTATAGACCAATACGTATATTACCCATATTATCTACAGTATTGAAAACATCTATTCAATCCAATTTAGTATTTTTTAAATAACGAAACTACTGAGAGGAAACTTGCACATGTCTGTAGGAGTTATTATCCAGGGAAATATTTTTCCGCAGGTATTTTCCAGATCCTACCGAGTAAGAATGATAGGACAAGTAAATGTTTTGAACATACATTAGGAATATTAATGTTCTTGGTACTTATGTATCTCTTATCGACACAGTCATCAGACTGATTCAATTTCTGTTACCTTGGGTACCAAAAGTTTCATTATTAGTTTCTTCAATATGTTTGAAAATCAAATAAACGCAAATATTGTAAATGGCTCAACTTCTTGTACATTCGTAAAAGGCCAAACCATATTCACAAATATTATGTAAGTTTTGAACCTAGTTTCTGCTTTATTTTGCACGATATTTAAGTTATTTATGGTATGATCAATATCAGAATAATCTTAGTTTTATCTATCTGCAATTCATTTTAATAAGGTTATTTCTGTAGCAATTTGGAATCTTCGAGAACCATGAGTTTCTCAGCACCAAGCGCCATCAACATGGAATATTCTGTTGTTAAATTTGACACAGAAGTTGAAAAATTCAATATCGGAAAGAAGCAGAGCGACCGTAGTGTGGGAAATGATTCAACAAGTGAAGATAGCATTCCTCTGAATGCTGATAGTACCACCCATGAATGGCAGTCGTTGAGTAATCTTACGGAAAGCACCGAGCAAAGTGCACCCATCAACTTTGATATGAGTAATAGAGTAAGTAATGCATGTTCAAACAGTAATAATTAATTTAACATTTTCAAATGGAAAATCTGTATTGTTCCATTCAGATCAAAAACTCAAAATTTCTTCTACATTTTTCATCTGAGTTATACCTACTATACGTGAAACTGACCATTTTTCGAACTATAATATTCTATTAAATCTGTTGGGAACCACTTCATACACAATTTTCAATGACTGGATCTGGTAATTGAATGTATTAATACATTTAGACAATTATAGTACAAAGCTTCGATATTCAATAAGAAACATTGTTAGCCCATGTAAAAAATCAGCAAGTCAAACATCTTTCATGATATTTTAAATGAAGGACTGAGATGATATTTTAGGGAAAAATTAAAATATATTTTCATGGTACAAGCTATAAAATAAAAACTAATGAACAGCTTTGGAGATATCAAAAGGTTGAATTCAAATGTCATAAATCTTATCTATCTTATCTATAATGAGAACTTTTTTAAAGGTTGGGAACTGTCAAGACTTTTTGTGATTATGACATAATTTAGGTTTTTTTTAATCATCTGCTTTTTCAAGCCAGTCCCTTCATAGATATTTTAAAATATGTCTTACAAGGTATATTTTCTGAGTACTCTTTATATTTTTCATGACTCCCTTTTCAATATGGTGCGTACCAAAGATTTTGGCATCACCACAGCTGGCTCATGACCCATAGTTGATAATCCGTGTCTAGAATAGATAGATAGATAGATAGATTTTTATTTAATCACATTATGAGTATACATTTGTGACAAGTCATAGACAATTGGTACAAATTAGTGTGCAAATAGAGAGAACAATATAAAAGCATCATTAAATATAAATTTTGAAAATGATTTACAAAATAGTTAACAAATAAAGAATCGAATTATAAAAAGGAAAGAGATTCTTAAATAAAGTAATATAAAAAATTAAGGCCGAAAGTGAATAGTGCAGTGACTTTCCAGATAAAATATTCAAAAGCGAGGAAATAACCCAAGTAAAATTCCTCTTTCCATCTTAATTAAAGTGGTGATAAATTAATCAGTAGATTGATGTGATACTCTATTTTCATCGGACACAAAGAACGTGAGAAAATAATTATTTATAATTATTCTTGGAATAAAAACACTACTGATCTCCAACATTTTTTTGAAGCTTATAACTTAACAGTACTAAATAACGAACCAACAAGAATAAGTAATATCAGTAGTACCCTCATTGACATAATATCATCGAGTAATGTTGATATGATAGGTAATACTTGCACAATAAATGCTGATGGAATATCTGACCATTGTTTGGTATATACGGAGTTGACATGTGAGGAGCATAAACAGAAATGCTTTTATAGAACATATCGCGATTATAAAAACTTCAATTATGATGAGTTTTTTGTAGACTTAGTAAAAATGCCCTGGTATGACCTTTATTTAATGACTGATATAAATGAAATCGTCTCTACTTTCAATACATATATGATTTCCATATTTGAAGTGCATGCACCAACAAAAACAGTAAAAATTAGTAAACCAAAAGCACCATGGCTTACAGACCCTTTACGAATGATGATTCGGAATAAAAATAATGCGATGGCAAAATTTAAAAAAATAAAAAATAGGAATGATTGGAATAATTTCAAGAACTTGAGAAATATGGTAACAACAGCAATAAGGAGAGAAAAAAAAGGGTATCTTAACTTTATTCATAAACAATTTGATTCCAAACAGTTGTGAAATACTCTTCATCTTTTTGATATTGTCAGTAACAAAAAGTATAGTTCTATACCAGGAAATCTAAAACTGCCAGATAAAATTAATGAGCATTTCATAAAATCAGTTGAAAACATTGTGAATAAGCCCTCTAAAAAAATATTAGATCACTATAAGACAAATAGTTTTAACGAAAACATATGCTTTAAATTTATACCACTAACAGATGAGCAAACTTTCTCAATAATAAACAATATCAAATCAAATGCCACTGGATCTGATGGAATCTCCATAAAAATGATCAAACTATGTACACCTTACTTGATTCCGATAATCACTTTTATGGTAAATAAATGTTTAACAAATGGTATTCACCCCTTCTCATGGAAAAAATCACAATTTTTTCCGATTAATAAAATTTCTAAGCCAAAAACATTTTCAGATATCAGACCAATCAACATATTACCATCAATTTAAAAAATTCTTGAAAAAGCAGTTCATGAACAAATGTATAATTATGTGAATGAAAATAAAATACTACCACCACATCAACATGGATTTAGGCCAGGTCATAGTACTACTACTGCACTCTTGGGAATAACTGATGAAATTATAAATAATCTAGATAAACGTAAAACACAATTTTTATTATCCATCGATTACAGCAAGGCCTTTGATACAATGAATCATCATTTAATGTGCACCAAAATGAAATACTTTGGCTTTGATAATATGTCGTGCTCATTCATTGAATCCTTTCTAACCAAACATTTCACTGTTTTTTATGAAAAATCATTCACATATCAGGCTGCTACCACTTTCAATATATATCATAAATATATAATACCACAACCATGTGTATCGTTCAAAAAGAAAATTAGGAGGATCATATTAGATAAACAGTGATCACAACAATCTGTAAGACAATTCATCTATCAATAATTTTCGTTTATTTATTTATTTCAAAATGAAATACTTTGGCTTTGATAATATGTCGTGCTCATTCATTGAATCCTTTCTATATGATAGAACTCAACGTGTTGTCATGGAAGACATAAAATCGTCTGAACTTGGGGTAGCTCATGGCACACCCCAGGGATCAGTATTAGCTCCCCTTCTTTTCACTATATACACTTCAGATTTCTCTAAGGTCTTAAAAAAATGTCAAATACAGACATATGCAGATGACACAAACTCATTTTTTAGTTTGTTTGAAGGTGATTGACAATGTTTCGTGATGAATTTCACTAGTTCGGACTTCCATTGTCTAGTATATAAAATGATTTGAAATCCCTGAAACAAACCAGATATTGCCTGTCACATAAAATGTGGGACACCCGGTATATGTATCAATTTGTAAATGTACAAAATACTGGTTGAGTGGAAGAGCTAAACTCCGCCAGTATAAATAATGACAATTTATTATTATTATTATTTAGTCTGAATATGTACTTTGCATGAAATCATGTACAGAATAAAAACAATCACATTATATGGAAGTTTGTTAAATAATTTAATGTCCAGGGAATTTCGTAATGACATTTCAAGAGTAAATCTTGGCTGTCTGAGTTGTTCCGCAATTCTAGTTTCATAATTATGATGATCTGAGTGTTTGGAGAGTAGTATTTTGTTTTTATGCATTTCTAACAGTGAGTAGAAAATCAACATTATTCTGAATTTTCTAAAAAGTGGTTGGCAGTGTGCGTCGAATGGAGTTCTAGCTATAATAATCATGGCTAGATCTACTCCAAAGGAGTATCCCATATGGAGGGTGACAGTGAGAAAGTGAATGATTCGAAATGAGAAGTGTTTCATGGCTCAATGCTTTTTTCAACTGGTGAAGTAGAAACAACTGTGTCGAGAGTTTTTTACAGAGATCAATATGTGATTCCCATCGAAGCAACTCATCTGTAATTATACCTATTAATTTAACTTCAGCTTTGATTGTTACCCTGGTATTTTCTGAGTTTATTCCCTGTTAAGTTTCAGTTTGTTGGATGTAAACCAGTATTCTGCTTTGTCTTCGGTTTCTTTGGCATTTACAAGTAAATTTGAGATATCAGAATTTGACTGTAACATTGGGATGTCGTCGGCAAAGCAGATTACTGTACTGGGTAAAAGGTAATAGAATAAATCATTTATATAGATTACAAAAAGGAATGGACCCAAGATGGATCCCTGAGGTATTCCATTATTCATAGACCTTTTATCTGATAAGTTACCATTTATGTATACTGCCTGCTTTCTAGATGAGAGAAGACTGGAGTAATTTTAAAGCTGATCCTCTGATACCATAAAATTCAAGTTTCTCTATTAGTAAATGATGGTTTACACAGTCAAAAGCTTTGCTCAGATTCCACAATGTTAGAACCGTATGGTCTCCATTTTCTACTTTTCTAATCACCTGTTGAATGACTTCAAGCACTGCGTCGATGGTGGATCTATTTCTGATGAATCCAAATTGATGTTCATGTAGAATATTATGTTTATTCAGATATAGTATTAGTCGCTCTTTAACGATAATTTCAATGATTTTTCCCATAAAAGGTATAATTGATCAGTATAATTTATCAGTTCTTTCGTTACCCGTGATTTGTGAATGTCCTACCTTTCAGTATAGAGTCAATCTATTCCTATCCACGAGTTCCTTCAATTCTTTAAGGCATTATCAGATCTGGGACAGACAGACAAACTGCCCCAAATGCAACTTGCCTGATTGATAGAATATTGATCCATTCTTTTTGTTGAGGTATTGAATTAATATATTGATTACTCGTAGTTGATAATTCAAGATTACATACACTACTGTCTAAAAGGTGGATGTGTTTCGACCAAGCAGGTAAATATAATTTAGATTCCTACTGACATTGTATACTCCTGCTCCGTCCCATTTTTGGTTGTAGACTTGTCTATAAATCATGTTCTCAAGATGACTCAGATGAACTCTTCACGATTTGTGACTTCTACCAAGAAGTTTGTGTTGAAAGTGTGCTTTGATGTTATGTTGCCTATGAACACTTTTGATGACCATTTTTTCACTATTTCCTCCCAAAATGTATTGAGGATAGAATCAAAAGTGTCTCCAATGTTGCTGTTGGTATGGTTCTCATTTCTACTGTAATTCCCAAACAATAAAGTCTGCCTAGTTTATTATTAGTTGCAAAAATGCCTATGTTGTCAAGGATTTAACAACCACCTTTGGGTATAGTCAATTAATCACATCCAGGTTCAGCCATCATGTCTTTCTTTAAGTGCGTCTGGCCAACATCAATGCCACCTCCAGTTTTTTTTTTATTCTGACTTGATGTTGGTTCCAGTTTGGTCCGCGATCTAGAATCACACCCCATATATTTAACCTCGTCCGTCAATCGTCTGTGTCTTAGTTATTGGCCGATATGAAAGGTCTCATGTTGAGTATTTGTCAGTAATCCAGTAGATTTTATAATGTAGAAAAACTATTCTATACATTCAAATACTGTCAATTTTCACGACCGGAGATAACTGCGTAGAATTTTTTTTCCAATGTATTGACAGTGATTTGTGGGTTTTCTTATCTGAAGTTTCGTCTGCAGCTGCGGTAGACATTAACGATGAGGTAATGGACGAAGTGTTCAAGTTGTCATCTAGTTGTACTAGTACTCGTAATATGTGCAGTGAGAACAACTAGAAACATCGTCTGTTGTCTCATCGACTTTGATACCATCTACCACAGTTCTAGACGAAACGTAGGACATGAAAACCCTACAGACCACGGCGAACAAGTCCGAAAAATAACTTTTAATAGTAATATCTATATGTATGTGTATTAACTAATTAGATCAAATAATTTACCATAATTTTTCCAATGAAATGGTGTTTAATAAATTCATTAATGAATTTTCAGGCTAAGTTACCAAGAGGTATTGACAAAATAAGGCCACATATCGAGCATATTGATAATGTTCCCTTGCTTGTTTCACTTTTCACTGACTGTAATCCAGATGTAACAAGACAAATGTTGAATATCATGCAGGAATACAAAGAAATTGTTTGCATCATGGGCTCCTCAGAAAATTGTGATAATGCTGGAATATTCATGACAGCTGATGCAAGGTAACTTTGAATCCATATTTTTCAATCTGCAATAGCTATATGCTTGTTTTAATAAAAAAATATATACTCAATACAGTCTCAAATTCATTCCATTGGTGTAGCCAAATAAAAATATATTCCAATAGAACTTATCAGTTTTTTGAGAAATTCGAAAAAGTGTCTCAGTACCAGTAACCATTGCTATATCTTGAAACAAATAAAAATAATTTAATGACATGAATGCATCACATTGGGCTACTTATTAGAAATTTAAATTTGTTGTAGTATTTCCATTCAACCTCTATATCCACAAGTGTGCCAAAAAAGAGAAGTTTTCCAGAAGCCAGTAGACTGTCTAGGACCAACAGATCTCTCATATGAAATGAATTCAATTCCATGTGCATTATCACTTAAACGAGATGAACCCTTTCCACTGTATCGTTTGATAATGGAAGCTCGGCATTTTGTCGCCGCAATTTGGAATTCTGGTAAGTGTATTTGAACCTGGTTAAGAATTATCAAAAACCATCAAAATTCATAAAATTAGAAAACATCAGATTTACTGAGAAGACTCTCAGAGGAAAGCCACTTGTGACTGTAGTAAAAACAGTTTTTGCCTTCATTAAGTTTGTTTCACTAGTTCATTTAGCTTGCTCTTTTTCTCGAACCCTTTCACGATGATTCATAAGTTCCTGAGACTTGATATCCGACATGAGACACTTCTCCCATACACCTGAACTGCATCACACTCCTCGAATTGGCATCAGTATCTCCTGATGGTAAAATGTGAGTCGAGAAACTTTGTTGGTTTTTGTGATGTCTCTCTAAACTTGCTCAACTCGTGCCTTCGATGAAAAGATTTATTTCGTGAACAATAATACAAGTAACTACTCGTACATACTGTCAAAGACCTTAGATAAGTCCCTTGGTTCTTCTCAGGATAGATAGGTAGGTCCAAAGTGAGTGGATCTATCGACCTTCCTCTGCAACCTGCGATGGTTTATTCTGGATCTCACCTATTCAAACTTGACCTAATGAATCCAGCTTCTTAACGAAGCTACTTAATTTATTTGGCGAGGGATTTTTCAGGTCTGCCAAAAGCTGTAAACCTAATCCGGTTTGTGGCGAGGCAGACACTGAGTATTTGCTCTAATATCAGATCTTGAATTTGCTTGTGAAGAATAATCTGCTCCATGTTTGATAGACCTTGTTACACATTCCCCAATCTGATTGGCAATCAGTCTACAACTGGTAGTTAAGCTTAGGAAATTGGTCTCCTGTGACTCATTTGAAAGATATGCCGTTCCATAACTGCATCTACCAGCTAGGAGACCGTAACCTGTAGCTATCCAAGCGGAATGTGTAGCTCTGGATTGGTACCTATGGACCGTCTCCTGGAATAACCTCTATGATAGCATAGTAAAGAGATTCAAGCTGCAAGATTCCCATCTTAATGACGGTCGCAACTTTTCTGTATGAGTGCATTTGTAAGGCAGTTGTACATAACAATACTTTAGATTCAACCATGCAGGGCTTTGTCGTCTCGTTTAGACGAATCATTGTCTGAGCATAAGCGTTTGCTGACTTGAAGTAGTTTGTTTCCTCTCTTAATACAGATTCTTCTTCTGCTGCACAAGGGTTTGGAGCATGGTAAATTCATGAGATATTGTGGAATCTGACGAATATATTTCAAATGTGTTCTGTTTCTCCATTAACCGGCTGCCGAACGACCACCCTCAAACTTCGAAACTTGGGCAGGCTAGGAATTAACGAGGTCGTGCCTTTCAACGAGCAATTTCTAGCCCGGACAATTTCACAGAAAAACAGCTCAAATGATGCCATAGTAAAGAGTCAAAAAATCTAGTTTGTAAAATGCGGAAATATATTTCATTTATCTTGTGCCATAAGAATAAGAATTGTATGAGAATATGTTATATCAGAGTCACTTGCTGTGAAGCAGAAAAGCTTCCTATAAAGAAACATCAAAATAACAGCCTCACAAACCAGATATTGATAGATAAATTATCAGAAACCAATTTATTAGTAGAATGAAAATCTGAGTGCTTTTTGCGGAAAATCAATTGATTCACACTACGAGTATCAAATGAACGATTTGGCACAGAAAAAGTTGGTACGAAAAGAAACAAGTTTCAGAGTAATGATGAACGAGACAATGAACGTGAAAAAATCAGTTATTAATATAAAACTCCTGACAAGAATGTGTCAAAACAATAGGTTAAAGTATGTGGCTTTAAGTTCAGAACAAATATTCAATGAAAGAAGTGTGGATTATCATGTGAAAGACAACACAAACACATGTCCAAATGTAAGTTCAAAATCCAAATTTCAGCAATTATGTGAAATATGAACACCGATTGGTGACCAGAGATTTATCTTCTTTTTAATTAGTAACAATAACAAATTCAACTGTATTGACCCTAAATGTTAGTGATGTCTTTGAAAATTGTGGTCAAGTTGATGTGATTTATACTGATTTTGCTAAAGCATTTGATCGACGATCACATGATCCTTCTACAAAAACTTCACCAATTTTGTTTCCATAATTCAGCAGTACTTTTCATTAAATCCTACTCACTTCAACGCGAACAGTTTGTATCTTATAATGGCTATGATTCTTTTGATTCTTTTTATTACAATCCTTCATCTGGAGTACCTCAGGGGTCGAACCTCGGACCACTTCTATTCTTATTATTTATTAATAACCTCAGTATTTATGTCGATTGTAATAAGTTATTTTTTGCAGATGATTTAAAAATATATTTACCTGTCAAAACTATCGAAGACTGTAATACATTGCAATGACAGTTAGAAAATATACAGACTTGGTGTGAAGTTAACAACTATATCTCAATGCATCCAAATGTAAAGTAGTGTCCTATAGTAGAAAAATGTCTGTCATCGAGTACAATTATCGAGTAGATACCATTTCGCTGTCACGAAGTAACTCAATTAAAGATCTTGGTGTATATTTTTATCAAAATTTGGCTTTTTCTAACCACATTAGATCGAAAGTAAGTGAAGCATTGAGAGTTAATGGCTTTATAGTTCGCAATTGTAGATCTTTTTCAAACATGTTTGCTCTATTTACTCTTTATGTAACCTACGTCAGGTCAAAATTAGAATATGGCTCTGTTCTATGGTCTTCATTCTACAATTGCTATAATACAATTAATTGAAAAAGTTCAACGTTGTTTCCTAAAGTTTATTTACTTCAAATCTTATGGTATCCTGATAGAGGTATTCCATATGAATCTCTTACCATAACATTCAATATTGAAAGTCTTGAACTACGCAGAAAACTGGAATAATTTTTCTGTATAAATTACTGCACAACAATGTGGATGCTATGGAGGTGTTACAGTCGTATATTGTTTTTTCATCTAGAGGTTTTGGTAATCCTGTATCACATCGTGTCTTGCGTTCATAAGGTTTGTTTTTGACTATTTCACGTACAGTTGAGAAAAGAATTTCGGTCAAATCTGATGTTGATTGCAATAGTTTGGTTCTCTCCAAACCAAACTTAAGATGTAGATTCTTATATACATTGAAACATACTCTCTGTGTTTCAATATTCAAATGCATCCGAATCTAATTCACTGATATCTCTTTTTCGCATTGTTCACCATCGCTACACTGGAAAAAGTCTGCGTTGTTATCACACTCATTATTACTATTAGTACTTGTCTAAGAATGCCACATTTTAAACAGATAACAAAAATTTTAAGTAATTATAACTGCACCAATATTGAATCCACTCTGAAAAGATAAATAATGTTGAGAACTCATTAGTGAATTTTAGATTAGTACTTAATATTGAAAAAACTAATGCAGCATTATTTGAAATCTAAATGGAATTTTTAGGTCAGTTTTGGTTGTGCTGCTGTGTTGCTTTGAGTTTAATGCAAGTATTATCAATAGTAATAATGTTACCAGGACTTCTCACTACAGGCCAAGTCTTGTGGTTTTCTTGTATAGTTATACCTACGATAAGCATCACTCTAATGTTTAGGCCGCTAGATCCTGATATAATGAAAAAACCCCAGGGGAAGATTCAAGCAGTACCTCACTGGGATGTAAGTAATGTTTGAAAATGTTACCGAATGTAATACAAATTCTGATTTTCATTTCAGGTAGCAGTTTTCATTCTTTGGTGTTATGGATCGAAGTTTCTAACAACTTTAGTGGTGGTCCTGGTCTCTTATGTCTCAATTCTGACTAGTCACTGTGATCAAATTTGTGTGGTACTTGGAAACTGCACGTGTGCCTTTTATTATAATCCTGTCATACTGACCGAATCTGTTTCAATGGGAGGATGGGACGAAAATGAATGGACTCTCTTGATATCTAGACTGATTATCAGCTTTTTAATTTTATTGCATTTTGGTAAGTATGACACAATACCCTGTCTCTGCCCATACTAAAAAATAAAATGTTTTCTTTGGCTCAAATTTCATAGTAGTCTATTCATTTAGTATCAGTAAATTTTAACTGACTCATAAATCAGTTAGATGGACACTTCAAATTATATACAGCAAGCACCAAACGTGATGGCGAGCCCGCCCCTATGCGCGCAAACTCATTTTCAATGTAACCCCTACTACAGCTCTTGCAAGACATACAAATGCTCTGTCCAGAGGCGTATCATTACTTGTCCTCCAATGCTTTTGGCATTGTCTGAATAATTTGTGTTGTTTCTAAAACAATGTCATCGCCTAACAAAAAACCAGTCATCAAGAGTCAGGCACGTGAAATAATTTTTGAAGTGTTCAATTATTTTCAAAGTGTTAAATGTGAGTCGGAGATATGTTATCAAATGTAAAAAATAGAACATCTCTCGCTACAGGTAACATTAAACTAAATTCAAAAAATAACCATTTCAACACAAATCTCTATTTTGTATTAGGTATATCAATAAGAACCATTGAAAGAGTGGTTAAAGAAGGAGAGCAATTAATTTCTGTAAATAACTGAGAAGTAAAATTTTCCACTCCAAGAAAGAAGCGGCCTAGAAGAGCACCAGTAACTCATGTTCCCGAGTATGAGTATTTTAATATTAGACGTATTATTTAAAACTTTCATAAGACGAAGGGTGTTGTATTACGGTAAAAAAGTTACAACACAAAATTAATGATGTTTTGGGAATTGTGGCTTCCGAAACATCTCTTTGTAGGATTTTAAAGAAAATAGGTTTCAAATGGTGAAGGACTAAAAATAATTTGAAAAATTTAATAGAGAAAATGGACATCAGAGCATTGAGGATCAAGTATTTACAAAAAATCTATTATTTTCGTAGCCAACAGCGACAAATTGTGTTTCTTGATGTGAAACACACCTTCATAGTGAACATACATCTTTCAAGAACTGGACGGATGAATCAACCAAAGGGTTATTTAAAAATATTGCGAAGGGACCAAGACTCATTATTGTCCATGCCAGGAGGTGACTTGGTCTTTATACCTAATTGTCGGCTTATATTTAAATCAGGCACAACATCAGGCAAATATCGTTCAGAAATGAATTCTGAAAATTATGGTAGATGGTTACAAGAAAAGTTAATCCCGAATTTACTTGTGAATTCGGTAGTCGTGACCGATAATGCTCCATGCCATATTATTCAAATTAATCCAGCACCCAACAAAATTTCTAGGAAGGCAGACATGGTGAAGTGCCTGCACGAAAAAAGCATTATGTTGATCAAGGTAAATAAAATAAAAATATTTGATACAAATTCGATGAGGTTCTGTTTGAACAAGGACATAACCCTACAATCCGGATTTGAATCCCATTTTACTCATTTGGGCTACTGTCAAAAACAACGTGTCCCAAAAGAATGTAAGTAGGTAGGTTTAAAGTGAGTGGGTCTATTCGACCCTCCACCGCAACCCATAAGGGTTTATTGTGGCTCACACCTATTCACACTCGGCCAAATAAACCCAGCTTCTTAACGAAGCCAATTAGTTTGTATGGTGAGTGGTCTTTCAGGTCAGATGGTGAGAGTACGGATCTGCCGAACTCAAAGAACCTGATTCGGTCCCCAGCGGGGCAGGCACAAAGTATATGCTCCAGACAGAGGCGACACACACTGTCTTCCGACAGTCCAAGTCTCTGCATGTAATGATCCAAATGACAGTGACCTGTAAGAAGGCCTGTTAGACATCATAGTTCATCCCTACTGTAGTCCAACAACTGTTTGGAATCAAGTTTCAAAGGGTGAATAAACGCCTTCTGCCTTCTTGCCATCCAGGTGTTAAGTGTTTGTTTGGCAAAGCCCAAAGCGATGCCAATGACAGGTTTTGGTTCAATGAAGCCGCTTGCAGCACCCTCCTTTGCAAGAGAGTCAGCAGCTTCATTGCCTTCTAGGCCAGTATGGTCAGGAATCCAGATCAGAGACAATCTGTTTAGTCTTCCTATCGAGGAGAGTCTTTTTTGGCAGTTTGCTACCAATTAAGACGTTGCTCGGTAGAAGCCAAAAGCTTACAACGCCGCTTGACTGTCCGAGAATATTTTTATTGACTTGTGAGTGAGGTTGGATTTATCCAATCTCTCCGCACACAATTCAATAGCGTAAATTTCCGCTTGAAATACAGTCGCATGAGTTCCTAGGCAGGTAGATAACTCTGTCCTGGGTCTGCGACTGAAAACACCTGCACCAGAACCGGAAGGTGTTTTTGATCCATCTGTGAACCAACAACTATCTGCTCTTAATATTTCCTTCTCCCGCAGGATCCAGTCCTCTCTACTCGGGAATAGTACTTTATAAGGCAGTTCGTAGTTGACAGTTGGAGGCATAAAGTCAGAGGTCATTTCCAGAATGCTGTGACTTCTAATGTAAACCAACAGTCTGTTGCACTCTGCATTGAATTGATTTGTGCAATTGGCAATGTGCACAAGTCTGTATGAAGTCCATCTAGCCTCTCTTTCCAGAAAAATGTGGAGAGGAGGTAGATCTAGATGGATCTCCATGGCCGCTGACGGTGTGGTACTGATGGCACCACTGATAGCCAGACAAGCCTGTCTCTGTAAGCCAGAGAGCTTCGCTTGGGCCGTTTTCTGTAAAGCCTTCGGCCACCAAGCAATTGCACCATACGTGATCATTGGTCTGACAATCATCACATAAATCCAATGGATTTGTTTGGGACCTAAACCCCAAGTTTTACCACAAATCCTTCGACATGTCCATAGAGACAGTCTGGCTTTGTGTAAAACTTTTTCCAAGTGAGCGTTCCAGGTGAGTTTTATCAAGGCCAATTCCAAGATATTTCACCTCCGTTCCAAATGGAATGACCACACCATTGAGGGAAAGTGGCGTTAGATCGTCCAATTTCCTTCTCCTGGTGAAGGGGATTAACACAGTTTTGCTGGGGTTGACAGACATCTGCTCCCTCAGGCACCAACTGTGAACAACGTCCAACGCGCTTTGAAGGATAATACAAGCTACCCTTCCCGACGTAGACCTTGCCAGGATGACAAGGTCATCTGCATAAGCTGGCAGATCAACTTTTCTTCTGTCGACGGCACCAAGCAGACTATCCACCAGGAGCGACCACAGAAGGAAAGATAGTACCCCACCTTGAGGGCAGCCCCTGGTGACCTTTAACCCGATAGCCTCTCCTTGAAGAGTCGTAGTTGCAGTTCTATTTACTAGCATGGCATAGATCCAGCCAGTTATGGTCGATTCTATACCCTTTCTAGCCAGAGACAATCCTATAGATTTAGGTAGTGCATTGTCAAATGCTCCTTCAATATCAAGAAATACAGCAACCACAATCTCCTTGTTGTCAGGGATTGAGAGATTTTCTCAACGAGGTTGTTTAATGCTGAATCTGTCGATTTGCCGGTTTGATAAGCATACTGGTGGTTATTCAGCGAGGATGCATATAATGCTACCCTCCTGATATGTCCGTCCAGTATCCTCTCAAGTCCTTTCAGCAGGAAGGATGTAAGGCTGATTGGTCGTACCGATTTGGGGTGTGGGTCTCTCCGGCCCACTTTAGGTATTTATACCACCCTTACTGCCAACCAACTGGGTGGTATATAGTTCCACGCCAGACTGGTGAGAATAGGTAAAATTATTTCCAGTCTGTTTTGAAGAAGAGCTGGAAATATACCATCCTCTCCGGGAGATTTGAAAAGAATGTAACTTTCAAGTTGGAAGATGTGAGGAAACTGGCGGAGCACGAGTTTGATCAAATCACTTCCGAGGAATGGCAAAAGCGTTGCCGACATGTATAGATATAGAGCGGAAATATTGGGAAAATTAAACATTCACAGACATTCAAACAGAGAAACTAATTCATTTACAATAGTAAATACATTGCCACATTATAAAAAAATTGAATTAACATAAAAAAATTCAAACAGTATGATTGAAAATACATATGTATAAATAAAAAAATCATACATAGGAATATACTATATTTTCATTGAGTAATCCTTCAATCGTCTTTTGAATATATTCATCGAACCACTATCTTTAATTTCTTGTGGGAGGTACTAAAATAATGTACTCCTTTATAAAATAAAGAATTATGTGTACTTTTTTTCATATTATTCAACTTTTATATTGTTTCTGTTTCTTGTATAATACTCGTGTATTTCAGCCACATAAGTTGATTTATTCTGTAGATATACAGGTAAATATCCAATTTTGATTTAAACAAAAATTAGTGTTTGGTACTCGAAGAGTTTCTTCATTGGTAGCCATTGAAGGGTTTGCAACATATTTGCTATCAGTGTTATCCTCGAACATTGTAAGATTATTCGCATAACACAATTCTGCATCTTTTGTAGTCTGTTCATTTCATTTTGATTGAGAAAAAACAGAATGGTAGAACAATAATTCAAATATGGAAGGATTATGGAGTTGTATACTAATAATTTAGACCACTGGCTCATATATAGAGAACATCTTAAATTCACAGACGTTCAAACAGAGGTAAATCCAGTGATTATAAATTTAAATGACGATAGCAGCACAAGCAGCAGTGAAGATGAAGAAAATTTGTATTCAGATAGTGACTGATTAAAGTTTATTTTTGGATAAGTGTAAAATTATATAATAACATTATATAACATTTCAATGAACTGTACTTCTACCTATAATACTAAATAAAATATGAAAAGAAATCACAAAGAAGTCATGTTCCATTTGCTACCCTAATTAAAACTAATTATAGGTACGAAACTGGCTGGCAAGGGCTTATCTTAATCCAATAGTAATTTAGTTGGTAGAGTCTATACTTGCGAGATCTCTCACCATCAGGCGTGTCATGTACTGTATGTTCTTATAAATCTTTATTTAGCTCATGTCACAGTATAATTTAAAATCAAGTGAGGAATCTTATTTCAAAGTTATAAAGTACCAGTTTGATATTAATTTATTAATGACAGATTTACAAAAATTAAATATGTTTCTTTCAGTTCTTTTCAAAATTCTCCACACCAAAATCATGTCAACTGAAATTTAGTGATAGTGCTGTAATCCTTCGTTCTGAGTATCAAATTCTTGTGTATAATGGTTGACAAATATTTGAAATGGCTATCATCAAATCTATTATACGAGGATTTTTTCCCAAAATTTATAATTAAAAAAAATTCTTGAGTATTCACCATCTCGGAATATTTAAATTGGCTCTGGTTCAATCTCAATTGAGATTTGCAATATTAGGCTGGAAGGAGTATGTAAAACCTACTTAAGTAAATTTGAAGTTATGTAAAAATACTTCCTGAAGATTATCCAATAAAAAAACATTTGAATGTTTGTGCCTGAGGTTTTTTCTGGTAATAAACACTGTTTTCCCTGACCACTCCTTAGTTCTCACAAATATCTATGTTTTGCCACCCAGATTTTTTTCCAAAAAAGTGACTGTTTTGTTTCTAATGTTTATGACTAGGTACTGCTTTAAAGAAGTACAATTAGCCTGTAGTTTAACCAATAGAAAACTCTATCAGTAATGTTTATAGAATCTAGATCAGTATATTATATCTAAAAGCCAAATTTATGGAATATGAGGCCCCAGGCAAGTTTTTGATTTCTAGCTAGAGTATTCAAAAGTTGAAAAGGTAGAATTCATATATCAACACAATTAATTGTTCACCAGAAACAAATTGTTTAATTCAAGGTTGTAGTTTAATCCAACAATGAAAGTTTTACTTTTTTTATAAAAATTTACTCCTGTTAGAACACACATATTATGCTATTATTATTCCGTTTGTTTCAGTTGTGATTTCCATGGGATTCATCCATAGGAACCATTTGGTATTTCAACGATCTCCACATAAAAACCTTTACTGGTTAACGACAGTTTTCATCTTGTAGGTTATTTGCAAGTAATCATCGAATACGTATTAACCTGCATATGTTTCAGAATACTTGTACAATCTATCTATACAATGGTAGTGTATAACAGTGTAAGGGCCACTCAAGAAGATTTTAAGGAGTTTGACATTCCTCTTTGGGTTATATTATTTGCAGCTGTATCGCCATTAGCTGTTTGTATAGTGAATGAACTAGTTAAAAAACATGAAATCAGGTGAGTAGAAAGAGGTTATATCCAATTGTCCAAATATACATTTTTGCAACAGTTTTTATGTAAATATGTTCTTGTTTTTTAGGGTGAATGAGAGGTTTTTAAAACGAGCTCGTTTAGACTTTGGAACAAAATTGGGCATGAATTCACCATTTTGAAAATGGGAGATTAATGAAACGGGAGGTAAATGCATCATCATGTCAGCAGATATCATGACATATGAAGTTTACTTCTTGAGGTTTGTCTACGTTGTTCCTTGATTTTCTATAAAAAGTCTTTCACTGCCTTTAACATTGAATGATAATTTGAAAATTTTGCGTTGAAGAATCAGAAAAAAAGACTTTGATATTATGAAACAGATTATTTCATCAGTTCGGACTTCCATTGTCTAATATAATATAAAATGATTTGAAATCCCTGAAAGAATCTGTAAAAATTAAAAAGATTAACCAAAAAATAACAATTTTATTAAACAAAAAAATGAAATTACAAGGAAATAACATACAATCAAGTAGTTGGTCGTTTTTTTTATCACCCGAAGACGATTACACAAAACATTGTCAACCACCTTCAAACAAATGATTGTGTTCATAGTTATTATTTGTGAATTTGAAAATAATTTCATAAATCAAACTCCCTAAAATTAATGAAAAAAATTTTGAAAAATTCATAATATGATTATCCAGATCCCGAGTAAACAGCGATATTTTTCAAGTTGAATTATATCGTCCACATAAACAGTGTGTGCTAAGTTTTTCTATCGAACCACAACATCAAATAGCTTATTTCACCTCTGGAAAATTATAAATAACAAAATAACCTGCACTAATTTTATGAAAGGTACCTACTGGTTTAATTGTCTGAAACACTGAAGGTGTCAGAACAGGCTGAATGAAAGTTGTCATTGCTAGAACTTACTAGTTCATGATTTTGAACGACAGAATTAACCTTAAAATTCCAAATCATAAACTCTAGTGGGTTATAAGAACTTTCTTTCAGCATTTTCTGAATAATTTCAGCCAATTTCCATAAAATTAGTGCAAGATTATTCATGGGATCAGTTTCCAAGTTTTGTTATTTGTAAACTAGTGAGGTCATGCACTAGTTCGGTTCTGTTTTTAGGCATAAACTTTTTTTGTTGGTAATATCAACTCCATATATTTACTTAACTTATTCCTCAATTTACTACATTTATATACCTAGTTCAATATTTCGAATGAATTTTGAATTGAGGGGTTACAGGAAAGAATATAACTTACTATGAGTGTGTTTTCTAACAAAAAAGTAATTTATGTTTTTTATTAAGGCATCAAATATTGATGTCTATATTCCCTTGACAATGAAATTATTTTCATTTTAGTACTCACCGCCTCTTACATTAGTACTTATTATATAGTTTTAATTTGGTTGTCTAAGAGTTGTTTATGTTGGAATAGTTCTGGAATTAACCAAAAAAGTTTGTCATTGTAGAATAATCTGAAATTATTATTTAATTCATTCATGGACAAAAGTTGAAAGTAGAAACATAGAACTGGGTACAGTCTGATGAATTATACTGTAATTGTTGGTTTTTATCTTGAATGGTAAATAAATAAATAAAAAAAAGGGTCCCAGCGAGAAATCAATTTGACGAAAACTTATATTTATTTTTACATAAATTGAAATACACAGGTCCCAAAGTTGGGAATAGAAACTTAACTAAATACTTAAACTAACCTTGAATGTTTGCTGGCACTTTCAGTTAGGCAATGTCCCTTAATCGTGCTTCATATCACTAACTACCAGTTTTTATATTTCCTTTAGGTTAAGTCGCCGGCATCCGCAACTCCAAGTAGGTTTTAATTCCTCGGGGATTTTTAATGATGATTTTGGGACCTTAACTAATCCAGTTGCATACATAAATTTGACAAAAATCTTATGTGGCTTTGGTAACACGTCGAACTTTTCAATATGCTCGGCTGCTCTTAGGAAGACAACATTCTACCTTCAGAGTTGGCAACCGACTGTTGTCTCTGCACTTTTTCGGGCCCTTCACCCCCCGCACCTTTCGCTACAGTGGTCGTACCGTTCACCATGGGCGTACCCAGGGCGGTTACAATACGGTATTCATTTGGTAGTTTCACCTGTAGCATTTTAAAAAATTTGAACTATCTTGGGTTTCAAAGTGCTTAGTTTGCCTCTCGCGTCGCCATTTTGGAAAAATGGCGACTACAAATAGTTTTTCCAACATCTCCTTTTTGAAGAAAAAAGGTATGCGATAAACTAAACTAGCACAAATATTTCAACTCATATCTTTACAAATCTTTTGTTACAAACGGTTTTAGCATACAGGTATCGCATAGTCTACCCAAAAATATTGGTGAAGAAAACTTAACCCCACCACGATGTTCTAATTGCAAAATTTAGTGCTTACTGCCTCTTTCTCATATGCCTGGTTCTGCCTATTGAATCGTTTTCACAACCAGGACCAGTTTCTCTTGTAGTGAATGTTGCAAATTATCACAGATACCTAATTGAATTTTATATGCCAACATTGTGAGTCACATAAATAATAATTTTGAAGACCTGGATAGTCTTGTTGAAATCTTGGTTCCTTTGAAATACATAGAATAATATTATTTCTTCTGTGGCTGTTATATCTGTGATAGTAAATTTTGTCTCTTTCCGATTTAAGATTACATATATTTTGAATGCATAGATAGAACCTTCAAAACAATGAGATTCGTCTAAATCTCCACTGATAATTATTCAATATAGATGAAATACTAATTGATTTTATTGATCATGACTCAACATTTCAAATTTTGTACATATGTATCATGAACGGGAGCATTAAGGATGAGAGAAAATCATTTTATACTTGCGAAGGACTTCTTGACCTTAGTACCAATTTTCAATAAAATCATTCTTTAAATTCGAAAAGCTGCAGGCAATTTTATTCTATCTATCACAAATTGTTATATATACATTCTTATTATATAACCCAAAATGGAAGGAGATATTGTTAAAAAACTTTGTCAAAGAGAAAATTATGCAAGAATAATTTAAAATTTATTAAAACACCAAGTTTTATAACTTCTTTAAAACTTTTCAGGTAAGCTACTTCTCGACTGTTGTTAGGGCAATTTACAATAAAACTTTTAATATTACCATTTTAACTTTGTGATTATTCATTTCAAGTATTTTCATTTATTTTTCTAATTATGCAATATGTGGATGGTATTGGTCGATACTTGATGAAAATCTATGACTAACTTTTTGAGATTTCACTGGGCAGTGTTACTTGAATAATTATACTGAATATGTTCTTTAAGTAGAAGTCCCAATGTGTAGTTCTATATTCTGTTTTAAAATCAATTTCTGAATAATAGTATAATAACCCTCTTATGTCATTGATTTTAGAGTTTTGCGATAGGTGACGAGAAAATTTCAATAGAACCAAAATGTTGGTTCACTTAACGATCATATTCTTAATGCTTAGAATCGTCATCCTAACAATTGTTATTCCTGAAAAATCAAAGGTTCTTCAGCAACCCAAAGTTAAGATTGATAAATACAGGAAAACCTTGACATGAAAAAATTTGTACGAAAGAGGTGAAGGACCGCAGAATATTTTCTAAAATCGTCAGCTGTACCCTATGTGGCCCTTCGGTGCCAACAACAGTTCAAACTGTCAATTATACTAATCGGCAAATTATATTATCGATTATAAGAAGCAATATTCTGCAGTCTATTACATTATTTGAGTTGCTTTCAAAGAGAAAAACGATTGCATTGAAATTTATAGGTGTTAGATTGTTTGTCATTTTGTACTTACCTTGGGGTTGAATTGTGATTTTGTACCTACCTAGGAGTTGAATCATTTAATTTTTATATAGTTCCTGTGAGAAGTTTTGCCTTTTTTATTTTATTTTAGAGTTCTTTAAAATAAAATCCAATATACCGGATTTGGATACCAAATAACGTGTTCAGGTACTTTCTACTATACAACTGACTTAGAAAGTCAGTGTTACAAAACAACTCTGTTTTTTGTTGTTAATTTAATAAAAATAATTGACATATCAGGTGAAGAAAGTAAATCCAAAACAAATACTATTCCCAATCATCAGAAACAAATATTCTTCCCGACGCACGTTTCACCAACTAAGTTGGCACCTTCAGAAGTTTTCTTCGTCTCCTGAAGACACCAACTTGGTTGTAGAAATACGCGTCGAGAAGAGTATTGCATTTATGGCGTTTGGGAAAAGTTCTTATTTTGGATTAATTTTACGGCAAAGGTTCCACTTTTACCTTTCATTTGTAAAACAAGTTTTTTTTCCAACTTGTGCGCTTTGTTTAATGTCATTCCTTATTAGAATTTCACCTGTAACATTTCTATTCGGACTAGTAAATACATATAATATCAACAAGTAGATATTTTTCATTGTACCTTTGAAAGCATTAAATGCAGACTCTTCCAATCAATTCAAATCAAACTTAACAAGTATTCAGACGTTCACAAATTTTAGCAGATTACATTCTTGAAATTGGATTTTATTTTGTTCAAACCGAAAAATTGGCAGTCATTCATGATAATTAGGTACTCACAATTTGTTTATAAGGTGTTCTTAGATATATACACTACTCCCATAATTAATTATTTTCTAATCTATTCAAGTTTGTACTCAAAACAATTCTAACTTGATCAACTTCACTTGAGATTATCAAAAACTTCCAAATTAATTAAAAAATAATTCATTAAAAACTTAATTAAAACTTGAAGTTAAAATAAACCAGACTGAGAAACTTTTGAATGAAAAACTTTGAAAACATTTCTAAAACTTCCAACTTAAAAGCGCAAAATAATTTGTTAAAACAGAAAGAAAAACGAAAATTTTCATTCAAAAACTACGAAACAACACATGAATCTCAGGGATTATCTGGTAGGTCTAATACTTCTGAAATGAAAGGGGTAATGTCTGTATTCATTTCTTTGTGTTTCACTAAAAAAATATGCTCCAGCAGCTGACTGTAGTTCGGCCTATCAATGTACTTTTTCTGTAGACACTTTATGGTGAAATCTTCAAACTGCGTTGAAAACTGTCCCGGCGGTAACCTGGGAGGATCATCAGCTACAACCTGTTTCAGCTGTTCAAAAGGTGTACCCCATTTTGGATAAGGAAATTCTCCTGTTGCCAGTTCTATCAGAGAGATTCCCAAACTCCAGACATCTGACCTTATATCATACTGAGAAGGGTTGCCTTGGGGGTCTATTCTTTCAGGCTGAAATATAAAAATGATGAAATGGGACTGACCCAAGATTCGGCAACGTTACAAATTGATATTCAATTATTTTGATCTGATCCACTAGAGAGATCAGTCATTAGTCTCATAACAGTCAACTCCAGTAACAAGACATTTGCAACACTACACTTCAAAAATAGAGAGTTTGTATCTGACAAATTGTAAATATGGTAATCACATGTGCAGTATATTTTTAAAGATATTTCAGAATCATTTTGGCAAATGTCTAAATGTGGATGCACAAATAAGATATGGTATTGCCTTCTGGGGAGTGTGCAGCAAAAGCATGCTGCAGACTGTTTTCGTTTTACAGAAGCGAGCTGTATGGTATGTGTGCGGGGCAAAGTTCCAAGATCACTACTAACCATTATTCATTGAACAACGAATTTTGACAATAATATCTCTATTCATTCTCGAAACAGTAAGTCTGATTCATAAAAATATATCTGCTCATGATGATATAAACGAGCCACACTATAATACATGTCAAGCTAACTTAATCAGACTTCCCCTGCCCACAACAACAATGGTGAAGGACTCATTGATATACAATGGAATAAAGATGTACAACAAAATTCCCATATACCTGAAGAGTTATTCTTTGAATATTTTCAGGAAAAAATTGAGCGACATTCTGATTGATGAAGCCTATTGTAGTTTAGATGAATTTTACAATAACAACGATTTTTATGAATTATAGTTTACTACTGTACTACTATAATATAGCATATTTTTTTAAGGAAATTTTTTGAATTTTGAATTGTATAGCATTTATTTTGTTTTGTAAAAATGTGTTTGACACCCTATTTTATATAAATGGGCTTTTAGGAATTACTTTTATACTACTTTGACATAGTTCATAATCGTTTGTCAACAAGAACTCTTTCTTTGGACATGAAAAGTAGTTATTTCTCATAAAAGAAATTTTCATCTGATTTGAATACTTTGAGAGTGTTTTCTGATTAATATCTTCACAGGTATATTACTGACAGTTCACATCACTGTGGACAGCACAAAAGGGCTCGGCTGAATTTTCTAGTGCATCGTCATTTGAATTTTTCTCTCGCACATGAGAGATTCACAAATTTATATATACTACGTGATCTTTTAGATATTCAGTCTATTTTCCAATTGAAAATTTGTTGTTTCATTCATTCTGTTAGAAAAAATCACAAACATTCGAATTTGGAATTCAATCAAATAAATACCATCCATGACCATAATACAAGACAAGCAAAAAACTACTATTCAAATCATATCACTCATAATTTGGGCAGAAATCAAAATTTCATTTATGAGTTAAAATATATAATAATCTTCCAGAGAAACTAAAAATGAATCAAAAAACAAAATTCAAATCGGAATTGAAAAAGTTTCTGCTTTCTTCCTCTAATTGACTCCATATTACTTTTTTTTTGTTTTTAATTACCATTTTAATTTAAAAATTTATATATTTACGTGTGTATATATGTAAATATGTGTGTATATATGTGTTTGTATCTATGTATTTATGTGCTGTATATTTAACTAATATTTAATATCGAAATAATTTATTTAATCATTATTTTAAGTTTTATCCCTGTTACAAACATTCTTGTTTCTTGGGATTAATAAAGATTATTATTATTACATTACAATTCGGAAAAGTCTGGAATTTACGAAATTAAATGTAAGGACTGCGATGCAAAATATTATGGACAGACATAAAGATCTATTAAAATTAGATATAAGGAACACTTATCACACCTAATATATAGAAGATCAGAAAAATCAGCAGTCACCATCACATTTTGCAACAAAAACATTATGTAGACTTTAGTATATTAAGATTAGTTAGAGAAGTTAACAACAACAGGCATCTAGATGCCTACGAGAGTGTAGAAATAAGGATACACAATAATATTATGAATAACGATGGTGAGCCAATACCTAATAGTATACTATATAGCTTGTTGAAATGATAATTTAATTATCAGATTTACCTGACTACATAAGGACAAATCGTAAAATTAATTCAAGACTAGAAAATAAGGCACCATGGTTAAATTAATTTAATACACTTAAGATGCAGGTACCTAGCAGAGGTATCTATGATATAAATAAGGATAACATTTTATGTATATTTAGTTTAATCTTCCTCTTGAAGATGATCACTTGGCGAGCGAAACACGTGTCAAGGTTTTGAAATAACAGTTTGGTGTTGGAATAAAACTTCAGTAATACTGAACTTTATTGTGACAATTGGATCTATAATATATTTTGATATGGGTAAAAAGTTTTGTCTTCATGGTTTTTAATAAATTTACTTACAGTTTAAAGAGTAAATAACAGTCTAGGTAAATTTATCAAGAACAATAAAGACAAAACTTTGGTGTTGGATATATCAGGAGTATATGAGCTGACTTATGGCTCTAACCTAAAATTGTGTATTGGCCAAACAGGGAGAACATTTCCCCAACGAACTGAAGACCATAGAAGTAGTTTTGTAAATAGAAAGGCCAATTCCACATTTGCAGACCACCTTTTAACAGAAGAACATAAATTCAATCATGAATACGACGTTTCTCATGCAGAAGAGAAAAGTTTGAAACTCAATCTTCTAGAATGTTTAGAAATCAATAGATTTAAGAATTCGGATAATTTACTGAATGACCAAATAGAATTAAATAACTTTCCCTATCTTTTCAAATTTGGAAACAGGTAATTTAATTCATTACAAACTCAGGTACACATGAAACATTAAATGACCAGGAAAAACTCAGGTACTTGAAATGTAGGTATTTCAAATTGTAAAACTAGGTATATAAAGCATTGAATATGTAGAATATAGTTAGTAAAGACGCGCCCGAAGAAGCCATTGTATCTAGAAAATCAAATGGGCTGTAAACTCATTTCAACCTTATAAGTCGCATATACCCAGTAATGCTTCAAAAGGGACCGGAAGTATTTTTCAAAAAATTGTGTATAATTAGGGCAAGCTTAGCACTGGGACACATACCAAAAATTTGGAGACTGATCAGGGCCACCTTCATTCCGAAACCTGGGAAAATCGGACAGGACTCGTTGAAGGCTTTGAGAGCAATTAGTCTCATGTCATTGGCGTTGAAAACACTAGAAAAACTACTTGACAGGCACATCAGGGACGTATCACTGGCTATCAGACCATTACATCGAGACCAATATGCATACAGGTCAGGTATGTCAACAGAAACAACTCTATGTCGGGTAACAGAAAAAATAGAATATACTTACAAAAACAAGGAAGTACTGCTTTCTTGGGCATTGAGGGCGCATTGTCAAATGCGCCCTCAATACCGTCATCAACAAACTAGGCAAGGTGCAAAGACTTGCATGTTTGGGAATGACGGGAGCAATGAGAACTACACCAACAGCTGCAGGAGAATCCTGAATCTACTTCCTTTACACTTTGTGATAATGGGGGAGGCCAGGATGGGCCAATTCAGACTGGAAAACTCACCGAACTACAAAAGATCGGACCGAAGAGAAATTTCGGAACAAGTGGAGGAGCACATATTGAATATGTGCACGGACCACATGACACCGAAGTACACCTTTAACACAAACTTCACGGCCAAAATCATAAGCCGTGAAGAGTGGAAGACCAGTAGTCATCCCGAAAACATGTTTGGTAAATAAATCCATCTGGTATACAGATGGATCGAAGACCAAACATGGAATGGGAGCTGGAATATACAGAGCGGATAGAAATCTAAACTACAGCTATCCGCTAGGACTATACACATCCGTCTCTCAGGCGGAAGTGTATGCTATCTTGCAGTGTGCAAGGCTTATCAAATTGAGACCTCAAAGAAATGAGCGAATCAATGTTTTTTCTTACAGACAGCAAGAGCGCACTAGGGGCTCTGACAAACTCGAAGGTGACATCAAAACTGATCTGGGAATGCCATGAAGAACTGAATGAACTTGCAAACAGAAACAAATTAACTTTGTACTGGGTGCCAGGACATTCAGGAATCACAGGTAATGATAAAGCTGATGAATGCGCTAGACGCGGATCATCAACTTCATATATAGGTCCTGAACCAGCTCTGGGGGTACCAAAATCATTGGTACGAAACCAGATTAGGACATGAACCAATAAGAAGCACACAGAGTACTGGACAAAAGTACCTGGCAACAAATACAGTAGAACCTTCATTAGGGAACCGTCCGAGAAAATAACTGAAGAACTACTTCAATATAGTAGGGGTCGACTCAGAATAATTACAGGGTTACTAACCGGTCATTGTCCGCTTGGAGGACACCTGAATAAAATGGGGCTGTACAACGGAGACCTCAGCTGCAGATTATGCAACGAAGGGATAGAAACAGCTCTACACATCTTATACGAATGTGAGGCACTGAATCACAGGAGGCGGGCAATATATGGACGTACAAAATTACGCCCAGAAGAATATGACGAACATCCAACATGGAACCTATACAAACTAGTACAAGGAACGAGACTGATGGAATGGAAGACCATAGAAGTAGTTTTGTAAATAGAAAGGCCAATTCCACATTTGCAGATCCCTTTTAGCAGAAGAAAATAAATTCAATCATGAATATGACTTTCTCATTCAAAAGAGAAAAGTTTGTAACTCAATCTTCTAAAGTGTTTAGAAACCAATAGATTTAAGAATTCGGATAATTTACTGAATGATCAAATAGAATTAAATAACTTCCCGTTACTAAATATCTTTTCAAATTTGGAAACATAAGCTCAGGTAATTTAATTCATTACAAACTCAGGTACACATGAAACATTAAACGATCAGGAAAAAATTAGGTACTTGAAATGTAGGTATTTCAAATTGTAAAACTAGGTATATAAAGCATTGAATATGTAGAATATAGTTAGTAAAGAGACGCCCGAAGAAGCCATTGTATGGCTAGACACGTGTTGCGTTTTTGTAAAACTGTTCAGTGAAAATCTCACAATAAAGTGTTTTTTGAATACGTTATTATTATTAATAGTGCACATAAAAAATACTTACCGCCATGTAAGGTTTACATCCTGCATCAATAGTTTTAGCAACAGAATCAACAAGATACCCACTGATTCCAAAATCACACATTTTTATTTCACCCTGACGATTTATTAGGATATTGGAAGGCTTCACGTCTCTATGTATAACTTTCAGATGAGAATGCAGGTAATGTAAGGCACTAACTACAGCCAGGGCAATTTTTCCTACAATAAAGCATTGAAATAGTGGTGTTATCCACAAATGTGATGAATATGAGTTTTTTATTCATTGTATAATCAAAACTCAAATGCCTTCATAAGATATTGGGTTTTCAATAATCCTATTAAATTTGTTATTACAGTGGCCACAAAAAACAATTAAAAAACTAGAGGTCCGTATTAACCAAAATAAAGTTGATGATGAAATCTAATGAATGAAACGTCACATTGCAAATTGGTTCTCATTAGATTACAACAAATATGAAACAAATTGAAAAGGTTATATTTTTAGGAGTGACTAATTTTTGGGAAAGAAAGTTTTTGGCGTTCTACTACTCCATCTTGATACAAAAAAATGTGGGAATCTTTCAAAGAAAGGAAGGAAGTAATCAATTTTAAATTTCCCACATTTTTTTGTATCAAGATGGAGTAGCAGAAAGCCAAAAAGTTTCTTTCCCAAATATGAAATAGTATTGAAAGTTACTGTCTTTTTTTATATCATTCAAAATGGAAATTTGACAATTCTAGTTTTTGGCGAATATTTCAAAATCAACCACGGATATTCTCAACCTGAAAAGAGATCATTCTAGTTTCCCAAAATAGGAAGGTTTTGTGCAATTTAACCAAACTTAATGGTTCCGATATAGTAATAGTAAGATCAACTAAAAAAAATTGCCTGTATAAAAGCCCACTCTATTGCTTTTCTAGATTGGCAATTGGTGAACTTTGCAAACTCAGCGGCACCCCTCTGTCAAAATTCAAGCTCCAATATAATAGATTTTTGCATTATTTTTTTTAATTTATGTATTTATTACTCTACTCATTTTCTCATGAGTTACAGAATGTATTTTAATATAACTGCATTTTCTTTATTTTCCTGTCGTATACATACAATTGTGATTTGTTAATAAAGCCGTGGACCCGTTAATAAATGAATAAATAGAAAAATTTGAATGCAGTCTTTCATTCTGAGTAAACATGAATCTCTCTGCAGAGCTTCAAAGAGATATTTTGAAAATTGAGTTGATCCTGAAGTTTTTTTTCATTGAGTTTTTGAAGAAATCTTGCATAAACACATTTGTACTTTAATACAATTCCAAAATGGTAGACACTAAATTTTCAGAAATAACTGACATTTTTGCCTCAATCTGTCTCTTGCAACGGTGTATGGAATTACACTGAACAAATGGAAAATTGATGATGAAATATATAAAATCACAACCTCGACACAACCTCGTTTCAATGCAATATTTCTGAGAATTTTGTGCCTACTATTATCGAATATACCACAATCATTAATTTATTGGCAAAACAAATATGACGTTATTTTTATACAAGTTGACTTAGGTTGAAAAATGAATCATCAAAATAGGCTCATTATTGACAAAGATATGGAAGTCATTTATTCAGAAGTGCGCGAGCTCAGAGCCGCTATCCCCACTCCTACGGCCCACTCGGCTTCTCAGTGCTCCAAGTTTTACGCTCACATTCACCGTTTAAAATCGCGATTTTGCAAACATTTTCATGACGTTATAATGTTAAGGTATTTTATTAGTATTAATGAAAATTTTATCCCTTAATATTCAAAAATATAGGGATAGCGACTTTTTTTGGTCTTGGCTTCTGATTGAGTTTGGATTTTTTTTTTGCTAGCTATACCAATATGTTGGTGGAAAATTCCTGTCAAATTCGCAAATTTATGTGCAACAAACACGCTCCAAAAATAACATACCTTTTTGGGTGCCAGGTGAAAAAAAAATAAAAATCTATCTTCCGTTTTAAATGTTGTACAAATTAGGTCTCAAAGAAAAAATTTCGCTAATACAAAATCCTCCTGGAATGCGCCCTAGATTTAAAACAGTTTTTTTCGTTATATCCGAACATGTTTCAACAATGTTCCCAGTGTTTAAAATGGAAACTATTTGAACATGTTACGTTTATCTAACGGAGCCCATAAATTAAATCCTGCTATTGATTTATTTTGCTCTTGGATAGCACCCATGGATCATTAGGGCTACAGTGGCATAAATTCTATATATCATTCAAGAGATTAACAAAAATGGTTTCCTGAAATTGATGATTTTCAGGCTACTTAAAGGCTGCATTTCCCAAAGTATATCAAAGAGCAAAGTTTTGAATATAGATTTGTGATCAGCAACCGAAAAATGTAAGCCAATTTTTTTTCAAAATTTGCGCTAGCCATTAAAAATAATATTTAACGTCCATTCATAGAGATATAAGAAACATGAACTGATGAAAATCTTACCCAAAACATTCTCAGGAATTTTTCGCAAATGCTTATAGACCTTGGCATAAAATTTATCTAAACTAGTGTCCATAACTTCCATGCAAATCCACACATCCCCTTCTCTGAAAAGTGCCCCGTAAAACTGAACGGTGTATGGACAGTCACTGCTTCTCATGGAAATATCAAGATCCATGAGTAACCTCTTTTGTTCTTGTGTGTTTACTGTTGCAGTGATTCTTTTAACAGCCATTATTGTCCCACTGGGAATGTGCCTCATCTTTTCTACAATTCCATATGCTCCCCTTCCTAGATCTTCAATTTTTAAGAGATCATCGGCCTCAACATCAAAAGTTCTTTCGCCAATTGTGATTGTTGTACGAGTATCTAAATTAGCTGGTGGGAGTCTAAAAATTATTATATTCATTACTGTCAATGAATACATTGAAAATAAGGAAATCACTATCAAAATTAGTTGATAATAAAGATCATTACTTAGGTCTGTGTCATTATCATATAAACATATATTCAAAATTATTTTTCAGCTTTGTATCCTTTTTTCTTCAAAAATTATTTTCTTCTAACTCAAACTCCAAAGTACTAGTTATAATAGTTTATTTAAATAGGCCAGAGTTACGCTATATTTGAAGGTACATACTACATTTATCTCTACAGCTATCACCTACTGAAAACCAAGATTGAAACTACACTCAGATTCATAAAAATACAGCTTTTGGACCACACTCGAAACAATCCTGTATGCGAACTTGGTTCATTCCCCGTACATTGTTTCTTCATTCATTTTGATATCACAATTCCTTTCAGATTACGAATTGTTGAACAAATCCTATAAACTAGGGTAGACATGTGAGAATTCAGAAATATCACCTACGAACAAAAATGAACTTCCTTTTACACTCTAGACAAGTAGAATAACATGCCCCATGGTAATTCGTCGAGTGCCTCAGAGAATTTATTTTTATTTATTTTTTTATTTATAAAGCATACATAAATAAAATAGGGAAAATAATAAAAAATCACACTCCTTACCATCTAAAATGTATTAGGATGACTCTGTCAGCGAAAATAGTAATTATTTTGCAAAATATTTCTCATCTGTCTATAGTGATGAAACAGTTAACCAAATTCCAGAATATAAATTTAGTAAGACGGTTGATATATGTAGTTATAGCGTTGATATTAAAGAATAAACGATCTAGTCATGTCATGACATTGGAAATTGTCTACAGGTCCTGATGGAATTCCACTATTCCTAATGAAAAAATGTATTTCTACCCTTGTCAAACCAATTCACATGATATTCAATATTTCCTTGAAATCGTCTATCTTTCCAGATTATTGGAAAAACAGTTTTTCGAAACCTATTTATAAAAGTGGATTACATAATGATATGAAAAATTATCGAGCAGTCTGTAATCAATCAGAATTATCCAAATTGTTAGACAGTCTAATTACAAAAAAGCTAACATGGGATTGTAGACATATAATCATTAATCAACAACATGGATTCAGTTGTGGTAGATCTACCAGCATAAATCTGGTCATTTATCAACACTGTATGATAAATGCCTTCGAAAATAGATACCAGTTGGATTCTATTTACACAGATTTTTCAAAGGCATTTGACCGAGTAAACCACAATTTGTTGATGCATAAACTAAATGCTTTGGGTATTCAAGAAAACTTTCTGAAATGGATTGAAAATTATCTAGCCTGCAGAGTACAATTTGTAAAATATGGTAACTCAGTATCTTCCTCAATCACAGTTTCATCGGGTGTACCACAGTGTTCTCATTAAGGGCCATTGCTTTTCAACCTATTTGTAAATGACTTGAAAGATGTTATTCTTTATAGTGAATTTCTTTTGTTTGCTGATAACCTGAAGATGTTTAAAGTTATTCATGACTTAACTGATATAGAATTATTACAGTACTATTTATCTAACTTTGTTCGCTGGTGTGATATAAATCTACTGCAATTAAATATAGGCAAATGTCAAAAATTTACTTTTTTCCCCGAAACAAAAATCCCATTAACCGGCTATATAAAATCAATCAATCAGAACTGAAAACAACAAACACCACCAGAGATTTAGAAATCACTCTCGACCCAAAAATGTAATTTAAACCCCATATTGCAAATATTACTTTTATATTTACTTTTAAAGCACTAAAATGTTAGGTTTCATTATTAGATCTGCAAATGAATTATCTCACTTCAATAAAAATCATATATTGTTCAATTGTTAGATCAACAATCGAATACAATTCCACAATTTGGTGTCCTTCATATCATGTGGATATTGATATGCTTGAAAGTGTTCAAAATAAGTTTTTAAGGTACTCTGCATATAAACTGGGATATGATATTGGTGAATATGACTATAAAATTATATTGGACAATCTTAACTTGAATACACTAGCTCATAGAAGATTAGAATCAGATCTTACACTAATTCATAAAATAATCAATGGTAGCATCAATTCCTCGGAACTTGTCGAACTTATAACTTTAAATGTGAATCCAAGGAGAACAAGAAATTCGGAAATCTTCAAAGTACCTTTTTGTCGCACCAGCTATGGCCGGAATGAATCTGTAGGTAGAATTTTGAGATTTACAAATACATACAATGTAGATTTAAAATTATTCAATCCTTCTTTGGAAACATTTAAAAAGACCGTGAAAAGATTATAATTCATTAACTTATTTTTACGATATTTTTAAATTTTATTTTATATATTTTTTCCTTAAACCTAACTTAGATTACTGTTAAATACATATGTGTGAACTTGTTAATTATTTTGTAAAAAATAGACATTGCCGTAAATAAATAAGTATTTGTAACTAATGCTATTGCAGTTTCGCCCTCAAATGACATTTCCAAACGAGTACAATATTCGTTTAAATATTGTATTCGTTGAATACAATATTCGTTAGAAAATGTCCTTATTAGTGTCAAACCGAAAACGAATTTCGGCCGAAACCGAAACTTCCTTACAAGGATTATGTTTTGAGGGAAAAATAAAGAAAAGGTTATTTTAATCAGTTAGTCTTTATTATTTTATCTTTAAATCACAACGTTATGCAGTCTTCTTGATAATCAACATAAAAAACCCTTATTTAAGAAAAAATATTATTTGCACCTTAAAAATACTTAAAATAGGTTAGGTGTTTATTTGAATAGGTGTAGATCCTTCTTTTGAATATTATTGATGGGTTTTCAAAAATATTAAACATAAAATTACTTATTCGAGTTGTTACCTAATATCACTTGTATGAAATTTAACGAGCCGAACATGACCGATTACAGCGCGGAAACTCCCGAATGCAGTTTCGGTTTTGGTCGTAGTTTCGGCAGGTTTTTCGCCGAAACCGAAACCCGTTTTTTTGCCGAAACTCGACCGAAACCGAACTTTCGGTCGGACACTAGTCCTTATATAACAAAACTGCAGTAACGTTAGTTACAAATACAAGTGGGTATAAAAACACAGAAAGTTTCATTTCTCATGATGATCTCCTACTACGTAGTAACGGCTACATCTATCAATTTATTCATTATTTTAAGGTAGGTAAATTACACAATTCAAAATTATTTTATACCCAATGGATAAAAAGAGGTTATTTGTATTTATATAACGAATTTATGTGAAGAAGCCCCTTGGGTTTATCGAGATTTGAAGTTTTTTGGGTACATTTTATTTTTACTGAAAATATATTTTACTAATTTTTTTTGAAGAATTGTTGGTGATTTGAGTGTACCCCAAATCAAAATCAAATATTGCAATTTTAAGAAGATTCATGATTTAACTATGTTTTGTAAGTGATGTAAACGGCAAATAAATATATGTTAATTTCAAGGTTAACCTACAGAATAGAGTTTATGTATATGCGAACTAGACTCAATATTGACCACTGTGATTCTCAACACAGTACATTACAACTAGTGCTTACTTCTCACATACATACAAACTGTTGTCTGTATTCCTATTCTTAAATTATATAAAATTCTGGGAATATATTATGAACAACAGTACTGAAGGCTATAAGAACATAGGCTTTCATGGCAGGAGTCACAATTAAACATGTATCCACTTGCCAGTCCATTTTTTTCAATAAACTACAAAATAATTGTTTATGAAAATAAATAACACTTTTGAAAGGGTTTTTCCATTGGTTTCAATGTGTGAAAACATACATTTAAGATAGGTTAATAAAGGCTCGCAGTAAATGATAGTGGAAAAGTGCCATTATAACAGAACAGAAGTGAGTTCCTGAAACAAATTATTTTTACACTCTGCAAGTAGGTCGAATGTTCATGATGAGCAGACGAAAATACCAAGTCAAATAAAAAATTTTTAGAACTTGGTGCACGGCATGTAAAAGAATAATTACCCTAGTCAACCTCCCACTGCAACCTACAAGGGTTTATGGTCTCAAACCTATTCAAACCCCACCAAATCAATCAATCTTCTTGACAAAGTACATGATTTATTTACGGAATTATCTGTAAGGTCAGATGGCAAGAGAAACTCTGTCAAATAGTGTTTTACTGTTTCATCATCTACAAAACAGGGACAACAGTTTTTTGAAGCCCAAGTCTCTCAATATGATACACTTTCAATGACGAGGACATAAAAACAAAAAGAACTCACACAGCAGGGGCAGCATCATCAGACACTTGCAATTTCAAACCTGGCTTCTTCTTTCGGCCTGTGCCCGACATATTCTTCACCTACAAAAAATATTCCACGTGAATTGATAAGTTAAATTTTTTATTTCTTGCGCTTTTGCAAGCAAAAGGAATGCCTGAAGATATACTCTAGAAAGTCATCCCACTTAGTGGTTAAAAATTTGTCCTTGGTAAGAAAATTACCTTGTGTTAAACAGTACTCTCTGGTTATTACTTAACAAACTATTAAAGGGATCTAATATAATTTATTAATTAATTGAAGACCGTGAAGAAATATTTTTTGCAACCTTTTGACATTAGGATATTGATCAATTGACAGTTTTTTGACACTTGACCCTAGTCATATTTCAGAGTGATAGTTATTTCATGGTAGCACGAGTACAGAACAATGGATTTATGATTTGGCTTTCGATTAATTTATGCAAGTACCACTTCATTATGAGATTTTTACTGGACATCATCGATTAATTTCTTCACTGTAAAATGTTTTTTATGAAAACGTAGATGGGCCATAAAAATCTATACTTATTATAATTGAAAGGGGTACATTTTTAGGAGAGATACATTTTTGGAAAATGAAGGCGCTCTACTTCTCTAAATTTATACACAAAAATTGGGGAGTCTTCCAAAGAAAGAAAGCCATTAATTTCAAAATAAACTCTACACAAAGATGTGTAGTTCATGCATCGAAGTAACTTTCAGACACAAACTGGAAGTAAGAGCAATTCACACTTGCATCTGTGAGCTGGAAAATTCACAAATGTTAATGTGTACTTTTTACTTTAAATTATGATCATCGTCTGTATACACAAAAACTAACCTGTAATCTTACCTAGCGGAAGGTTCGAAGATATAAAAAATGGAAAAATATGATCTGTCATCTCTATAGGCCCTTTTCCAATCGGGTCACATGCAATTTAGTTCAAAAACAGAAAAGAGTGCAATTGGTATTGGGTAGGGCCTTAATAGGGGTGGCTGGAAAGTGTATTATTCGGACAAGGAGCCTCATATAATCACAATCGAACTCACAGGTAAGTTCGTTTGATCATTCAATTATATTTCAGCTCCTCGTCAAGATTACTGGTAGAAGTTGAAAGTAATCACATTTTTTTGTCGATCTCGGTATAATTACGACTCTCGGGGGTGGTCTCTAGTTCTGCTTCGTAGGTCTCCTGTGTTTGCCCCTCCTTCGGAATCTGGGGTAATCCCTGTATAGTTTATTGTTTAGATCGCTGGATTGTCGTGAGCTCGAATTCCGTCAAACGTGTCCTCTGCGTGTTGTCTCATATATGGGTCTACGAAGTGTATGTTCAGATATGTACATATTCGGTACATATCTTGGAGCGTTTACGGCGGACCTTACGCACGCGTTCATAAACGACTGGATCTGCCTTCTGTATATCGCTGCGCACTGGCCCCAGCCAGTCCAGGCATACATGATTATCGGTAATATTACGGTCTCTATCATCAGCAGCTTCACTTTCAGTCCCATGTTGCTTCTTCGACCTATTATTGGTAATATGTTTTGTCGGGCAGATCTCGCCATTCATATTCTCTGCTGTACGTGATACCTGAACATTATTCTTTTGTCTAGGTTGACTCTCAGGTATCTAGCTTCGTTGGTCCACGGAATCTCTTGTCCGTTGAAGGTGACGTTTCCTTCCGGGTGTACCATCCTCCGGGTGAACAGTATTGCCTGACTCTTGTTAGGGTTTATACTGATCTTCCACAGGTTGGCCCATTCCTCTTATCTATCTGCTTGTTGCTGCAAGTATCTAGTGACGTGCGCTTGGTTTGTTGATCTCGCCAGCAAAGCTGTGTCGACCGCGTAGAGCCCCAACTTGTTGAAGTTATTCTCCGGCTTGGTCACGTCTGCTGTATCAATGTCTACCGAAAATCTACCTGTATCTACCAATCGATCTCAATGGAAATGTGGGGCGGGGCTTCGAGTGATTACCATCACCGGACGTCATAGTGGGAGGTGGGGGTCCAGGTAGTTTTAAGTTGTAGTTGGAAGTTTCTGACCATCATCACGTTTTGTTCAGTGAGAAGGTCGTTTTTCTATTTCGATGTTCTTGCGAATTATCCGAACTTGTAGTGTTTTCGATGTGGCGATGGTCTTAGTGTTCGCAAAGTTTATATTGTGTCCTGTCTCTATATGATGTTTGGACAGGGCTGAGGAGTGGTCTGACTTTCGGACAGCAAGTTAATGTTCGTAAACTCTACTTGTCATACGTCTGGCCTACATATATATGGCAATCGGAGCATGGAATTTCATATATACCCTGGGATTCATTGACAATTTTGGCCTTGGAGGAACGGAGAAATGTGGAAATTTGATTGTTGGCGGTGAATATCGTTTTTATATTGTGTTTTTGAGAATTGTGCCAATTTTGTCAGTAACACCTTTAATGTAGGGAAGGAACGCTTTGTGAAGAACGTTATTTACTTTTGGATCTCTGGGACTAGATGGAGAAATTTGTTGATGACGGATGAATCTGTCAATAGGATGATCTGTGAATCCATTTTGAAGGAGAGTTTATTTGAATTGAGCCAGCTCTTGTGATTTGTTGTGGCGGTCTGTTTCTAGAAATGATATAAAATAAAGATTCGTTTTCCGATTACATTCCAGGAAAGCTTCCCAAATTTCTGCCAATGCAGTTGTCGGTTGATTAGTCAAACACGCCGACATAAAAACTTGGCAAGCTAACTTGGGTGTCACCCCTATAAGTGGTTCCACTTATGTCTCACTTGTTTTTACGCAGTTATTTTTGTCAAGTACTGTTCTTGGTTTTTTTTGTCCTTCTAACAAACGCCAGCAGCAAGAGTAAGGGAGCAACTTGTCTGAACTGAAGATGACTATCGGTCAATCATTGTCTTCAATCGACGACCGCCTGCCTGGTACTAATGATGCACAACAGGCTGAAACAGCTCTCTTGTCTAGCAGTAGCTCTTTTATAGTGATAGGATATCGGATGCAAATGCCGATATTCGATATCGATATTAATATTCATTAATCAATAGATATTACCGATATATAAAAAGAATAATATCGATATTTATCAATATCGAATTTCTATATTGAGAATAATTCAAACAAAATTTTTATAAGTATAATTATGTAATTTCAGATAATATACAAATGAGTTCTGAAAATAAGTTAAATTCACTTTTCATGCAATTTTGAAACCAAAACACAAATACCTATTCAACTGGAAAAGAAAAAATCATTCAAGGAATTAATGAAAGTTTAATTTTCATTAACACTGCTGAAATTCTGAAACAATTCCAAAGTATCTTTATCTACGCACTGTGAAAATAATATTTGATTGATTGATTTGATTTTGATATTTGATTTTGACCACTCAGTCGGTTCCTTCTTGCTATCATTGTTTGTCCTGCCTTCGAAAATAGTCTTTTCTGGAAGTACTGACGTTGCCACGATTGCTAAATATTTTACAGCATTATTTACAAGTTTATTCTTCTCACTGGGTAATTTTACTTTTAGTTTGGCAGCGATTTGAAAATATTATATTTTAATTTCTTCAACTTTACCGTGTAAATTATATAGTCAGTGGTATAATCATACTTGTTGTATATTTTTCGCCTGAAATTTCCCTCGTAGCAGCTTCAAAGGGTTGAAAGAGTTCTTGAATAATTGCTAGTTCTTTTACCTCTCTTCCTGTTACCATTACTGGAGCTGTTTCGTATTTGTTGATAATTGTATTAACGAACTCTCTCAACTCTAGAAAATTTTCAATCATGTAGTAGGTGGAGTTCCATCGGGTTACCAAATCTTGTTTTAATTATTTTGATATTGTTCGTTTTTCATTTTGAATTTTTCTTAGGTCATCTGATGCAATAACACTTTGACGAAACCATGTTACAATATGCTTTACTTTTGTGATGATTTGCTTCAATTCATCAGTCTCAATAGTAGCTCTTTCTTTTTTATCTAAAAAGAGGTCAACTCCACATGTCATATTAGAAGCATCATCCGTTATTATAGCAGTAATTTTATTTTTTTCGATTTACCATTCATCACACAAATGCATTAAATTTTCCGCAATGTATATAACAGCTATGTAATGTAATACCAGTATGTCTGTTCTCTAATTCATATATTCCTATAGCAGTGGAGAAAATTTTACTGTCTTCTTCAAAGTGTAATGTTAAACCCAAACAACTTTTTGAATCAAACGTTTCAGTCCAATTGTCAGGCGTGATACACTAGGAGGAAGAATTTTTATTTTTTTCCTTATAAATAGTTTTACCTGCCACGTATTTTTCATTCGGCGATTTACTAATTGTCATTTCACATGGAATTTTATAACTGGGTGCTAAGACTTTCATCAATTGTTTGAAACCCTCATCCTGAACAATGGATGTTGGTTGAAAATCATGACAAATTATGAATAATATAGACTTCGTAATTTTATTTTACTTACTGCCTCCTACTGCATACGAAGTAATTTCTGATTAAGTCTTTTATCGTTCGTTGTCTTTTGAATGATGCTCTTTTGGTGCAGGGCACTCAGAAGGTCATCTTCGATTCGTTCAGGATTGTAGTCCAGCCCCCCTACCCTTTCGACTGATTGTTGGTCTCGAGAAGGACCAAGGACGTCTACAGCATATTCTGTGGCTTCCCTAACTAACCGATGCAGGGCAAATCTTCAGAAGTGCAAGACAATTCTTCAGAGGTGCAAGACAATTCTTCAGAAGTATCCGGCAAATTTTCAGGAGCGCAAGGCATATTTTTAGATGTACTGTTCCAGTATTTTACAATCTTTATTTCTTGATTGTGATAGGGCTTTAGGATGCACTGCTGTTAAATGATTTTTTAAGTTCGTGGTGTTTCCAGATGTACATTTTTCTACATAACAAACTTTCAACTGTTGTAGACTATATTTTCTCAAAATATTTCCAGTAATTAATTTTTGGAGCGATAACTGTTTTTGAAACTACTCGAAAACGCTTGAAAACTTAACGTACCGTTGCACCGAGATCTAATAGCAATTGATTCGTTGTTCCGTAAATCTGTGATATATATTCTCGAATCCACATTTTACCTAAATCTCTGTATATCCCATTGAAATAGAGGTCCTTCCCTCATGCCATGTACGTCGTTTATGTGATAGATGGTGTTAGTAATTTAGTGGATGTTTTTAATAGTTGTGCTACTCTCCACAAGAGTGACGGAGCAATTTCTGTTATGTTAGTTGCATATTTGACTTCGATATCGAAATTTCGATATTTTGGAAAATGGAGATATCGGTGTCGATAGTCTTCAATATCTATACTGAAATATCGATATTGGCACTCCCAAATATCGATATTTTTTAAAATATCGATATGTATATCGCTAATCGCTTTAAATTGGAATCAAGTTAGGAATGATCAGAATAGTACTCATCTTGATATTTCGAATTTCTTGGAATTATTTCCCAGCAGCTTGACTGCATTAATCTATTTGATACGATATATATGATAATTAGAAGTCCGGATTGAACCGCGTCTTGTGTTTTTGGTAGTTCGACGATTTGGTTTCGACTTTGAAGCCATTTTCATAAAGCTATCACTACACTGGAGTCTCAATTTGCCTACTCCAAAGGTAGTGACACGTTACAAGGGTTTTCAGACTTGACGCCGAAGTCGTATATCTGATTCTATTTGTTAAGATGCATCAAATTATCAAATTGAGGATCATACAAAAAAAAGGTGTGACAAACTTCACTTTGTCTACTTCAAGGACATTTACCGTTGCAGGAGTGTTATTTAATTTAAATAGTTACCTTCTTCCTTTGTTTATCTCAACATTATATTTCAAGTGCTGTGCGCTCCCAAAATCAAAATAAATTTCCTCAGCTCTTTCAATTCTGATACGTCCACAAAATTTAAAAGAGTTAACGAATGAAGCACAGAACAGGGAGAACACGTGACGATATAAGTTTTAAATAATGTAAATTTCATTCCAGTCAGTGATGAAATGAAATAAATGTTTTTGAAAACAATTTTATCTATTGATATTACAGAAAGTGTACAAATATCTATCCTTTTTTAGAGACTGATAAGAGTCAAGGTCAAATGAAATTGTGATCATTAATTTTTTCATTTCATCTTGTATCTGGTGCTACTGTTCATTGAATAATATCTATTCAAAATTTCAAAAATGTCTATCAGGAATGTAACCCACTGTATACTCAGAAGTAAGTTTAACATAATAGGCATAATAAAAAAATGAAACCCTTATTTTAGTTACAGGTGTTTCGAAGGGTTTTGCAAGACATTTTAGTCTGCATAAATTACCAGAAGATCATTTGATGTTACAGAAAACATGTCGAGACTTTGCTGAAGTTGAACTGAAACCAATAGCAGCCGAATTAGATAGAGAACATAAATTTCCAGCTGAACAGGTGAGATCAAATTCATTTTCAGTGTCAAAATTCATGTATGAGCTTAGTGATTTATACCTACTCATAGTATCTAGGTGCTTGAGTTGTAAGTTTTTAGTAGTAACAAATGAAAAACATGAATTCTCACCACTGAAAACTTGCTTCTTATAAGTTGAGGCTGGTTCATGAATCCACCTAGTGTAGTTACTTATGTCATGTTCCTGTATTATTTTGGTCTGTGAGAATTCATGTTGATTTGGAATCATTGCCACTGCCAGACATGCCACTGTTTTCACACAATTTTTGGTATAGAAAACTGTTTTATCAAGTCAGTCCTCCTTCATGGAATGGTTGTTGCCAACAAGAAATAAAATAATTTCATAAACTACACCTTACAATTTGATTTTCACAAACTTTATTTTCAAAAATATATAACGACATATTTCGCTAAAACAGTTTTGAATTGTTTTTAACAGTTTTGTACTTTTCAAACATTTCGTCCACTTTATTTTATTTTTTATACAGACTTAAAGCCTGATTACATTAAAATTCTTATTGCTAACTATATATATGAGCTTACATTCTATACATACACGTCGAGCGTCAAATTGATGTTCATACATATTCTCTACATTCACAGTGATATTTCTAATAAGTCATCATTATCATCATCAAAATTTTTTAAAGCATTGATTTCGTGTGCCAACTGAATCATGGTTAAGAATGAAATAGTAGTTATTTTTTTGCTCATTTCAATACTGGACTCCTTGTAGGGTAAGGGGAAACATTAAAATCTACAAGTTCCAGTATGTTTCTGTCAGCAATATTGTCTTGCCTCCTCAAAAGCAGAGTTTTCACATGAAACGAAACTCCACATTTTTCAATGGAGTTTTGTTTATGAAGGATCGTCCTATTCCGAGTCGCAAAACTTTTGTTGAGTCTAATTAATTGTTAATTTATCGTATTTACGAATCTTGTCTATAAATAAAAAATTAACAACAATTTTTTTTCGAATATTGTAGATGGTGTTCTTGGAGTAGCAGTCAAAGTCTGTTAAAGAAAACTCTTTGTTATTTTATCAAGTGTTCGGAATCTTTTAATTCCTTCTTTAGGACAACTAAAAATATGTAATAAATAAAAAATATAAACATTATGGATTCTACTTACTTGACGTGAGATTGAATCATATAATACTTGGCTTTCTCAAAATCACAAACGTTTCAGAGAGTAAATATATTTTCAATAGAGGCATTTTTCACCAATATTTATTTAGATTTTGACAATCGAAAGGAATTAGTCATTTTGAAAAAGATAAGTGTGTAAATTTTTATTAAAACTACGATAAAAATAAAATAAATACAACAATAAAAATTTATTGGCACTCCGGGGCGACTTCATTGATTCCAGTGGCGCATTTGCTTTTTCAGCTGCAGGAAAACCCGGAAAAACCTGCAGCACCACATCACCTGAAGATCTTGATCTAACAATGTCCTCTCTCTCATAAAACAAAATGTAGGGTGTCTCCAGAGGCTCCAATAAATTCAATGCATCGCCAGAACACTTCGTGACACGACTATCGTCAAACTTAAACCAGTCCGTTTCTTCTTTGACCAAGGCGTAATAATGTATAAATTAGTTTTACAGTTATTTATCTTATTTATATGCAAAATTTATAAATTCCACAGGTTTATAACTAATTAACTGATCTATATTAGACAGTAACTTTTCATGTTGAACTTTTCAGTTTGCCCTTCATTTTCTCAATTTCAGATTTATTAATTTTTCAGAATGTCAAAGAATATTAACCCAAAAGTGAAGAAATATAATTTGCCTCCTAATAATTTAGGTTACCAAAAGTTATTTTTTTATTTCATGATTGGTAGATAATAAACATTTATTCTTCATTTATCCACCTCCGCCTCCACTAACCTTCTCTTTCGTAGAGGCTAACTTTTGCTCTTCGGGCTCCTCCTCTATTAATGCGGCCTTCATTTATATTGTCAATACTGAACATACTAAAATTCAATTGGCATGTTGAAATGCAACTCCGGGACTTCACAACATATAGTTAACTTGCAACTTCCAATTTAAAAAAACTAGTATAATGGTGACGTTTTTATATACAATCGAATCAAAATATACATTGAACTACCATAAGATATGAAGTCTTAGGTATCTAAAAAATAACTTGAAAATTCATCTAGTTTCTAAAATCAGTTTTTTATGTCATTCTGATTGTTATTTAATCCTTACCTGATTTTGTTTTTTTTTTAGATTAAAAAAATGGGTGAATTAGGACTTCTTGCTGTAAATGTGTCGGAGAAATATGGTGGGGTTGGACAAGATACCTTAGCTTTAGCAGTAGCTGTTGAAGAAATTGCCAGGGGTTGCGGTGGAACTGGAACTATAGTTTCTGTACACAATTGTTTATATGTAAATTTATTAGATCGATGCGGAACTGATGAGCAGAAAGAAACTTTTCTGAGACCATTTACAAGTGGCACTTTGGGTTGTTTTGCCCTTAGCGAACCAGGTTAGTGGTATCTCCGTGCTAGTATTTTATATGTTCCAAAAAGATATAATTATGAAGAACTTTGGAATTGGAAACTCATTTAATCATCAACGACTTGTATTTTAATGAAGTACCATCATCATTATTTGCCATTAGATTACACTCAATCATAAATGAAGATAATAATAATCTATACTATGGATGAAGTTACTGAATCTTCAGGTCTCTTAATTTGAAATGAGACCAATATACTTACATTTTATGTGCATCTTTGATGAGTGATAACAAATTGAAATAACTTTAATTATTTTTCACATAAAATAATATTTCACAAACTCTTACAATATGACTCAAGTGGCTATTTCTGAACGGTTGCCATCCAATATTTGATTTATTTTTTTTCTCTGACAATGAATCTAAATATATTAAGTTACTTGGTGGTTCCATTGTAAACTAATCAATTCTTCATATCATTGGTAATGGTTTGTGAAATATTTTTCATTAATTTCTCATTTTCGTTTTTATTTAAATTTGCTCAGCTTGTATAAATAAAGGTTTTTGTTTGACAGTTAAAATTCGTAAAAAACTTGGATGACTCTTACTTTTTTGAGTTGGTGTCAAACAGTGTCAACAGTTATGAAATTAATACTTCTATAAAAATGTTCAAAGAAATGCATAGTATGGGATGTTATCAAGTGAAATCACTTGAAAAAGCTAATGTCTTAGCGAAACATGTGATATATTTTTCAAATAAAGTTTGTGGAGATCAAATCGTTGAGATGTAGTTTTTGAAATTACTATGGATCTTCATCAAGTAACGGCTGAATCAATCAGAAAAAAAAATTATTAGACTTGTACATAATATTAGACTTGTGAAGTGGAGATAGGAACCATCAAATGAGAATATTGCTGATTTCTTTACAAAATAAAAATAGATTCAAATCAGGTGTGGGCTTTCGATGGTTTCAAAAACGAAAATGGCAATGGTATGACATCATAGTTGTTTCAGATTGTTGTATAAAAAATAATTGAAAACCAGAGAGAAAAACTTTACACAACAGAGGCAAGCAAGTTCGGAATATCCAGTTGCATATCTCCTCATTTAATCTCCCTGTCAATTAAGTGATTTGGTCAGAGGTTGCAGAATGTAATGTATTCAGTTTTGTTGGATGCTCCCTTTGCAAAAATATAGGTTTTTAAACGTGTCTGAAAACTGTATCAAGGAGACATACATACGTATAAGAAAATAAATATTTTGAAATTAAATCACAAAATTTTTATCTCTCCCAACTACCTAACACTATAGGTTCTTGTAAATGCCAGCCGGAAAACAACTACTTGGAACTGTAATGTACTATGTGGGAGTACCACAAGGGTAGATACTGGGTCCGATTTTTTTTCTCATAAGGTAAATTCTATTCAATACATAAACATAAAAAGAAAGATATATTTATTTGCCGATGACACAATACTTGTTTATTCAGGTAATAATGTGAACGAGATGTATAAAAACATGGTAAACTATTTAATTGAATCATCATCCTGGCTCAGTTCCCACAGACTTTCTTGAAATTATTCAAAATCTTCATATATGTATATGTATATATCCTGTAGTGATTTCAAGTCTCGTGAAGACTATTGAAGTTAAAATGTTATTTAGATTGAATTCTACCTTGAAAAATTCTTAGGGAATTTACTCAAAGCAAGTATCTAAATGAACTTATATGAGTTTCTCTGTTTATTCATCTTTGCTATTGAAAAACAGTTGAACACATCTTAGAATTTGTATACGTTGAATTATTATTATTTTCATCAGTATGAAGAAATAAGCACCTCTAAAGAGCTTTATTATGACTATTATTTTAAATTTAGATGCAGGCAGCGATGTTGGAGCTATGTCTTGTATAGCTGTTGAAGATGGGGATAGCTATATTCTAAATGGTACAAAATCTTGGGTAACTAGTGGTACAGAAGGAAAGGCTGCTGTTATTTTCGCCACTGTAGATAAAAGTTTGAAACATAGAGGTAAGGCATTATAAAGTTGAAATAATGCGATGAAAATAATTGAAATTTCTTACATATTTTGTCATTGTAGCGTTGAAGGCTGTAAAATCTTGTCAATTTGATTTTTGATAAAATCGCAAAACGAACATGTTCTACTGTATGACTAAATTGTCCACATGTTTCAGACATAAATGTAATGAATACGACTCAATGTATACTAGTTAATTTGAGTTTTATTGATATTTTACATATGTTTCCAGGTATAACTGGATTTATTGTCCCTCTTCCAACAGAGGGTCTTTCCTTGGGAAAAAAAGAAGATAAATTAGGAATAAGGGCTTCGCCAACATGTAATTTGATTTTGGAGGACGTGCGAGTACCAAAACAGAATATATTGGGAACAGTAGGAGGTGGATTCAAAATGGCAATGGAACAACTTGATCGAGCTAGAGTAGGTATTGCAGCTCAGGCTCTAGGAATCGGTCAAGCCGCTTTAGAAGTTGCAGTTAATTATGCAGCACAAAGAAAAGCATTTGGAAAACCTATTAATCAATTGCAGGCAGTTAAGGTAAATTCAATATAAATCTTCTCACAAGGAACCATAATGTCTTTTTTTTTCATTTTATATTTTTGCTTATTCGGGCAAAAGCTGTAAAGTCACATTTCTCGCATAGATGTATGGTTTGTGGAAATATGACAGAAAAATATGGTTTTTCTTCCATGTGTCTGCTCACCTCAAATTAAAAATTTCATATTTATATTATAAATGCCAAAAGTTTTCTTATACATCTTTTTGATCATTATCTTACAACAATGTATGAAAGTGGAGTTGAATTAGTCATATTCCATGAAATGCAAATTTAACATAATTTTGTCGACTTTACTTGTAATATCTGTCATCCATCTAAATGAAACACCTTCAAGGTTCATTCAATAACTATATTTTCCAATTTTAAAATACCAAATCACAGAGCCCTAAATTGGTCTCAAAAAATCTACATGTAGCCGTTCCCATACTTCGGAAGGAATCGGCAGGGTCTCAACTCATTCTTTGGAGGGTTTTGTCGCTCTCTCCTACACGAAATACAATTTTTACACATTTCTTCAATTTCTTCATTAAGAGACGGCCACCAAATATATGAACGTGCCAATGCTTTTATTTTTACAATTCCCATATGGCTTTTATGTATCTCACCTAAAATAGCAGATTGCAATATTTCCGGAACTACTACTCGATAACCCCAAAATTAGAACATCGTCTTCAATACTTAGTTCATTTTTCCAATTTAATTTTAAAATACCAAATCACAGATCCCTGTTCAAGGACGTCACAGATAACTTGTTTTATTAGATGGTAGCCTCATAACCGGGAAATGTGATTATGAATTTTACTCGAGAATCATCCATGCTGAATAAGAGTTTTTCTCGTACTGTATCTATTTGCATTTGACATTATCGGGAACACATAAGTCCTCGAGTAAAGCAAATGCACTCTGATTAAGGCTATTCAACAACATTGCTCGCTGCTTACTTTCCTCTGCCACCTCATTAGCAGTAAAAAACGATTTTAGTCGCCGGACATGGATGCCGAAATCGTGAATGTCTGGATTGAACTCCGTTTGTAACCCAAATTGTCCCGTCGCCATGTTACTTGTTTTCAATCAAACAAATCCGTTGTTAGACTAAATTTTCAATATACGTTCATCCTCGTCGCCACTTGTAATATCTGTCATCCATCTAAATGAAACACCTTCAAGGTTCATTCAATAACTATATTTTCCAATTTTAAAATACCAAATCACAGAGCCCTGTCCAAGGACGTCACAGATAACTTTTTATACAGTATTATAGTCCAGGCACATTCCTACTGACATTACATCTATCAAAAATATATGTCCACATTATATTTATATTGTCAATAATGTAGTACAGTCTGGGAGGTACTTGTTGCATAAATGAAATACTATATGAAACCTGCACAAGGATTGTAATCTATTTCCAAATAGATAGATATAGTTCACAAGCATTGACTGTGAGAATGAAGCTTTCATCTGAAAGTCTCGCTAACGACTGACTGAGTCTTGCGCAGTCAACACATATACCACTGATGATATCTGTCGTAGTAGCTGACGAAATGTTTGGTAATACAAGTGACTCTGGCACTTGAAACTTATGTTCTTACATTATGCTTGAGAACAATCATTATTCTAAAAGCCCTTTCCTGAATAACCTTTTTTTCCAGTATAACTGTTGCTTTTCCAAAATATGATTCCATTATCTAGCAATGTACATACATTTTCAGTAAGAAATTTTACCCAATTTTAGCTGTATAATCAATATGCTTGCTCTATTTCAAGAATTCCTCAATATAAAGTTCTAGAAATTTGATGTCTTCTGAATGTTTCATAAAAGTGTTATTATAATAATAGTAAATAATAGAAATGAAATATAAATTATCAAACATCAGATAACTTATCTTTTGAAAACCATAAAATACAAATGAATATAATGAAACTAATTTAAAAAATACTGAATAGATTCATTAAAATATTCCTGTAGACCATGAAAGGGTCGACAAAAAATTTTTTTAGAGTCCTTGAAAATCATTTGTTAGAAGAGTTTGCAAACCTTATTTCTACTGACAGACGATTGTATATTTTAACCCCATTACAAAATATTGAATCTTCAACTGAAGTCAAAGTGGAATAATTAGCAAAATCACCTTTTGATGATGCCAACTTGGTTAGCAAAACACACTTTGAGAGACAGCATTTTTGTTCTGGTGTGGAAAACATATTTTCAATAGATTCATTTATCAAGAAAAATATCTTTTCTTCTGTTTGTAATCGATTCTGAAAAGTATGAGATTAGTTTTGGATTCATTCAAAATTAACCTATTTCTAGTGAACCATTCTTTTGTGTATCACTAAACATGTCAATACCCTTTTTTACTACTTTGAGGTATATATCTATCTAATTATACATAGTATTACCAAAAACTAACTATCAAATTTGTTTTCGACAAGTTTGAAAATATTTTCAATTTCAATTTTATTTTTAGATGAGGTTAGCTGAAATGGCGTTAAGATTGGAATCGGCCAGGCTGCTGGTGTGGAGGGCTGCTGTTTGCTGCGATGAACCTCAACGATCCACAAAGGAGTCTTCCATGGCCAAACTAGCAGCGAGTGAAGCTGCTACGTTCATATCACACAGTGCAATTCAAATTCTTGGAGGTATGGGTTATGTCACTGACATGCCAGCAGAAAGACATTATAGGGATGCACGGATAACAGAGATCTATGCCGGTGTAAATGACGTTCAACGTATACTCATAGGTGACTTGATTGTCAAGGAGTATGAATGAATGTAATGTTTATGAAATGTTTTAAATTGATTCCATTGAATTATATTTTTATATGGCCATTTGTATTGTTTATGCTGAGAAAATCATGTATTTTAATAAAAGTATATTCAGTTTTCGTTTGCCTATTTTGACTCGTCATTGGTTTCTTCAGTGTTGCTATGCTGAACCACGAAAGCATTACTGAACTCAACTGTCCATAACTAACCAGTCATATATGGGATGGATGACCCGCGGGTTATTATATTCTGTAAATAAAAAACAATAATTATATATTAAGTTACAGAAAAATAGAAATAATAAACTACTTGAAATCGAGTATAAAGAGTATAAGAATAAATTAACAACCATTCTGAATAAAGCTAAAATTAACTTTTATCAGAGTGAAATTAACAACAATAGTAAAACATCCAAAGAATTATGGGGTTGAATTAAAAAAATATGTAATGAAACTAAAAATCATAACATTGAAGTTGAAAATGTAATTGATAATTTGAAACTCAGAAAAATCACCTGAATATGATGGAATAACTTCTGAAGTTGTGAAAACATTGAAAGATCTGATATCAGAACCTTTAGTGTATTTAATAAATATTATTTTCAATACTGGCTGATGCTTTCAAAATTGGAATAATTAAGTCCGTTTACAAAAATGGTGATAAGAATGAAATGAAGAATTATCGACCTATCACATTGATATCTAGTTTAGCAAAAATATTTGAAAAAAATCTTCAAGTATAGAATTGAAAAATATTCAGATAAAATCCATTTTTTCTCAAATACTCAATTCGGATTCAGAAAAAATAAGTCCACACAGAATGCAATTTGTCACATAGTAAATAATGTATATCAATCATTTGATGATAAAATACCAACTTTATCTGTTTTTCTCGATTTAGCTAAAGCTTTTGATATGGTCAGCCATTCAATGCTTTTGGAAAAATTACAATTTCGTGCAACTACATTCAATCTAATGGAAAGTTATTTGCAAAATAGAAATCAACAACTTGAAATTAATAATAATTTTTTTTTGGGAAAGAAAATTTTTGGCTTTCTACTACTCCATCTTGATACAAAAAAAAGATGAGGGAATCTTCCAAAGAAAGGAAGGAAGTAAACAATTTTTTAATTAAGTAACTCTATATATGGATGTGAAGATCATGCAAAGGAGTAACTTTCAGACACAAACTGAAAGAAAGTCCTCCTGATAATATATACAGTGACAAAAAAAATATGTATTTATGGTATTCCTCAAGGTTCTGTTTTGTGCCCGATATTGTTTAATATTTACATCAATGATTTATTTTATATGCAAACTGAAGGAAAAATTCAATATTTTGCAGATGATACGGTGATTTCATATATTGCTAATAGCTGGTGTAATTAAAAAGTAAGTGTGGAAGCAGATTTCAAAAATATCAACAAAAAAAATTGATAGTAATTTATTAACACTTTCACTGCGATAGTAATAAATATGGTACCGTACAGTGCGGAATTAATATTTGATTTCAATCTTATCAAAAAGTTTCTTATATGTTAGATAACGATGTCTTGATCGTAATCAAACCTTGTTTAGTGTTTGCTCATGTTTTTTTTGTAAAGCGCACATGAGCGCTCACCGCATATTTCGAACATTTTCTGGTTATATGCGGAAAGCGCACTTGTGCGTCTAGCATTTTGAATTGCAGTTTTAAAATGTTTTGAAATTCAAAAGTAAAAAATCATTAATAACAAAAAAAAGTTTTATTTTTGAACGAAAAACGGAAAAATGAGATATCTAACAAAACAAAGCACAAGAAAAAAACAAACAAAAACAATTCACGGTAAGCTAAACAACAATATTCTTGAAAACATGGCTCAAGACATAACCCTCGTTTTTGTGGAAAGAGGTTAGAGCTCCATCCTTACAACATTCGAACTAACGAAAACTTACACATCCCTCGTCATTATTCCCAATTTCGCCAAAATCACTTGTAAGCAATGAGGCATATGTCCTCTTTTATGAACAGGAGGGAACGAAGCAGCACCTTTGATGTGATTTTTTATTTCTTTTCTCCTTTTTTTTTATAATCTTAGTTCTTTGAATTGATTTGTATTCCATGATTGTTCCAAATTTCATTATTTAACTTGATTTAATTCCGTTTTGTATACATCGTACGATTCCAATGTATTTTTCTGAAGCTGAATAAAGTTATTTTCAGATTTCATGCATCTCATTCATTTTTCTCAAAGTATACCTCCTTTTTTTTTCTGATCGAATTGGCCGTTACTTGATGAAGATCCATAGTAATTTCAAAAACTACACCTCATGATTTGATCTCCACAAACTTTATTTGAAAAAATATATAATCACATGTTTCGCTAGCACAGTAGCTTTTTCAAGTGTATGAAAACTTCAAATTATTCTTACATTAATATTTATATACTACAGGTAACCATAATTGAGACTACCTCCAAAAAATAACCTGAACCTCTACCTAGAGTAAGTACCTGATTTCTTGAATTTAGGAAATTTTGAAATGCTGATACGTGATCCAACTAATTCTTTCCAAGGGCAAGTGAAATATTTTTCGAAAAATTCAACCATACTTTTTACTGAAAGGGAAAAGTTCAAATTAACATTGATGAACCCCCAAATTCCAAAATTAAAGTCACTTATATAATTGCACAAACAGATNTGCAGAAAAATTAATCCAGTTTTTTTAATAACGTTATCCCAAGAATATGGGATGAGGATAGGTGAAGTAACGTGGAATGTTTTATTGTCTTCGAAAGAGATATATGAGACTATTAGATATGAGAAGGTATAACAAAGTGAAGAAAAGTAGCCTGAAATGGCCTACCTACACACGTTACGATTTTTCGTACTGCTTGCATTACGATATGCATCGGTACTGCCGCAGTAACGATAAATCATAACGTGTGTAGGCAAATTGCGTGTTTTGCAGTATGCAGTCGCTGAATCGTTCGCAGCACGGAGCTTCCATAAAATATCGTATCAACGGTCGTGTCTGGGGTGGGGGTTATAGACAAGTTGGAAGGTGTGGGGCTTATTTCTGCGGCAGTTACGATTTTATATCGTTTAAAGCAAATAATTTAGGGAAAAGGGTTTTATATATTTCATATGTTAGGAATCACACGTTAAAAGGTAAGACCTCGTACTGACAGTACTAATTTGACATTTTGGTTTTTAATTTTTATTGACTCATATGGGGGTAAGTACTTCTCATATGATGTAAAACAAATACCATTCGTTTTATTGAGATTTACTGTAAGCAAGTTCTCTTTGAACCACTCTATTATATGTTTCAGGTCTCTTTCTGCCACATCTTTTACATTCTACCAGTTTTTGTCCTCATATATTATGATGACAGTATCATCAGTGAACGATATTATAGAACCATATACATTTAGGCTAAGGAGCTGATTTTTATAAATATTGAACAGTATCGGTCCAAGTACGGTGTCCTGTGGGACACCGTAAATTATTCTTTTTTCATCACTAACTACATCCACAAAAACTCCAAAACCTGCTTTTTTCTCATCTACATTTTCGTATATCCTACTCACAACATCATTATGCGAATAAAATAAAAAGAAATTCAAGTTACCATATTTTATTTGAAAAATTCAACAATAGAAAAACTTCCTTCAGACGTGACTTTTGACAGATTGAAATCTAAACCTCGGCAATACGAGCTGTTGTGAGGTGTGGATGAAACATGACTATACTGCATGCCGTACGATTTTCTTTACAATTTGCAGTTTAACATGCAGTACGAAAAATCGTAACGTGTGTAGGCCGCCTAACTTCACATAACGTCCGTTTTAGATCTTGAAGTGTTCAAGTAGTGAATTTTTCATTTTAAAACCATTCGGAAATACTCATTGACGGTCCTAAAAACTTTCATCATTAAAGTTAGTTTCATTCGAAACAGTTTGACAAAAATTTTTCTTCAAAAAATTAATGATATTATTGAAAAGACCATGTGCTACTAATTGTATAATGCGTATCCTAAATGAGAAAACATTTTTTTTACACAAAATGACTATTAAAGAGTTCAAAAAGAGGTCGAATGTAGGTACCTATAAGAATTTATTTATTAGTGTTACGCACTTCCTAGCGAATTATGTAGGTGGAGAAGTTAAAATTGCTGTCACTGTCTCATACCCCCTTCTATTGATTTGAGAAGTTACCTGAATGATACAGAAAACTATTTTCTGAATTTCAGTAGCCAAGCAGTGGAATTATTTTTGGGTGATATAAATATAAATTTATCAGATACAGTTTCCAAGGACACAAACCTTTACCAAAATCTGATTCAAGATTTCAAGATTTCAAGATTTATTTGTAGGTCATCATTTTTACAGTTTTTGCAGTTATATTTACAGTTAACTTTTTATTCAAAAACACTTAAACAATGTTTATTAACACTTTTTCAATTTGCGATTACACGTTATAAAACGGCGGACATTCACAACTCAACTGAGTTCCATCTCCAACAATGGCGTCCGCGTACCTCATTTGTGGACGGTCGCCACAGAACTATAACTTAGTTATAGTTCTGTGACGGTCGCTATCGGCACGTCCGCCCTCCACCATGTCAGAAACAAAACTCGCAAAGTATATCTTTGTGATACAGATCAGCACAGAACACATCCTCTGTGTCGTCGAAAATAATGGATCAACCAATTTGCACCAAATTTTGTGTAGTAACCGTAATTTAGTATTCAAAACCCCCTTTTTTTAAAGAAAGATACACAAGATCACAGAAAAATCCTTAAGGATCTTTCAAAGCGGTGTCTGTGCGACAGTGGTGATTCACATTATATTTGAATCGCTGGAGATTGAATCCATTTGGAAAAACTTTCTCCGGAAGTTTATTTCACATAAACGCATTTTATAGACTTATGTTGTTACTTATCTTAACCAGATGCCAGGCTTCTTGTGGGCCGTGAAAGAGGCGATCCCATTGACAGTCCCTCATCTTGCGTAAAGAATTCGTCCTTCAGTTCTAGTAGTTCCATGATTACTTCTATCGGTAAGTTTGTTCTATCTTTCAGGTCCCCATCTTCGAAAGGCTTTCTCTGTATGATTTGAAGTGCTTCTTCGACA